TCAAGGGAGGCGATAGACGTTGCCACGTCTAATCCGCAATATCCGCGTTTTGGGGTTCGCGAGGGCATTGGGTTGTTTTATCAACACATGGATTACTGTAAACTCCTGGCATCTCAAATGAAATTTTGTCTTTGATGAATCGAAGATGTTTAGAGATTTTTGGTGTGGTAAATCTGTTTTTGACGTTATATTTCTTTAGAACTTTTGAAATGTGGTCAGTGATGTTTTATTGAGATAATTTTACTGCTCTGTAAACAACCGATCAATTTCGGGCCAAATGGTGATGTGACAATGCATTAAGGTGTCGGTCTGTATGTGTAGGTTTTCTGTATACATAATGACCAAGTGTTAGGTCTGATTTTCTGTTGATAAGAATATCTCACAATTTGAGGTTGTTATTACTTTTTAATTCAAGGGTAAAACGTATGTTAGGGTGTATAGAGTTTAACTGCCTAAGAAAATCTACTAGGGATTCTTTGGATAATTTTGGTTTCTGATGGAAGGTGTCAAGAGCTTTCTTCTCAAAGGCTATATATATTCGCCATGGCTGGTGATAGTGGAGACCGTTATAAGAAAAATGTACTCCAGACAAACATTTTTCAATTAAGATAAGAAGGTTTAATTCTAGATTCTCGGATTTTAATATATCTGAAATGATGGTGAGAGTTTCAGGAATAAGAACTTTAGTGGAGAAGGATTATACGTCAAAACTAACCAGATTATGTTGTGCTTTTTAATTGCTCAATGACGTGAAAGGAATTAAGTGCGAAACTATCAGTTTTCCCTGTAAAGGGTTTTAATAAGGAAACTAGATATTTTGCTACAGAATATATTGCAGAACCAATGGTGCTGACAATAGGTCGAAGGGTATAATCCTGGCAATTGCAAAATCTGAACGCATCGCCCTAAAATCTCTGAAGTCTAATCCCGACATCGTAATGCTAAAAGCAGGTAAGTAAAATGCTGCGGTGCGGTGGTCATGAACACATATTAATATCAGGAGAAAATTCAAGATATTCTTACAGACGGATCATATCATCCACGTCCTACGTCATCTATGGAACGCAACTTTAAATTTGTTATTAAAGCTTCTTCTCTCCGTGAAAAAATCTGTTACCCCTCATGACTCTAAAAACGTACTCCCAAAGATTCACAAACCAGGATTACCCCTTCGACCTATTGTCAGCACAATGACCAGATATACTTAAATTTTAATGCATCGTAATGATTAACTTAATCAAAAAAAGATAGGGATTAGGAAAAAGAAACAAAATATCTGCGATGGAAAGGAACCATCATCTGAAAAACTTTCCAGACCGTCATTGTAATGTATTATTAAGGTATAGTAAGGTATGTGGCAGTGTACTGGTCTTCTGGGCTTCGATTGAAACCAAAACAACCAACAATACGAAACAAATGGTTTGGTCTTTGAAGTATTTATCTCGAATCCCGTTCTGGCACTTACATTTGTTAGAGGGGTCGTTAATGTTTCATTATACTGATACTGAACATGAAACTTATTCCAATAAAGATCTCATCGGCGTGACTCACGAGAGATATAGTTCTGTGACCATTACATTATCTGACTTTGTTTTCTTAGTACGTGGACGTCAACCAGTCTAGCGACAGTGTCCCGCTATCATATATCATTGAAAAGCTTTCCGAGCTTGCTGGTTCGCTAAGATGTTCTGCTTTTTCCGGTTCTTGATTGCACTTTGTCTCCTTTATGGCCCGTATAACCAAGTGAAGTTTTCTTTTTTCTCGATGTGTGGGTAGTTGTTCTTTCGTGTCCAAGTCCGTGTCTAAGTATTGACTGTCTAAAGAGTGATACATACGAATTTCAATAAATAATAAATAAATATATATATATATATATATATATATATATATATATATATATATATATATATATATATATATATATATATATATATATATATATATATATATATATATATATATATATATATATATATATATATATATATATATATATTCTCACGTATTGATTCACGGATGGAAAAATGTGATGACACTATATTCCGGGATATCATCCGTTCGCTCGTTGAACTCCGACTGGAATCCTGCATCCGACTGGAATCCTGCAAATCTTGCATCCGACTGGAATCCTGCAGACGTTTCGCCAAAATCTCACTTGGCATCTTCAATGCTCGCGCTCCGAGTGTTCGAAGTGTTTTCGGAGCGCGAGCATTGAAGATGCCAAGTGAGATTTTGGCGAAACGTCTGCAGGATTCCAGTCGGATGCAAGATTTGCAGGATTCCAGTCGGATGCAGGATTCCAGTCGGAGTTCAACGAGCGAACGGATGATATCCCGGAATATAGTGTCATCATATATATATATATATATATATATATATATATATATATATATATATATATATATATATATATATATATATATATATATATATATATATATATATATATATATATATATATATATATATATATATATATATATATATATATATATATATATATATATATATATATATATATATATATATATATATATATATATATATATATATATATATATATATATATATATATATATATATATATATATATATATATATATATATATATATATATATATATATATATATATATATATATATATATATATATATATATATATATATATGTTTAGCTTTTGGTTCTTGGGTTATAGGTCTTTGTATTAAAAGCGATTAAAATTTTTTTTGTCCATATATTGACGTTTCGGTCTTCTATGACCTTTTTCAGAAAGGGGTACAGTCAAAAAGAGACAAACACAAATCTTAAAATTGAAGAGGTAGCATCATATGAAAGTTTATACTTTAAAAGCGTTTGGTTTTGTCATAGTGCCCTTGATAAAAGATAAAAGTCCAGCAAAAAATGATTTGTATACTGCACTCACACACATAATACACACAAATTTAACGAAACAGTTAAAATATATATAAGAGTTTAAAATAATAATAATAATAATAATACCGATACGCGAGGTTTGCTCGCGTCGACGTCTAAGAAAAAACAAAATATAAACAATATATATATATATATATATATATATATATATATATATATATATATATATATATATATATATATATATATATATATATATATATATATATATATATATATATATATTCTATGCTAACAATGTTTATGTTTTTTCATGAAGTAATCTCGGAGCACATATTTGTTAACAATGATCCTATATAAGGATCAATTTTACCGAAAATTCGCATTTGCTCTAAAAACGACCCGACAGCAATTTTGAATATACGGACATTATGTCATTCGAGGGGCAAAATCCTGTTCATGTTTTTGTTATTTTGCGGTAAGGCGAATAACAGAGGACTCGTTACAGTTTAACGAAATATCGCGGCGATTCGGTTGGATTCGGTTGGAAAATTGTCCACGCTGCAGCACAACGGCAAGTTTGCGGGTCAAGGTTACAATAAATATAGCACGTTCAGTAACGCGGAACATCTAAAATTAGAGAATGCGGGATCGAAAATGCTATTCTGGAATCAACACTTGTTAATGGTAGGCCATCCACATTTCGAACGGAATTTGTTAATTACCATCAAACCAATACCACATTATTATGGTGTTTCTTGATGTGTTGACTGTTAAAGACTTATAAAAAGGTTTTCATTACTTGGCTATATGAAATGAAATGAATGAAATGAAAATGAAAGTCCAAGCAAACAGTTTACACAAAAACTCCACTTCTATCATAGTTATAGTTTAGTGGTACAACATGCAATAACAGATCACCTTTACTTTCAAAGCTAGTAAAAAAGATAATTGATCGTTAAATTTTATGTTATATTATTATATCAATACATTTTCTATCGTAATAATAGCTAAACCCTTTAATTTTCATTATTTTGTAGTACATAAAACAATTGCAAGATCACCCAACTTATAACTGATTTGAGACTGTGTGGGAACATGATACAAAGTCGCATAATAGATATTCAAATTTATTGTTCACTTCGCAAACGCAATGGAATTTTCTATTTGACAATGTAAATGTCGGCACATATCAAGGAAAAGCGTTATCGAACTTTCGAATTGATAAAGTACCTTGCACGGTTGTGAAGTTTTAGGGTTGGAAATCGACTGAATCAGTCGAATCATAAATTGAAGCACGTCCTCGGCTAAAATTAGATTTTTAAGCTGCCGCAAAATCGAACATAAAAGAACGCCAATTTCTCGCCAACATAGCTGTACGGCTTTTATCAAACGGTTAGCACAAATCTTTTACTTAAGTGAGCATAAAAGAGAGATTAAATACAAACCATTTAATCCGTATTTTTAGCTAAAACGAATTGTTGCAAGTGTATGTTTCCTAAATTCTTATGGAAACAAATAAAAAGATAAAAAAGTAAAAAAAATACGAAATTTTTTATTTGAAAAAAATGACATAACATAAAAATATAAACCTTACAAATCAAGAGTTATACATAAAAAAAAAATCAAAGATGGAATTTGAACAAGAGGTCGCTTGATCAGCCATTGTCTTCCTTATTTGGCAACCTGGATGCATTTTTAAAAGAATATTTTACCGCAATACACTGATAAATTTTATTAGAAACAAACATCTTTTTTTTAGTCAATCAAGTTGGCTTTTCTTTTCTATTTATCTGATTGTTCTAAAATTGTTGTCGTTTCAGGTTTAACGACACTCAACTAAGACGCCAATTATGGCAAGTAAATTTTGAAAAATAACTAATTTCATTTTTCAAAGTGATCAAGTATTTATCAGTGAATTTTGTTTCTATTTTTATGTATTCCAAATCGTGGAGAAGTTGTATAAGTAAAAATATATATGTGCCTTTGCGATTTTTTCACAAATTTACAATTTCTGCAAATCAAATACCACAAATAATTCGAATCGAATTATTTTTTGCACATTTACAAGATAAATTCGCAGGTTTAACGTGAAAGTATTTCTAATTTGCATTTTTTTTTACAGGAGATCGACTTACAAGGGTTCTGCGAATTTCTGGACATGTATTTGGAAATCGAGGCGCCTAGAGAACTATGCAAACATCTGTTTCTCTCCTTTGTGCGGAAGAGCGTGAAAGTGGAAGGTAAAGCGTTTAAGGAGATGACGGTACTCAGTTCAACAACGGCTTGTGCTCCTATAACATCGCATAATAAAGGTTGCTATGCTTTCTGCTGATATTTAATCACTGCGTCGTTTGTAAAAAAAATTTGGAATAGCGCTTGCATAAGTTACCACGAAATTTAACGAAACTTAAAAAATAAACTTCATATAACTTCTTGTTCCGATCTATAGTGGGAAACTACGTCAAGTTGGGTTATGACTTCTTCATTAATATTTCATTACGTAAAGGACAGACAACCGCCACTGAGTTAACGTTAACTTTTAGTTTTAACTTAAATGTTTTTTGTGTAAAACTAGGTCGGACCTTTCAGTCGTCTAATGTCATGTATGGGTGATTCGGTTCTAACTGTTATTTCTTTACTTAAAATTTCTATGATTTTAAAACTAGACTTTTTAAATTTTTTATTCATATTATTCAGCTATTTTACTGTAAAAATAAAAGGCTGAAAAGATTTTACTATAACTTCAAGATGTCAAGAACGGGAAACTGATTTCAAATTTTCCGTTCCACGGTACTGACTCATTTATCCACGATTCTAACTCTTTGCACTATTTCATCAACTCCATGTTTGTAAGGAGTACTCAGATGACACTTTCAACATAATTCTCTAGACCTTTCATAAATGTCAAGGCAGATGGCGCTCGAGTCATATAAATTAAAATTCAAAAATTTGTTAAATTTTAAAGAGAAAAGGTATTGAACCAGAATTCAGTGTTAATTTAAAACATTAACCAAAAAAGTGATCATAGAAAAAAGAATTTATGAGGTAACCACTTTTTTTATACATAAATTTTAGAAATGGACATGACACGGTGCTGATATTAAGCTGATATATTGTCCGTTCCCTCTGAATGACACATTATATTATATAAAACAAAAGTAAAATTATGAAAAATATTCATGATTGTCTAATTAATAAAAAACTTTCATTATTAGATAATTAATTAATCGCCAGTGAGAACAAACAAGACACACAAAACATCACAGTTAAAACAGAATCACCCGTATTCGTCATGACAAATACAGTGAGTACAAAGTGGATTTTAAGCATAATCTAATTTAAATTTAAAAGCTGTACACCAGTAATCGTATCTGTAGATTAGAAAAAAATGAAAATTGGAAGGAAAATAAACCTATTTTAACTAAGAGAAATCGCTGAGGGTATGAACCAACAAATTAATTAACTAAAATTTCGTGATTTCCAGCGTCACATTAATTACATTTAAACTTGGACTCTCGCTCATAGCTAACCAACTAGTGTCATCCATTTCCCTCAGATAGAGATCATACATTTGCTGCATGTAGTTCGAAAATGTTCAACTCTTTCCGTCAAATCAGTTATGTTACAACTAAAAAGTTTTGTTTAGTTTTGGTCAATAGGTACTTGTTACAGATGCACTATAACGGATAAAACGCATGGAAACCACACAACTTAAGTCATCTATCCAAAAAGCATTTTTTTTAATTCGAAGAGTTCCAATTCTAAACATAAATTACTTTTTAAAACACATGAATTATATTATAATAATGTCATGGATAATCCGGTTATTGTGGCATTCAATCTAAAATCTAATCTAAAATTATTTATCATTACTTTCTTTGCGACTGATGACGCAAATGTTGCATACGTTATGTGTTTGGTTTATCTGCAATAATAACTAAAAAAATATATCATTTTGCCGTCACTATGTGCTTTTGTTGCTTTCGCCATATTTAGCCTGCGAACAGTAATAACTATCGGAAATTTTATCGTCGTCTCTTCTAATAAACAGAGCGTACTAAGCAAAAAATTAACACACGGGCCTATAGTTGAGAATTGAGATCGCAGAAAAAACTTTTCGGTTGTTTCCTCTAGATTTCGGTAGTGGGTATATAGAGGATTTTAAAGTGCTATAGAGCAGGGTTACAGCACCGGTTTTATTAGTAAAAAGCATTGTCTTCAATGACGTCAATTCGAAAAAATCTTTGTATATAAGACATGTAGTCTTTATGTCCATTGTTGTTTATTTGATACTGTGAAAGAAACAATATGTTCATATTTTAAGCAAATACATTGTCTTTGCTATTTTCAACATATATTTTAACGAAATAATAAATCGCTTCGATCTGCGACGGTGTAAAAAACTTAACATTACGTGCTAGAAATTGAGAATTCCCTTCAGCGCTCGTAGTTCGTAAAATAAAAGTTGAAATATACTCTCAGTCTCTTGGAAACGCTGATTACATCTTTTCGTATTTCTTACGTCTACCAAAATAGCGTTCCAGAAAAAGTAACTCTCAAAATTGAGGCAAGAATATTACAGGAAAGGAAGTGTATCAAAATATCAAAATATGTACTTTGACAAATGATAGATGTTGGGCAGTTGATTCTTAAACATGATAAATCTGTGTCAACTTTTTAGAACTATTTTCCATATAGACGCGTCAACTTCCCCAAATTGTGGTCGCCTTTACGGCATACACGATCAACATCTAGCATCTACCATCAAAAATTTTAATAATTTCAATACAGAACTTTTAAAATAATATAGAAACTTATAGTAATTATTTTTTGCACTAATATCTAAAATGCAATTTTTTTACATTTTCTGTTTGTTTTATCGGTTATAATATCCAGAATAATACACGAAATGCTCGAGGCAATATTACAAAATGTATGCCATGATGTATGTATGCATGATATAAAAAAAACACCATTTGATATTAGGATTTCCCACAAATATTCGCATCCCAAAAGCGCAAATTTCCGTTTTCGAACTATTTCCATAATGTTGCCAGCGTTACCTCACGCAATGCAGTTCACACGCCAATTATTTGCAACATGTTCGGCAATGCAACAGAAAGAATGTGCCGATCAAGAATTGATTTTTCTGCAGAGAAAGAAAAAATATGTATGTACAAATCTATCAATTAGTTGGTTTTTATGGTAAAATCTACCAACTTTTCTTCTTAGCCTGCGTTATGTTAGACGGTTATAGCACAGTTTATCTGCTATGGAAATACCTATCAAAACTATATGAAGTAAAAGAACTTCGAACTTTTATTTTTATTTTCACCTAACTACGCAATACTTTCGACATTCAGATCACTATCTGTTATCGAGTGTAAATTAAACTAATTCCACAAACGCTTTTGCCCTTATATATTAGTTTAAGTTGTTCATCCACTGCCGGGCTGGGAGCAGTCAATCTTGAAAATGGCCACTAAGGACGTGAGACATATTAGTGGTTTCCAAAGTCACTGCTAAATAGAATTATAACCAATTACAAAGCAGACTCTATAGTGGGCCCACCTGACGAAGATAAACCCTTAACAATTCCGTATATAAAACGTACGTCTGAAAAGAGCAGACGAATAGCGGAACAAAGATCAAAGCATTAAGAGATGGTGCATCTATCACGTACCTGGTGAATTCCGGGGGTCGTATACTGGAGAGAGCAAACATCCTCTAAATGTGCGAATCGAAGCACATACGCGAAAGTGAGAAACATTGAGATCTGGCTGGAGAGCATTTTGGTGGAAGCCAAATAACATAAAATAATCAGAAACCCGTGTTTTCCACCCAGTACCTAATTGGAAGAAACGTACATTTGAAAAAGGCTTTTTTGTAGCAAATAGTATCAACGTTCTTAGCAACCCAAGTATGAACACACCCATATGGAAATCACTTATGAAATGCATTACTGCTGGCGACATGATTAACTCATGTAGTCTTCAGAATTAGTTTGGTGTCTACTTAATAAATTCGAATTTCTTTCAGTTTTAATCATGAAACATTGTCTTTCACGTTCAAATAACCGATACTAGTTTGTTTGAAATTCTAGCAGAAATTGATAATTTGAAAATTAATAAATTATCAAGACACTCATGGAAACAGGACCTCCAAAATACAATACAGATAATGATTAGCAAAATAATTCCTGGAAACCCCTGCCTAGTTTTAAAATTCGCAGTACTCAGGAAGTATACATTTCTTTGGATTTGGATATGCTCCTGATGAACGGTTCAATACAAACTGGAGCTTGACTAACTTCATCAAACGCTGAAGAAACAAATTTCTAATTAAGCCGAATCAAACTACGCATTCCCGAAACGATGTGCGCTTGTAATGGGTGTTTTTTTTTTAATGTATAGAACTTTAAGTTGGCATTACTGTTCAAGATGGCGACCGATTTAACAGTGTCAAGTGATTTATTCTCTGTTTTGTTTGGCAATTCATCATGAATATACTCACGCCTGAACAACGCTTGCAAATAGTGCAATTTTATTTCGAAAATAATGGTTGTGTGCGGAATACGTATCGCGCACTACGTCCATTTTATCGTCGACACAATCGTCCATCAGAGCAGTTAATTCGTTTAACCATGGAACGTTTTCGCACCACGTTTACTCTTATTGATAAGCTATTGCAGTTGTAGAGCGTGGCATTGAGGAAGACCCGAATGAGTCCATCCGCCATCGAGCACAGGGATTGGATCTGTGTCCATCCACTTTATGAAAGATTTTGCGGAAGGATCTTGGTTTACGTGCTTACAAAATCCAACTCGTGCAAGAATTGAAGCCAAACGATCATCAAGTAAGGCCTAGATTCGTCGAATGGGTCCAAAACGAGATTGCCGTTGTTCCCGATTTTCATAAGCGAATTATGTTTAGCGATGAAGCGCACTTCTGGTTGAATGGGTACGTCAACAAACAAAACTGCCGCATTTGGAGCGAAGCTAATCCTCAAGTGTATGTCGAAACACCGTTATATCCAGAAAAACTGACTGTTTGGTGCGCGTTATGGGCTGGTGGAATCATTGGTCCGTACTTCTTCAAAAACGATGATGGCCAGAACATTACAGCAAATGGTGATCGGTATAGAGCTATGATTACTAACTCTTTCATTCCTGAATTGAATAACCATGATGGCCAGGAGATGTGGTTTCAACAAGACCGCGCAACATGTCACACAGCTCGTGCCACAATCGATTTATTGAAAGACACGTTTTGTGACCGCCTAATTTCACGTTTTGGACCTGTGCATTGGCCTCCAAGATCTTGTGATTTAACACCGCTAGACTACTTTCTGTGGGGCTATGTAAAGTCATTGATCTATGCGGATAAGCCAAAAACTCTTGACCATTTGGAAGACAACATTCGCCGTGTTATTGCCGATATACGGCCACAAATGTTGGAAAAAGTCATCGAAAATTGAACGTCCAGATTGGACTACATCCGCGCGAACCGTAGCGGTCATATGCCAGAAATCATATTTAAAATGTAATGGCACAAGATTATCTTTCGGATAAATAAAATTCATGTCAATCGAATAATCCATCGTTGTTTTATTGCAACTTAAAGTTCTATACATCGAAAAAAAAAACACCCCTTATGTCCTAATTAAAGTACAAAACATGATATGCAGCGAACGAACAAGAATACACCAATTGTGATGCTTGTCTTAGAACTTCCATGAGCTCTGAATCGTCATATTTCATTATCGCTAGTTCAATTCACGGTTCCACAGTTGTCGCATGGAACTTTTCTTTGTTTCTACCAACTAATAACGAGGATGCATTGTTTCAGACTTCGGAACTGTTTCCATTTCAGGGTCGACACCGAATGTGAACGCAGTCGGAGATTTGAGCAGCATCGCTGAGAAGCCGAAGTCGTTTGTCGAAAGGATACAAGGACTTGGGGAGAGTTTATTAGGACATCATAGATCAGACAGCGATTGCTCGACTAGAGGGAAAACCGGTAAGCATTTCTGTTGACGTAATATTATATTAACTTCGACATGGATGGTCCTAGATATTTGAAAAAAATAGTACATCGACCGCGTTTCTATAATTGCCCACGGGGGTCGTAATTGCCATCTTGATTTTTAAGTTCGCAGGTATTTTGTCAAAGAAATTATTTTTTTCAAATCCTACTTTTTCCTGTTTCCAGCTCTTCTATTTAAATTCTAAGTTAGGATGAAGATTTTGATATTAGGACGCTTATTCGAAGTTGTGAAAAAACCTAAAAATGACATTTTCTCTCAGTAACCCAGTCTCCCGCGTTGGTCTGTTTATTTAAACAAATTATCGCGAAAACTTTCAAGTCAAATTTACTTACTTAAAAGTATTAGATCATGAATGTTTGCTAATAGCGATAGATCTTGAAAACACTACTCACTCCGTCGTTAATTGAAGAACATTTTTCATAAAACGGCAATGGCGTCCCTGGGAGCAGAAAATTATTTTCTGTTTAACTTTTTTTTTTTTAATTTCAAAGACCATGCGTTTTTCCAATACCGTGCCGCGTTCACACCCGGTATAATATAAATGTGTTTATAATATAAAAGCAATCATCTGGTCCTGCTGTCCACTAAATGCGTTCGTAACTAGACTTTCTTAAAAAGTTCGAAATAATTTTTAAGAAACAATATTGAAAGCAACATTTTTATCTCAAGCAACATTTATACAACATAAATAACAACTTATAATCAGGTGGAATAATGTCAAAACAATGTCTAAAGTCACACAAGATTTTTAAAAATTATATCGAAGTAAATTGCTGCAAATCGTGTAAATAAATGTAGATGTTTCATTATCAAGAAATTGTAATTCATGTAACAAGTTTCCTTTCAGTTTCAACCAACTAGGCGTTTGATGTACAAAGACACGATATATCCTGTATTTTGTTTTGCGATTTCCCGATTTGTTGCGAGTGAAATAATAATAAAAAATAAATCATATTTTTTTTATCTCATAATATCAAATACACAATTTACTCCTGGTTAATCGGGTAGGGATACTCCGGATGACTTTGTAGTCTGAAAATAAAAATAAGTAAGTATATTTCGTTTGGGAATTAATTCAATACTAACTGTTTGAGGCCGCCCAATCTAGCTTTTTCGCCTAGAGCCACACTGTCTAAAGCTTTCACATCTTCGTCGTCCAGATTAAAATCAAACAGTTGGAAGTTTTCTCTTATTCTACTTGGCGTGACGCTTTTGGGTATAACGGCGATGTTCCTCTGCACCAGTGCCTTGAGCAAAATTTGAGCTGGCGTCTTTTTGTGCTTCTCCGCGATCTTCTGTACGATTTGGTCTTCCAACACTTGCGGTTTGTCGGGCCTGATAAAATAGCAAGTCGAAAAGTCTGTACGTAACGTTCATTTCAAAATATTCTACATTCCGTATGTTTTTCTTCATTTTTATTAAAAAGGAACATTTATTCCTTGATATCAAGAAAAGTTTAAAGGATAAAAGATAGAGAGGATAAAAGAGTATTGAAGAAATTTATTTATTTATTTACGGTTTAACCAATTTGCAAAACTTTTACATTCATTAAAAGCAAAGAGAGAAAGACAGCAATATAACAACTAGAAACCAGAACAAAATGTAACAATAACAATAAAAAGAATTAAGTGGCAGCACTCAAACGGAACACATCAGAACGAAATGAGCGAAGGCTGCCGACAAAAGGATCAAGCTTTAAACAGTTGCACGCTTTCAGCATTCTAGTAAGGGGTGAATAAACTCCATAATTTGCGCGATGGTAAGGTATGCGGAACATTGAGTTATCGCAGCTTTTGTAATATGGGTCGAATTGTATGCTATGTAAAAGAGCTGGACAATAATACCAACCAATCAGAATCTTAAAGAGAAACTAAATCACTTGAGATCTTCTGGTTTGAAGAGTATCAATATTGAAGGCCTTCGTTATTATACTGCGGTTGGTCTGATGCCCATTATAGATATTAATATGCGCCTTTGAAGCTCAAGATCTTAAAAATACTTTCAGAACGGCTTCGATATTATCTATATGGCAGGCATAATATGGAGACCATACCACAAATCCATACTCCAGTCTAGAGCGAACAAAGAGATATAAGGGAGTTTACTATTGCGTACAACAAACCCAGGGACTCGCATTGACCTGTCTTTAATACTAGTGACGGCCTCGATCTCGATTCCACCAATGCTATACTGGTTGTGAACCATACTCAAGGAACGACTAAAGCTAAAACTACAGCATTTCCTTACACTGAACGAGAGGCTATTAATCTTAGAGATGCATGCTGTTGATCAGCCAGAATTTCCTTGCAATGCCACGAAAGTCTCTCACAAACTAACCTATCAAGCAGTTTAGGAGCCACCGACTGTATGCAAACGCCCCTATAATTAGCGACATCGCTTTTATCACCACTATTGTGAATCGGTACCAAATAGCTAACCTTCCAAAAGTCAGGAAAAATACCTGAAGACAAGGACAGGTTAAAAATTTGCTGTAGTGGCCTATTCAAAGTACACACACAATTCTTAATCAAGACTGATGGAATCCTGTCCGGGCCATTCGAAAATCCAGTCCGTAAGTTCATAATACCCTCAAACAAAATTTATAACGAGTTAATATGAAGAAATATTTTAACTCGTATCAATCTAAGGAATAAATATTTCCGAAAATAATTAGAAGAAAGAAATTCAATTCAATATTTAAAAATTGAAGATCGCCTTTGTTTAGATATTCTCAGAATTGGTGTAAGAATATTGTAATTAAAATGTCGAATTGAAACCATGTCTACCAAATTGGTGTATATGTAAATGACCTTTTTAATTCTTTAAAAGCATTTAATAATAAAAAAAACTTTGTTACTGTATCTTAAGAACTATTAATACTTTTCTATGGGAAATGGAGATGTTTCCACAATTTTGAAAATTACGGGTTGATACTTGGCGTATACAAAATATTTTTTTATTCTACCGCTTTTGAATTACATCCTCAAAAGACTTCAGAACAGTATTCAGTAAGTATGTACTGTATATAGAACTCGGGAAATTCTATAAAAATTTAAATAGTGTTAAGCTCAATTATCTTAGCGAACTACCGATGAATACTGCTACAATGCTTTTGGTCCTTCATAGTTCTGGTTAAACTTGTTTAGTAAGATGTGGTTATATATTTTGCTATGTCATCGCAACTTAGTCTCGTTGCTAACATATGAAAAGAGTGTACGGCTAAGGATGAATTCTATGAATTCTATTCCACAAGAAATTTTTTGAACGGACTTTACCAATGCGCTTTCAATCCTGGGTTGCTCAAAGAAAAATACGATATGGCCACTAGTCCATTCTTCTGAAGAAACTCGACAAACTCATTTTGAGACAGGTAGACATTTAATTCAATTTGATTGGCGACGGGTTTGATTTTGGCTTCTCTCAAAATGTTCTCTACTTGTCTCTGGTTGAAATTTGACAAACCTATGGTTCTAGCGCGTCCGGCTTTTACTTGTTCTTCCATTTGCTGCAAAATAAGTTACATAAGACCTGCAGTTGCTGTCACTTGCAGGTTTGCATGGTTTTAACTCACTCTCCAGATACCTATATGGTCAGTCGGCAGTCCTTGTAAGCCCTGAAATCCTTTATCGTCTAAAGGAGTTGTCCGAATCGGAAAATGAATTAAGTACAGATCGACGTAGTCAAGCTGTAGGGATTCTAAAGATTCTTTCAAAGATTTTTCGACACTAAAAATATCACCCTTATTAAAATTTATACCTTACTATAATTTACACCGTATATTAACCCTTCCGGATAGTTGTTGCTCCACGGTAATTTAGTGGTTATAAATACATCTTCTCTTTTCAGCTTTCCGGATGAAAACCATTTTTTCAAAACCTTGCCGATAATATGTTCATTTTTGTAAAGATAGGCTGTATCAATATGTCGATAACCGACCTCCAATGCAACATCTAAAGCTTTTTCTAAAGTTTCTTCTTCGGTGACCTAAAACGATTCGTATTCCAAGCGGACAGCCATCGAACTATGTTCGACGATCGAATCAGTCGATAAAGAAACAAATGAAGAAACCATATATTCTCTTTTAGTATGAAATAAACAATTAAAACACATTTCAAAGCTTTTGAACATTGGAAAAGGATGAAGCACAAAATGTTCCAATAATAGCAAATCACCCGATATGTGGTTAATATTATAAATTTATCAGAACGTCATCCATTATAGAATCATAGCAAACAAATTCCGAAAAATTCAAAACCGAAAACGAAGATTTTCAGGGTTTTTATTCACAAGCCAATTTTTACATTGTTGTCCGTTTCCGTCCGTTCAAACATCCTGCATAATAAAACTGAAACACTTCTAACGAACACGATAGATGCGCTCTTTGTAATGCAATTTTATTTGTTGCGAAATTTGGGGGTTTATTTTACAAGCTAAAATTTATTGCCTGGCGACATTCATATTATTCAACAGAAAACTCAAGCAGTAGCAAACTAGCAAAATTACTCATTATTTTACTTACGGTAAATGTTCCAATACCAACTATAGGTATTTTATAATTTCCAAGTGCTAATGTTGGGGCTGCCATTTCGTATTCTTATGAATCTTCTATAAAAACACCTTCGGTCGTTATATAGTAGTAGCATAGACAATATGCTATAAAATGATTTTTCGGTTCAAATTATCTTTTAAGTATATCGATATTTAAAATGTGCAAATAATGATGATAAAACCACTTTGTGAACCCACTTACTTCATCTTATCAGTTAATATTATACCACGTACGGATTTGTTAGGATTTTAGGGAGAAATTTAAATCAAACTAATTTTATATGAAATTTGTTATTTTTACTTAGCTCCTTCAATTTCAGTTTGATTTTGATTTCTGTATTTTGTTGTAAATTAGATACAAAACCTTACCGAGACCGAAAACATTGCCTGTCGAAAAATGTATTATTCTCTTCGAATAAGAACCTTAAGTGAGTACGTAAGGGTAGATGCCTCTTTTTTTCTTATCCAACGTCTAAGGATAAAGAATAATTCTTCATGTTTTCAGAAAATACCCGAAATTGCGGTTATTGCTTACATCTAGTCGCCTATGGCATATCCAAATAAGGTTGTCAGTTTTGTAACTGTAGAAATTGTTAAGAAATTTGGATCGTTATCGTTCTTGTGTTGTCAAAACGAAGATTTACCCAAACGAAGAACGTATTGATATGATTTGTATCCTTGGGACATACCATACAGGTTTTTTTTTCAGTGTTATGTTATCTTCAGTTAGTTTTGATTAGTTACTTGTGGTTGTAGAATGAATATATTACTTGTGAAGTGTATGTTAATTTGTAAAATTCTTATCTATTATTATTGTTAATATTCGTGTTATTGTACCTAATTGGCCTTTAAGCAGACCAAAACTTGTAAGTTATAATAATAGAATTTGTACCAATGTCAAGAAGTATAAGAGAAAGCCATCATTCACAACTCACAATTGTCAATTCAATAAATTATCTGAAAATGTTTAAATACCAAAGCAACTAACAGCTTTAAAATTTTATTTAGAAAACACAAAAAAAATAAAATAATAAAATAACTGTACCTTCTTGAAATTAACCATTTTTTTGAATGTAATTTAAACAGAAAGGTTCGGGTAAAGAGAGTTTACATTACTCAAAATTTTAATTTTCTATTTAATATTCAGCAACCAAAAAAATCAGTACCTAGTTTACTATAATAAAAATTTTAAAACAAGCCATCACACATGTACCATCACTGTCCATTGTTTTTTTAGTATTACGAATACGCAACAGTTTATATTGTCATCTAAAAAGCAGTTCATCCCCCGAAAATATATAACGACAACTGGTTCATTTGCTTTCAATGGTTTCCCGTATTTACGAATTCGGACTCGATATAATTAAATTCCAGTGCAATTTTCGTTAGCAATTTATTTCCATTTACTTGGTACGTTGCAGGCACTGTCCATCCGATGCTGACAATAACCCACACTTCGTATTCCTGTCACGAAACCGTCGGCAAAAAAAGCACGGACACGTCGCCCTCCCACAGTCAGATCTCCCGGAATTCTTCGAAAAAATCGAACAATTCGCTCCTGGTAAACAACGGAAAATTTGAAGGTATTGTTAGGAATGTATTCGTCGGTTACTAAATTATTCGTTGGCTCTTCGCGGTGAAAATTCGGGACTACGAAGTCGAGACGAGTATACATCATAGCAAACAATTACGAAATACAAACGAAAATTTACGTACAGTATTTTTCAAGATATTTACTTCTGGCTTAAAAGGCTACCACAAAATATCATTGATTATGATAATAATTGCAAGTATGATTAAAGACCAAAGGTGTGATTTTAGAATTAAATGATAATAATAACTGTTATTATTATTTATTATTATTATTAACTCAACTTAATAACAGTAATGCAAACAAAATTTCTTCATCTATAGATAAAATAAAACAGTATCTTTCTTTATACAAAACATTACACAGCATACGTGAACAAACGCAATGTTGATGCTCAATACATTTAAAAGTCTTTGGTTTAAGAGTTTATTCAATCAAAACTGTCCCCAAAAAGCTTGGTGGTTTAACTTTATTAAGGTATGATGATTCATAACAAAATAGGATGTAACAGTGAAAAAAATGTGTGTGGCGGTTCTGACAACCCTAATTGCTCGTGGACTATTTGTAAAGAAATAAAGGGAAACACCGAAATCTCCGAAATAAAAATAGAAGGTGGTAGTGAAGATATTATAATTAAATATAAAAATGTTTTATTTACGGTTGTATGCTGCTACTAGAGATACAGATAATACAGAAACTTATGAAGCAACTATGAAAAAATGCCACTGACCTTGCGGCATTCAAAAACCAACATGGCCGCTAACAGATCGTCAATAAGATTTGATGCCGCAGTATTTTCTCAGAATATATCTCGATCTCGTTAAATGTTCCTCGAAAACAAGTTAAGTCTATGCGTAAGTTCTTGTATTATTGACATATGCAGGGTCTCTATACTTGTAGTTGCTATATGATTTTGCGATAATGTCAGAAAAATCCGCCTGGTGGCAAGGGAAGCGACCACAATCGCGTCACTCATGGCCATATAGCTATTAGACACATAGGGCCTAGGGCAATAATACAGGAACTTATGAAGCAACTATGAAAAAAAAAATTAAGAAGGTCGCAACATTTAAAATATCGTTTTTAGCCAATGACCTGGCGCAAATCGACAACCAACATGGCCAACGACAAATCGTCAATAAGTTCGGATGTGACATTTTTCGGGGGTAGTTTAATAAAATATGCCTAAGTTTCGTTGTGGAAAAACCAGATAAGTGTGTACAAGTCGGTGTTTAGAAAAAAAAAGCGCAAAATGCAGGTTAGTGCGTGAAATATAGACGTATGCGCGGAAAATAATTACCTTCTCTACGAAAATATCAATGCCGCCTGCGGCGCTTCAATTTTTATCGTACTAGAACCACTATATTATTATCTAATAGCTATATGGTTGTATCAGATTTATTAAATCAATTTCTTTTAGTAACGATATTAGACAAAATGTAAATACAATGTTTCTAAAACTGGTCAGTCCGGATGAAGTTGACGAAATATTAAAAATAATTTTAAAAAAACATAGTCGCAGTATTTTGGAAATTTCAAACAGTATTATTAAAATATCAATGGGTAAAATAAGGAAGATTTTGTTTAACATAATCAATAATTAATTTACATTATGAATTTTCCCTGATAGCTACAAACTGCACTGATAAAACCCGAGCTGTTAGACAATTACATATCAATAAACCTTCTAGCAGGATTTTCAAAGATATTTGAATTAGCAATGAACAGCAGATTAGTGGACTTCTGAATGTAATCTCTCAGTAAGAACCAACATAGGTTTTTAAAAAGAAAATCGACGGAGACTGCACTTCATTCAGAAAATCAAAATGCTCAAACACCTTGAAAATGGTTAATTAGCCTTTGAAACTTATCTAAAACCTGTGATAGTTTAAATAGGGAACTTATTATTCAAGAACTGGAATAGTATAGTTTAAGAGGAAATGCCAAAAACTGTTAATATCTTATTAATAGAATAATTAACTCAAAGATCTTAAAAGGTAATCTAGATGATTAAATATGCTGACCAAACTGTTTTAATTATTTGAAGTAAAACACTTCAGGAATTAATTTTGAAGCCTCAGGAATTCTTTACAGTAGTCACAGTCAGAAAGAATAAATTAATTCTAAATAAAAATAAGATCGATGTACTTCACAAAGCAATCAAATGAAACGTGACCGTAACACAAGGAGTTTGAAGGCAAGGATGGGGGAGCTAAATTGCTCGACATTTACATCAATGAACATTTTGATTGGTCATATCATATAAACAAATTCACAAAAAAAACTAAACACTATTTGCTAAGTGAGTTATTGCTCTCAGGGCTAAAATGAAACCGTTTGTGAAAAAGCCAACAGGATGATTGGTGAAACGTCCGCAGGAGGAATTCAGATGATTTGTAAATAGTAATTCAAATTACAATTAAAAAAAAATGATAATAGATTCAGAATACTATACGTTAAAGAACTTTTGTCCCAATTTCTAAACTATTTTATTTTGTTATTTATGAAATACATACAGTGTACTAACAATCTAACATTGAAAATATCATCAAGAGGGAATAATAACACTTGCTAATAAAAAATATTTGAACTTTAAATTAGTATATGGATGTCTGCGTTCTGTTACTTTTTTATTTAAAATTTCTGAGATTTGAAAACTAGACTTTTAAAATTTTTTTATGCATATTATTCATCATCATCATCATTCATTTTACTTTAAAAATAAAAGCTCGAAAGGATTTGACTGCTAACTTCAAAGCGTCTAAACGAGAAAGATCATTTCAACTTAAGCGTTCCACGGTACTGACATAAAATAAATTTGATTTCTAAAATCAAATAAACTCTTTGCACTATTACATCAACTCCATGTTTGTAAACATTTCTCAGATGACACAATTTCAAGATGATTCATTAGACGTTTCATAAATATCAAGGCAGATTGCGGAATTCAATGTTAACTTAAAATATTAACCATAAAGGTATGCATTTTTTTTATTTGATCATAGAAATAAGAATGTATGAGGTAATTAGTTTAAATCAGTTTTTGCAACAAAAAAAAAAGAATTTTTAGATAAATTTTAGAAATGGACATGAAACGGTACTAACATTTAGATGATATATTGTAGGTTCGCTCTGAATGACAAATTGTATGAGAACAAACCATACAAGACAAAAATCACAGTTAAAACAGAAATAGTCATATATTCTGCAAATATTAACTCTCTCAAACCTGTGACTAACGAAGCTGACTTCTGACAGTGACAGTTTCCGCGCGCTTGAACCGTGCGTAATTGGGTATTTTAGAGTACTTCATGGAAAATATTTAGATAACTTCATTTCTAAGAATTTGTCAGTTAATTTATTTTATTTATGCATGCACATTCTTAAAAAAAAACTGAATTCTCTTTTGACCTTGCATCGTGAACATAAATTTTACATTTTAAATTTTTTATTGTATGCATTTACAACCATAAGCTTAAAGCAACTTAACGGTACTACCTAACGATAAAAAAATGCTGTCAATTTCACAAGTTTCAGTTCAGTATTTAAGTATTTTGAGTATTCTCTAAATATATGCCCAGATCTCGTTAAATAATTTTTGAAAAACGAGTTAAGTGTGTGGAGATCTCTATTTTCCATATTCTCCCTCGGCACATCAATTTTTACCGTACTATCACCATTATATAGCTAATAGCTACATGGTTTTTATTTTTTAAATAAGCCAAGATGCGTAGTACCAAAACTGTGCTCCAACTGTAATGTAATGTAATGTAATGTTCTGTTGAAAAACGAGTATATCTTGTTTATTTTGACTTAAAATGTAGTCCAGACGAATTTGTAAGGTTCCACGAACTAATTTATATTTATATACATATCAAAAAGCAAGTGATATTTGAAATGGTTCAGAATACAAAGCTCTGGACACCTATAGATGTTATTTAGGCATTTGCAAAACTTGACAAAAATTGGACCCCAAATGTGGATCAACTCTAGAGGTGAAATAGACCTAAAGAAGTAATCTGATCGAAAAAATGTTATATGCATGTCGCACTGTTACAAAGTGTTTTCTGGGCAACATGACAATGAGGTGGAAGTTGAACATTTATTAACAACTTTCAAAAATGTGGGTTGGCTCAAAATTAATTTCTTGCATTCTCTCCTAAATTGTTTTCGAGGAAGCCTTAAAGCCATGAGCGGACAGCATTGGGAAAGGTTCCATTTAGATATTAATTATGGATGATTTTGTACAATCTTATCTTATGGTCAATATAAAAGAAAAAATCGTCCTTCTGCAAGGTTTTAAATGTAAAATAGATGTAGATTTTGTTTGTAGCAATATAATGTGTAATTTTCCAAATCACACACATATATTATTAATAATTTAATAAATTCTAATTGCTTTTTCTAAATCATCTAAATCATTCAAAAATAATTAAAAAAATATTACAATAAACAAAACATACGTTTAATTAGTTACATAGTGCTATTGCTTACGTATAAATATTATGCGGCGTCCGTGACCGAAACGTTGACGAAATATCTTCTAATCTTCATTATCCAATGAAAGGATTAATTTTTCCGGTTATTGTAGGTACAGAAAGCACATGAAGGTGGTCGACGACAAATCGCCCCTTAATCCAGTCAATCTCCTAAGCAGCTGCGCACTACTAGGTAGTAGCCGGTTAAGAGCACTTGTATCTCAATTTATTGAACCCGAGAAACTTTCCAAGGGCAGGGGACATGCATAGAAATAGAAGAGAATTAATTCTCGAACTAGAACTCCTCTCAATAAAAGGACCTGTTTTGCATGTGGGGGTCAACAAATAGTTGTATTGTGACTTACTGTAGCTCGAACAGAAATTAGTATGACGATACAGCGATATTACTTTTTGAAGAAACTTCCTTTCAAACATTCCTTCAAATTGTGCGATAGAAATAGACTATGCAAACATATAAAATACAACAAGTAATCTTTTAGAAGTTTTGAACCAAGGAAGTATATCGGGAGCATTATAATACTACATCTGATGCACCTTTTCTAAAAATGGACCTACTATCTTTTTATTGCTTAGCTGTTTGTTTGTTACAGTGTGGTCGACACATATAGTTTGATCGCAACTATTAAATCGAACCCAAATAACTTGAAATACACTATATCTATTTCTATTTCGACAAAAGACAACTAATGCGGACATCAAAATCTTAGAGTTTATATCAGAAATTCTTTCTGTGAGCCCCATTCAATATCGGCGAGATATACTTTAAAGTTATTAGTTTAGGTTACGTTAACCCTTGAAATAAGGTGTTAAACTTGGTGTACGATATATACATTTTTGCTTTTGTGAATTTAAATTATATGGTTAAAATTTAATTTTCAGATTAAATTATATTATCAAATTAATTATAGCTTTCGAGGTTCCGTTTTCAAAGTGGTTGAAAAGCAGACCAAACACAACAACAAAATTCAGAAGTTATAATGTACTAGTTTTAGTTTAATTCTGTATGTCGAAGTTTTTATCACTTTTATTTACGTTATAAAGTCTCGGTCCGCTCAACAACGGAGTGTTGAGCGCACCGAGACCAGTGTTCCTACTGGTTCATGGATAAATTGGTGGAATCAAATAATAAAATCTAATATAGTCGCACCTATAAGAACTTGACCAAAATTAACACGCCTGGTTGCCATAAAAGTTCCAATTCCTGTTATGAGAGAATAAATACTGTAAGGCAATTGGAGTAAGTTTTACTTTACCTAATTTTTTCATCCTTTTGTTAAATATGTAACAACTTTTGGGTTTGATTCCCACATCAATTTTCAATCTATATTGATAAAGTTCCAAAAAGTAGGTACGGTACGATATTAAAACAGGATATCGCAAATTTTGCAATCGCTATGTTGGAAAAAGGAAAGGTTTTTTTTCCACTAGGTGTTTAGCAAACTTGGCTGTATTTAAGCGTTGCTTAAACACCATTGCGTTCAATAGCAGCATCAACTAAAAGCATTTATGGAGGACATTAATTTGTCACTTTTACTTGTTTATATGATGTTCGGCGTACATTCTCACGTTGAGCATAATAGATTTATCGTTTGCATATTATCCCTTGTAATAATAGTAATAAATAATGAAATTGTATATCGGTCATGAAAGTAAAGCAAATAAAAATAAATTTCGTTCATTAGTGAGTCAATTTTTGTCACATGAAATCATGAACCTTGACTTCATTGTTATTTATTGGATTTTCAGAAGTACGCCACCTCGTGGAGAATTCCCTCGATGTAAACTCGCTGAAAGTGTCATTAAAAGACATCGTTTGTTACTTATCTTTGCTGGAAGCGGGACGACCGGAAGACAAGTTGGAATGTGAGTTTCAAACTTCTTTTTTTTATTGCTTTTTTATTGGATTTTTCTCTTACGGTTTAGATGTTTAGAAAAAGTTTTCGGTACCTTGCCTAAAGTAAGATGATTAATGTTTGTTTGACATTTATTTTTACCGAAATCTTATCCGTCTCTTTGATTCCGCTTTAAAAAAGATTTTCGTATTTTAGCCGAATGGCCAGTTCCTGCAAAAAAATTAATTGGCGCTGAAAATTTTCATAAACTCAATATATGCTGAAAATTTTCAGTTCATTCTCAAATTCAGATAACCAGTTTTTAATTTTGCTAAAAGATTTTTTCTTTCCTTTTGGGAAGTGTCTCAATTTTTTCTTATAATTTAACCGATCATAACAGAAGAACCAGCAATTCAACTCAAAATTTCTTCCGAAATTTTAAACGAATATTTGTCAAAAAGCCCTATATGTAACACTTCTTTGATTTGTTTTTCTTTATTATTGTCGTATTTATTTTAGTTATGTTCCGGCTCTATGATAGTGACGACAATGGTTACCTAGATAAAACGGAAGTGGATAGCATTGTCAACCAGATGATGACTGTCGCTGAATATCTGGGTTGGGACGTATCCGAATTAAAGCCTGTAAGTACATGTAAAATGTTAATTTTTGAGTCTAATGCTAATATTTGCTTTGGGTCTGATCTACCATCCCAAGAGTGCTTTTAATTTTGCGAAAGAACTGATCTTGTAATATACATTTCCCGTTAACAAATATTCAAGCGCGCAAACATCACTAAGCTGCATTTTAAAAGTAAAAAATCAACTCCAGACGTGTAGTTGGTTATATTGGTCGTAATTAAAAATCGAAGTCATGGACTATCAAAACCTTATTTTTCGCCCATTTCTAAAATTGCCTCCACCTTTTTTACGAAAGTTTGAATCCAGATAAAAACGCTGTTAGGGCACATTTTTGCACTCAGATTTTTTCTATAATTCTCTTTTATCCCAAAATGTACTAAAATAAACGAAATAAAAATTTGTGAAGTGATAAAGTGCACTAAAACGAATTTCAATCTGTTGGCTCAAAGAAAAACGTACCCAGACGTCAGACTTTTCAAAAAGTAATTTAATGTACAGAGTGATTCATATAAATGTCCATGGTTCCGAAAATTACGAATTTAAAGCTTATTTGGACGTTCCGCGTACAGGGCGCTAGCTTCATCCTATTACTTAGATAAATCGAACCATTTTTTTGTGGTTAAAACATGTTGAAAATCTTGCAGAATATTCATTGTTTCATTGTTAAGTTACTCTTGAGTAGGACGTTTAACTCTATCGGTTTTTGAATTGTTTGAGTTTAAAAAGTTTAACGTATAGCAGAAAAGGTACGGGAAGATATATAAATCCAATATCTAAAAATACTAAATTTAGAAATCATAAAAAAAACTTCAAACTTCAAAAGATTTCTCTTGTCTTGTAAATGTAGCCACACTGGAAAAAAAATCTTATTTGTTTTTTAATTTTGGTTTTCGGTTCACATAATTTGGCAAAAATTGAGTAAATTGTAAGCAAGTCTCTAGGCCTCTTCAATGTATTTATCTACTTTGTTAATTTTGGAATAAACAGTGAGCTACCCACACGGAAGCCACTTGACAAATTTTTTTGTGGAATTTTGAAGCTTCTCTGATTTTTGCAGATTGTATTTTTAAAATTAAAATCGTCGTGGGAGCTACCAGAATTGCCTCCGCGAGGTACCGGTAGCTCGCTATCGACAGGTTGACCGCTGCTCTAGGCAATGTAAAGCTAGGATGGGTATGGATGGAGTACCCAAACCTTTATATTCCGAATCATGGAAGTGAAATTTCGTCTTCTTCATCAACGGAAATAATTTTTGAAGCACTATTTTTTCCCGGCTAAATTATCCTAAAAGGTTGCAAAAATATCTAAAACGTTTAAGATTATGTTGCCATCGATTTGGGTATATAATTTGCTTGGTCAAAAACACTAAAAATATGACAAATTCTGACACAAGCCTACTTGTATTCATCTTGGGTCGGTAGAAATCCAACTTGCGAATCATGATGTTGGCTTCTTCAGAGCTTAATTTAAACTGGTTTGCATTCTCCTCTGTACCTGCTGCTTATATATTGTTTGAGGGGGGTGGAAACATTGTCTCGGATGACTGATTCCCATATTGGTGAAAGGTAAAGGCCTGACCGCGGTTAAGATTGTTTGGTTGTTTATAGATTTCTATATATTCTCTGATTTTTTTATGGTAGAAGAATTGATTACATGCAAGAATTTTAGATTTATCGAATAACATTTGATATCCGGTTTCACGATTGTGTTCCGCAACTGCTGATGAATTTATTGAGCCTAGTTGATATTTTTCGTCCGGTGTCTCCAATGTATTCTTTGCTGCGTATGCATGGAATGGTATCTCAAACGGAATTTCGTCTTTGACGTATCGAAGATGTTGAGAGATCTTGTGACAAGTTGGGTGGTTTTGAAGTTATATTTCTTAAGAACTTTTAATATGTGATCGGTAACGTTTTGAATGCAAGGGAATGACAGCAGTGGCAAATGTGGGGTTGCTTTCGTACTGATTGTCTTTGGGGGGTTGTGTTGAAGTGATTTTTGTGATAGAACGCTTAATAATAATGTGGAAATTATTAGAGTGACTCAGGTTGAGATGATTTTACGGGGAGTGGATATGATGATTTTTATGCCGGATGGTGATGTGATAATGCATTAGGGTATCGGTCTGGGTGCGTAGGTTTTCTGTAAACAGAAAAATGGGAGATTATTATTTGTTTCTAATTCAATAGTAAAACGTATATTAGGGTGTATAAAGTTTAAATGGCTAAGAAAAAGTTTTTTTCTCAAATGCCATAAATATATTCTGACTGGTGATAATAGAGACCTCATAGGTGTTCCCTACGTTTGATCATAAATTTAACCGTTACAAGAAATTGTGACTTTAGTAGCGTCGAAGTAACTGTTTGAATCTAATGTAATGGTTTTTAATTGTTCATTGAAATGAAAGAAATTAACTACGAAACTACCAGTTATCCCTGTAAAGGATTTTAATATAGAAGTTAGATATTTTGCTAGACAATATATTCGAGAACCAATAGTGCTGACAATAGGTCTAAGGGGTAATCCTGATTTGCGTATCTTAGGTCGTCCGTTAAGACGAGAAAATTGAGAGGGGTGGCAGAATTTTTCTGGTAGATCAGAAGCCTTAATAATAGGTTAAGGTTGCGTTCCATAGATGATGATAAATGATGATGAGACGATAGGATCTGTCTATAAGAATATCTCGAATTTTCCCCTTATATGCACTTGTGTTCATGACCACCGTAGCATTTCCTTTATGTGCTTTTAGAATTATGATGTCGGGATTAGAATTTAGAGATTTTAGGGCAACGCGCTCAGCCTTTGGAATATTAGATTTTGGAAGTTTGAATTTTGCGGTTTCTAATCGAATTGCATTGGCTGTTTAAGATGGCAGTTTGTTTAAGATAGACTCGACATTTTAAATGATTTCCTCTCTTGGGATAATCTGTGGGGCAAGGATAAGTTAAACGCAAAAACTGATTTTCTAGGGCCAAAAAACGTCGGTTATCAACTATACAGAGCCATAAAAATCTCAACCCAAGTCACTGAAGCCAGAGTTAAAACCCATTATATAATAACAATAATAATAATAATTTCCACATTAGAGATAGTAAGCGTTCTATCAGAAAAATCACTTCAACACAACCTTCCACAAACAATGCGACAGAAAGCAACCCGCTACTCGCCACTGTTGTCCTTCTTTACATTCAAAACATGACTGACCACATATCAAAATACCACAAAATACCAAAATCTTCTCAATGTCTTCGATCCGTTAAAGACAAAATTGCCATTTAAGATACCAGAAGTTTACTGCATTCCATGTATATGCGGCAAAGAATCCATTGGAGGGAGTACCTTTCCATCTTTTAAATATTTATTAAAAAAAATAATAATAAATAAAACAAAGAATACCTTGAACTTTGTAAATGCAAATATGCTAAAAATCGATAGAGTTAGGTGGCCTTAATAGCAATCCTTTTTCTATGTAAAATTGAACATTCTTTCAGATTTTCATCGAGTTTTAATCATAACTCGATTGGAAATATGATTCGATTTAACTAAGTTATACAGTGAAACTAGCGTCCTCTAGGAGAAATGTCCAATTAAGTTTCAAATTTGTAATTGCGGTGTTAAAAAACCGAAAGCTGTCAATTTTTCTTATTATAATCCAAAAACATTCTCGATTAATGAGAATGCTAAGATGAAGTTCGATACAGCTACTACTACCGCTGTTGTTCTCTGTAGACTAATTTAGATTACCGTTCTAAAACTAACCGTTAGAATACATTACCTCTTTGTTTGTATATTTTTGCGTGTGAAGCATTCCCCATTGAAAATTAAGCGCTTCTAAAAAAGAACGTTTTCATTATTGGCTCACTATCTCGCCTAGCGCAACCGTTTTGCAATCTCTACTAATTCAAATCTCATTTATTTTCAGATCCTCCAGGACATGATGGTCGAAATCGACTTCAACAAGGACGGTCTCGTGTCCCTCGAGGAATGGAAAAGGGGAGGATTAACCACAATTCCCTTGCTCGTCCTGTTGGGTCTCGATTCAAATGTTAAAGAAGATGGCAAACACTTGTGGCGACTGAAACATTTTAGTAGACCTGCCTACTGTAACTTGTGTTTGAATATGCTGGTCGGGTTAGGCAAAAAGGGTCTTTGTTGTATTTGTAAGTCTCCTAATATAAGTTATTAATATGCGAATGCGCTGAAACTGGATTGAGGAAACTGATATTAATTTTACAATTGAAGTATTTTAAGAGGAAAAACAATTGCGCTAAAATAGCCTAATTTAATTAATGTCTAAAATTAATGTTATTTACCTTATTTTACTAGAAATGGACAATTTATTACTTATCTTAAATTTTTCTATTTTTAATTCTGTTTTATTTATTGGATAGAAATAACAATACTTCCATCATTTCTCAGACATCAATGCAGGCACGTCTCAACAATTAAATATATATAAACTTATTAGACCGTCACACGGGGTAAATAAAAGGGATATAATTTCTCCGAACTTTTCAGAGACACCCTGTATATTGCCAAACATCATTTATCAGGTTATAGGAATGAAAAATGACTCTTTCTTGCAGTTTGTAAATACACCGTCCATGAACGTTGCGTTGCCAGAGCTCCTGCCAGCTGCATAGCAACGTACGTCAAAAGTAAAAAATCATCGCAAACCCTCCTCCACCACTGGGTAGAGGGAAATTGCCACGGAAAATGCGGCAGGTGTCGGAAACCCGTAAAGGCTGGAGTTACCGGATTACACTGTAGATGGTGTCAGATTACCGTAAGTAATCTATGATTGGGATTTAGAATCGCAACTGGATAAGTCGCTCACAGCCTCGCGGTAAAACTTTGAATTAAATTTCGTTTTGCGCCAAAATCGAATTCGTGCAGTCTTGCGTTTCACGTATAAAATTTCTCGAATTAAATAGTTTAATCGCGCAAAACTAACTTTCGCAACAGTTTGAAGCGTGGTGTCTATGTAAACGTAGATTAATTGTCAATCGGTTGGAAACTAGTGGATAAATTTATCTGCGAAATTTGTTAACGGATGAATCGTCAACGTCAAAATCAATGAGTCAAAGCAGTTTTATCGTTTTATTTTTGGTTTGGTTATGTTGGTTAGTGAGGTCTCTAACGTCAAAAATAGATGTTTTTTTTTTAATTGGCCCTGTAAGTTTCTATTTTTTTAAATTAAAAAAATTTCAGTAAATTGTTTTGTTTCTAAAATAATGCTCGAAGACCAGAGAGTTAGTTGACCTAATAGTGGCGCAGAATTATTTTCGAAACAGCGGAAATTACCGTAGAAGTAACTGTAGAACAGTTACTATACTTTACCATAGCATTTCTTTTTAATTTCTAATGTGTAAGGTGCCAACTTTGTTCCGGTATATTCTAGGAACTCACTTTCCAGTGTTTCTATGTTAAAAACATTCTGCGAAGAAAAATTTTAATTCTAAAATCTGAAATTCAGTTGTCGAAAAAAAAATTAGTTGAAACCGGAAACCAATATAAACAATCATATTTTCTGGTTGGTTCTATGTCTGAGGCGATAAAATGTATTTTCTTTCTAAACAGATCAACATAATCAACAGGAAACAAACAAATTCAGCATCCATATTCAAAATATCAAAAATCTGAAAGAATCTTCTGACGGATCAAAATTTTTATGCATCGTTGTAAAATGAGCAAATGGTAATCATGTGCTTTAAGAATATGATCGGTGTGCTGACCCAAAAATACTAAGGGCTTGTCGGGTCTCTTCGATATGAGAACTTTGCTCAGAATATGCTTGAAACATAGTTTATTTCACGAGGGTAAAGTCTGTTCATAGATATAAGAAAGTGACTAACTGATACGAATTAAGGAAAGACCCGGGCAAGCTGTAAGAATGAAATATGGCCGAACAGGTCCGCACTTTGCTTAGAATTTAATTATTTGGGGTTTTGTTAGGAAAGATACTAAACAATATTTATTTATTTATGTATGTATTTATGTTTAAATCTAAAATAAAATTACAAATTATTTTTATTACCTACTTAAATTACTTAAAATTATTCACATAATATATTAGTATCACTATCGCTATCATCGCCTGTTCTAATTATTATTTGTTCTATATTATTTGCATATACGATCGTTCTGCTTTTTCTATATGTTTAACATAATTTGCCCAACTTTGTGGAGGGATGTTAAAAACTTCAGTTTCTATAAGTTTAAGGACATTGGAGTTAACACTGGGAAAAACATTGTTACGACGAATGGCAGATTTCTGTATGTAGCTAACCAAAACTTACCTTTTGTCAATTTTTTTAAATCTAAAACCCATGTGTTGAATACACTTCCATAAGGTAGTTCTGAAACATTTAACACCGGTTTCATCTTTTTCAAGCCTCCTCAATAGAATAGTGTTTTCTACATTTGGGCCGGAGCATCTCCTGAGATACACCAGACTCATACATATTTTTCATAATTCGCACACGATTCAACACACGCTGTATTACACACGAAATAAGAATGATTACTAATAAACTTAAACTAAGTAGTATACCAAACGAAAGAATATTAAACACAGGTAGGTATAAAATTATTTTCTATTACGCACCACAATTTTGCCTGAATTTAAATTCCGAAACTTTAGGTAGCAATCTTGTTGCATTGTATGTTAATGACCACCCTTGGATAATCCCATTTAAAAGCACTTAGTCACTTTCTTATATCTATGAACAGACCATATCTCAATTGACTATCCATTTAATCATGTCATATCTAAAATATAAGATTTGTGGTCGCTGTTAGACCTAGAATAATTATTAATTTTGTAAAGTAGATATTTGTAAAAGAAACGAATTTTAATGATACATATTCCTCCTGCATAAACATTTTAGTAATGTGAAAAAATTAAAAAATAAAGTTGAGTATAAAAAATGGTTTCTGCTTAGAACCTTTATAAGCAGCACAACAGCACAGAAATATTCATTTATATCAGCGCCCTTAGCTTAAAGTGGGTGATACTCTCCCATATTATCGGTCTAGACTAAACGGTTATAATTCTGTCATTGTGGCCCCATGGAACCCACTTTGCTAATTTTTGCAACTAACTTTTAAAAAATATTAAAACTCACTTTCTAAGGTTTCTATGTTAGAAATATTCTAAGAAAATTTTTAATTTTAAAATCTGTAATTCAGTTGATGTTAAGATCATCACCCGCGGAAGATAGTCCGACTTTATAAAAGCACTGGTTAGGTCGGATTTTAAGTAGCTCCGATAGTTTATTTTTAATTGACTATTTTGTAGTTGATCTAGCGGGTTGCGGATCGTTGGATTCCCTTTTAATAATCAATGAAGTGATTATATTATTCATTTGTTTTAAACACGTTGTTGTACATTATTTTAGTATGGCCGAAAAGTCTAACCCTGTATCGTCTCGCTGGCCATCAGAACCCGCCACTTCGGGTTTCTATTTCTGTTTTGTCATTTTTATTATATTATTTATTACGATATCCGAGATATATTTTGTAAAGGCATAAATTAATTGTGCACTCGTCCTTACATTCTAGAAAAAAAATTATATTCTCCATATATTTCGTTTAGCGTTTTATAAGGTAAATTCTGGATAAGTAGTCATTAATAACAACCCGTATTGTGGAAAATTTTCACAAAATCCAAAATCAGATTTTTTTGTGCATTAAGTTATTTTATAGATATATATTTCATATTCATATAGTTGCGTTAGTTTTTATTTCACAATTTTTTTTCTCCAAAAATCCACATGGTGCCAACGTAAGCAATCGCAATCGCGTCACTCATAGTGCTATTGATAGCCTAAGAAAAGCCCTTTTTAATGGTCCAAATTTATTAAAATGCATTAAGCTTTCTTGGACATTAGTTAAGAAAATATTGGAACACCCCCAATACTTTCCTTGCAAAGATAAAGCAAATAGCATTAAACAGAAAAAAAAAATTAAAATGCAAGATAACTTTACGCCCCCTGGTGGACATTTCAGAAACTCGACAGTAATTTAGAACATAAAAACGTCAATGTCTGTCTTAAACGAATATGATGCATTTCGTGAAAATATTTCCAAGAAATCCAATTTACCAGAAAAAATGCAAAACGAGACCGAGCTGAAAAACCGAAAATCTCCGAAAGTTTTGTCACCAGCGTCAATACCAATTTTAAAAACTTACGACGAATCTTCTCGCCCAGTAGTTCCACCTAACACCCCCAAGAATTTTGAATTGCATATGTTGCAACTACCTCAATTGCCGACTGATATCGATAAAATCGAAATTCCGATCATTCGCGAAGTTGGTATCCGAGACTCCATCGTCATTATATCGAAATATTTCGGCTGTGAAGATTATAAATTAAATTTAGTTCAGTTTTGGTTTGTAGATATAATTTTAGATCTGCTTTGGAGGTGCCAAGATGAATATAACTTCCCATTGGAATACCAAAAAGCAATCTTAGAATGGTTTTTTTTCATAGTCAAATTTATGGGTGTTAAAAATATGACACGGAATCAGCTGTTCGAAATATTTGATGAAGCGATCAATCTTGCGGAAGAATATGTAAACTCAGGTTGCACACAACATTTACCTAGTCCAAATAATTTGTTTACTGTGAAATACCAATTTACATTGTCTAATGATATAATTCCTGAAACGACTGCGAAGTCTTCTGATACCAATACATCCATAAAGTCAGAAAATAAGTATCACGAGACCTATTTTGCCCTAACAAATCAAGGTGGTATTCGTGTATTTAAAATGCCAGAAAAAAGTGGTAGCTGCGCGGACCCTTGGTTAAGTTCATCTATTGAAACTCTCTCCGAACAACTTCGAAAACCAAAACGTCAAACGATTAATGAAGACACTCAATCCGAAGATTCAGCGAATTCCGAATCGTTGTGCCAGAGTGACATCGGCACCCATTCTAGTTTGAAATCTTTACAGAAATCGGTCCATGAATCGCCGAATGATCTTACTACATTTCCGGAAGAATGTATTGGCGATGTGTGGTATAATATTCCCAAAAAGAATGTGGTATCTGAATGTCCGAGTTTAGTTATTGGTAAGGTCATTGGCTGTGTATTACAGTGTTGTTTTTCAAAATTTTCTAAGGAAATTTATTGGATACTAGTTAGAATAAAATACAAAATGTATTTACTGTAACCTGATATTTTGAGCGTTGACAATATTTTGCTTTTGGAGAAGCAGCCATTATAATGTTACAAACGACGAATTAATTAATAATTAACTAAGCTATTTACCACCTGGAAAGATTTTGCCAAAAAAGGGGAGGAGCAAGAAATCTTGAACTCGATGTAAACTGGAATAGTTGCAGCCAATATGGATTTTGTGAGGTAAATTTTATTTAGAGGGAGACGGGTAGCAATAGGGATTCTTTTTTTCTTCTTGTTTTATATTATCTCTCAATTTTTTTAATGTTAGGTTTTTTTGAGGGTTGTTCATTTGCTAGAAAGTACTTTGTGAAATCATTTAAATCGTTTATCATTTGAACTGATTGTTTTAACTATTTTTGTCGGTGATAATCAATCTTGTGTATGCAGAATCCCTACTAATACTTTCTTGCTGGTATTAATTAATTGAGATAATATAGTACCCCTACTGCGGTAAAAAGTGATTCGTCTCAGGTCACAATGATATTTTCGAAGAGAAGGAACTGATTTTCCGCGCATGCCTCTACAAACCTCGAAATCCACACTCTTAACTCCTTTTTGCCTGAATATTTATTGGAATCTGGACATATTTTGAGAAAATATTACTGTAAAAATGCGACATCCAAACCTATTGACGATCTGCGGCCATATTGCTTATCGAATGCTGCAAGGTCATTGGTTGAAAACTAGATTTTAAATCTCGCGCATGCCCATATTGAATCGATCTTCTCAAAATTTGCTCATAGTTGCTTCATAAAGTTGTGTATTATTAACATAGGCAGGGCCTCTATGTCTCCAGAAGCTATATGTTAATAACTAAATAATAACTCATTAAGTTATTATTTTTTAAATTTAAACAAATAGGTACTTAATGGTTATAAGTAATATATAAAGTTTTTTCATAATGAAAATTGTTAATTTAACATTATTATTTGTATAACATGAAAATGCATATTAGTGCTGTTTATAAATAAATAATAAATCAGTTCTATTATTACAAATATTTAAAGGAAATATTGTTTATTCATTAAGTAGTAATTTCAAAAAAAATTCTATAGGTAAATAAAGTAAGCAAACAACACCCCATTCATTTATTTATTTTTTGTTTAGTTGTATACATTTATATAAATTCGCAAAAGAAAGACAACAATTGCTATTACTATCTGTCTTTTCCTATTCCAGTTTAAATCGAGTTCACTGCAGCAATCAATTTTCAATCTGTTTTATAATATTACCGAATCCCAAAGAAAAAAGCAAATTAAATAAACGTAACATTTAAAATAATTTTTAAAAAATTTTAACACCAGGTGGCTACGGAAATTCGACCAAAATGAGCAAATGATGTAAGCTGGTCATTAGTATTTCTTGTTTCGAAATTGGAACCTATGGAATATTTTGTTACAGAACCACAAAAAGACCTTTCACAACCTATGAATTCCGATTCGTCCACAGAGTATTCGATTGGAGAACCAATAGTCGATAATCCGCAACACATCAAACAGGAAATATTTAAAGCATTTTACGATTACAACTTCTGGACTATGAAAAACGAATATATGGCCGATCCCAACAAAGGATGGAGTCCTTCGCTTGATAATAGTAGTAATCAAATTAAGGAATCCAGCGGCTTAAATCCAAAACGTCAATTTAAATTTCCGTCAAACGACAAGCAGACACCTCGGGAAACGAATAAAAACGTTTCGACCAATTCGTGTTTGATAATGGCGGTCAAGCAATTCGTTTTCGATTATTTTTACGACAGTTTCGCGTTCGAGCTTATTAAGAGTTCATTAAACGGCGGTCAATATACGTTTATGCAAGATCTAAACACTGTCTGGTTCGTTCCGAAGCAAAATAAGACCGAACTAAAAAAACCTACTCCCAAAAACGATCAGCTCGATAAAACAAAGACAAACAGGAAAAATAACGCAGCTGTTAAAAAACCGGAAAAAATTAAAGACGAGAATATCGTTAGCGAAATATCCAAAACTGGTAAAAGCAAACCGTTGGATAAAAAGCAAAAAAGAAGAGCAGTCGAGATGGAAACTGTTAAAATGGAACACAAACTGGACGAGGTAGATGCAACTAGTATTCAAACATACATATTGCCATTAAATGATGCAGTCAACGATAATTTTTTTTCAAATATTTTTGTGCGCTATCGACCGAAAAAAACAAACTGGAAATAAAACTAATAATAAATCCAAATATCGTTTGCAAAGTAAGTAATGTGAAATAAATGTTGTTCTTTTTACCGTCTCGTTTTTAATCAACGTGGAAGCAGAAACTCGACGACAAATATTTAAAAACCAAGCACGTATTTTTACGTAGGCGATATACCACGGCCATTAAAATGTGGATTTAAGATGGCTGATATTAAATATCACCCCGTTTGGCTTTATCTTTATTGTCGTCCTAGATGTTTACCGCGATAATGTTGTTATTACTGCTTCCTCATCGACTCAATATGGGCCGTGAGATATAAAAAACCTTTACTGGATAACGACATCGTTTTGCTAAATAGCGGCCAACATCCCATGACAAATTTCCCAAATAGAAGATCCGGTTCCTTTTGTTTTCCGGTATTTAGGCCCTGACGGTTTTGAATGGATGCACATTCTAAGATATTACGATATCGTAGATCTTCATATAGGTTAGTGTTGTCCCTTCTTGGAGATCTCTTATGTACTAGGTAGAAAACGTTTAAATTCGAATGATGGTGGCGCCGTCAAGATTTTGAAAAAAACACTACGAATTATGCTTTAAATCAGTCATATGTACCTGGTGTTTCAGAAGAGCGACAAGGGACGGAATTATGGAGACAGATGATCCTATTAATTTGAAAGAAATAAATAAATAAATCGGGCAAAAGAAAAAATTGGCAATTATTTTCGAGTTTCTGTAATGGCCACTCGGGGCGTAACGGTTATCTTGAATTTGTAAACCCCGTTTCTACAAAAATGGTAACCATAGTTATAGCCTGGACAAATTCAAATCTTTTTGTTTAAAGCTGTTTACTCTATCTCTGCAAGGAAAGTGGTGGAGATGTTCTAATATTTTCTTAAATGAATATCCATTTTAGTAAACGTCTCCGTGCAACCTTTTTCTAGGCTATTAATAGTCCGCGATTGTGGTTGCTTACGATATGAGTTTTAATCCGTCTTATCTCATATAAATAAGGGCTCAACAACCCAGTGAAACCCACAACTCAAGATATATATCATAACCTGAAATATTAATAAAAGAACTTAACGCTCAATTTTTGGAAAAATTTCCACATTAGGGGTTTTGTACCGAAATCGAAATCCAAATTTATAAAATAGCTAACATTTTTAGGCTTTGATATGATTAGCTCTTTTCAAATATTAAAATAAAATTACTCATAATCACAGAACAGGTTACAAATAAATTCTTGGAGACTAACTAATTCATGTATTTAAATAGTAAATGTGGAAAGCCATTTTTGACAAAAATAATTCAATTTTATTTTTATCAAACCAAACGCCATCTTTAATTTCCTTAACTGATGCTTGTCAAAGCCTCTTGATTGAATACCGTCTTAATAAGTGTAAATATGTCTAAAAAAAGTACTCATTATTTTAATACACATTAAATAATACATGTATATATATATATATATATATATATGATGACACTATATTCCGGGATATCATCCGTTCGCTCGTTGAACTCCGACTGGAATCCTGCATCCGACTGGAATCCTGCAAATCTTGCATCCGACTGGAATCCTGCAGACGTTTCGCCAAAATCTCACTTGGCATCTTCAATGCTCGCGTTCCGAAAACACTTCCGAAAACAGTGTTCGAAGTGTTTTCGGAACGCGAGCATTGAAGATGCCAAGTGAGATTTTGGCGAAACGTCTGCAGGATTCCAGTCGGATGCAAGATTTGCAGGATTCCAGTCGGATGCAGGATTCCAGTCGGAGTTCAACGAGCGAACGGATGATATCCCGGAATATAGTGTCATCACATTTTTCCATCCGTGAATCAATACGTGAGAATATATATATATATATATATATATATATATATATATATATATATATATATATATATATATATATATATATATATATATATATATATATATATATATATATGATGACACTATATTCCGGGATATCATCCGTTCGCTCGTTGAACTCCGACTGGAATCCTGCAAATCCTGCATCCGACTGGAATCCTGCAGACATTTCGCCAAAATCTCACTTGGCATCTTCAATGCTCGCGCTCCGAAAACACTTCGAACACTGTCGACTTCCAGTCGGAGTTCAACGAGCGAACGGATGATATCCCGGAATATAGTGTCATCACATTTTTCCATCCGTGAATCAATACGTGAGAATATATATATATATATATATATATATATATATATATATATATATATATATATATATATATATATATATATATATATATATACAGGGTTTTTCACTTAAAACTCCGCACGCCAATAAGTCCAAAACGAAAAGAAATATTTAATTTATGTAAAAAGTAGTCAAAGTGTGGGGTCAAGTAGATATTTCCTAAAGTTTAAAAAATTCGACGCCTGCAAAGAGCTGGGCGTCGCGACGCGTCGAAAAATTATTCGATTGCAGAGACTTTGGAAATACTACGCGCATACAAAAGTACATATTATTTAAAAACTTTTTTGTTATTTACTCAAACTTATTTACTTTACCCGTTTCTAAGTTATACCGATTTAAAGTAAACATTTCTTGATTAATAAAAAATGTGATTAACGCTTATTTTTACAAGTATGCCATGAATGTTAGTTACTATGGCAATCATTGTTATCGCAGTTGTTTTAAGTGCAATTACAAACGTAAGTTGTTATTGCTGTATCAACAAATTGTCACATTTTGTCACAAGAAATATCCAAATTTGTTCGGTTTAAAAAAAACTAAGAATTATTATGTGAAAATGGTGCAATTTAGCAATGAGGAAAAAGTAGACATGTTACTGGTATTTGGAGAATGCAGATGCAATTGTAGAGAAGCAAAAAGAGTTTACGCACGGCGTTATCCGCATAGAAGGGTCCCCGATGCAAAAACCTTTTCAAGTTTATATAAAAACTTAAGAGAATATGGCAGCTTCATAAAACCTAAAAGAGATAGGAACAGGACGGCTACAAATGATGAAAATACTGCTGCTGTAATTCAGCAGGTTGATAATAACCCCAAGATATCCCTATCAGAGATAAAAGAAAATACCGGTGTTACCATAAGTTCTTCGTGGAGAATTCTACATAGAAACTCTTTTCACCCGTACACAAGTAAACTAGTTCATAAACTAGAACCAGGCGATTATGCTAGAAGAATGTATTTCGTAGCACATTGTCCGATTTGTATAGCCAAGATGCACAACTGTCGTTTTTGGTCCGAAAACCATCCTCGTTGGATTACAGAAAGAGGTAACCAACTAATTTTTAGTATCAATGTTTGGTGCGGCATATAATATATAAATGGATTCCTTATTGGACCTTACTTTTACGAAGGAACTTTAAATGCAGATCGCTATTTAAGATTTCTTCAAACTACACTTCCGGAACTATTAGAAGAAGTGCCTCTTGACACTAGAATGAATATGTGGCTACAGCAGGATGGAGCGCCTTCACATAATGCCCAAATAGTAACGAGGTATTTGAACCGAGAATATCCCAATAGATGGTTTGGTACTAATGGACCGGTAAGGTGGCCGGCGAGGTCCCCGGACATTACACCACCAGATTATTTTCTTTGGGGCTACCTAAAAAACGTTATCTATGAAGAACCTATCGAAGATATGGCTGATCTCATTAACAAAATTAGTGCAGCGCGTGCCGCTATCACAAGAAGGACTCTCCTACAAGTGACCCAAGCTCATCTGTTAAAAGTTTTTGATAGTTGTGTTCGAGCAGATGGACATAATTTTGAATAAAATTTTTTAAATGTCTTATTATGTAGTTAATTGCAATAATAATTGTGGTTATTGACTTGTAGGTATTTTACTGTTTTCATTTATTTATCATGTTATCAGAACTAAATCGATAAAAAATAATAAATAAAATCATACTAAAATAGTTGAAATCTATTATTTGTAATTGCACTTAAAACAACTGCGATAACAATGGTTGCCATAGTAACTAACATTCATTCACTTGTAAAAATAAGCGTTAATCACATTTTTTATTAATCAAGAAATGTTTACTTTAAATCGGTATAACTTAGAAACGGGTAAAGTAAATAAGTTTGAGTAAATAACAAAAAAGTTTTTAAATAATATGTACTTTTGTATGCGCGTATTTCCAAAGTCTCTGCAATCGAATAATTTTTCGACGCGTCGCGACGCCCAGCTCTTTGCAGGCGTCGAATTTTTTAAACTTTAGGAAATATCTACTTGACCCCACACTTTGACTACTTTTTACATAAATTAAATATTTCTTTTCGTTTTGGACTTATATATATATATATATATATATATATATATATATATATATATATATATCCTGCAGACGTTTCGAGAGTGTTCGAAGTAAGGTAAGCTTAACCACATAGCCGGGAAATATAGATATTTATTTCTCAAAATATTCGAACACTTTCCTTGCAGAGATAGAAAAACACTATTAAATAAAAAAATTGTCTCGGCTTTAAAATAGTTTTCACTTTATGGTTAACATTAGAAATCCCGTTTAGCTAGTGACAGATATTACTTGAGTTTACTGGGACACCCTGTATATTTTGATTATAAAATTTGAATAGAGGGTATTTGTTTAATATAGTTTGTTATATAAACGTTGGGTTAAGAACCCGGTATATATCGCGCTTAAGATTTTCTTTAAATTTAGTTAAGAAAAATAAAAAAGGTTGTCTAATTCAATCTTCGCCGCTCGAAGTGTGTTTTTAGAATACTTCTAAACTAAACTAAACTTCCCTAATATTTTATTGTTCTATCTACGAGGCGTGTTTTTAAAGTATGTACCGTTTGGAAATAAAAAAGCAACAAGTAAATATTTTTCCAAAGTAATTTATTCACTTGAAAGACCATACTTTACTTTGCTACATAATTCCCATTAATATTAAGGCACTTATCGTATCGTGGGCCCAGCTTTTATTCCATTGTCAAAGAAGGTGGCCACCTGATTAAATAGCCACTGCATCGCCGTCGCTTTCAGTCCGTCAACATTGATATGGTGCTGCTCTGCCAGATGCTTCTTCAAGTGCAGGCGCTAAAGCGGGACTTTATTGTATTGTGGTTTAATTGTTCTAAGCAAAAGAAGTGATAAGGTCCTGGATTCGATTTGCAGTATGTGGACGGGCATTATCTGCATTGATCGCGGCACCGCGATGCAAAAAATCGACCAGCGACACACCTTTTCTGTCCCAAAACACAGTGCACATGACACACCACACACTTCGTTCCTGCATCGCTCGAAAAAACTCAATGCACTGGCTAATTGTTTGGTTTTGTGTTCCCTAGTCAACATTTTTGGCACCCATCGTGGACACAAATTCCGATAATTTAAACGTTCAGATACAATTTCATAAGGAGACAACAGGAAAATCTTCAGATTATGACGAAATCATGAATCGTTTGTTCTCTTTCACTTGATAGTCCACTTTTTGAATGAAGTAATCAGCAATGACTAAAGGTCCATTCGATCACTCATAATATTTTCACCATAATCATCACTGGTTTGAAACTTTTAGCACTGAGAAAACGTATTACAGCACGCACTTCTATGTAGCAGTTCTATATTTATAGCGCGATATCTCCTTAATGATTGGCAATTTATTTTAAACAAGGAATTGTTTTGAAAGGCCCTGTATAGGATGGTTCACGGTGGATGGCATGTTAGAGGTTAATGGTAAATCGTTACCGTTCTGAGAATATTGTCGATTACATTTTCAGCGATGCGACGTTACCGTTTCTTCAAAAAAATAGCATCAACCATGATATTTCAAATGGGACACCCTGTATGTTATTAGATTTTTCGTTTCGCCATCAATTTCTGGTTATTTTTTTATAATATATTTTATGCTTATATTCGTCTGGAGCTGAAATGTTGCCTATAGTTTTTTGTATACATGTTCACTCTAATAGTAACAATAGGCGCGGTCAAAATGTGCGATTATATAGGGTGTTTTTTTTCGATGTATAGAACTTTAAGTTGGCATTACTGTTCAAGATGGCGACCGATTTAACAGCTGTCAAGTGACAACGCTTCCCGATTTTCATAAGCGAATTTTGTTTAGCTTTGTTTAGTTTTGTTCTGGTTGAATGGCTATGTCAACAAACAAAACTGCCGCATTTGGAGCGAAGCTAATACTCAAGTATATGTCGAAACACCGTTACATCCAGAAAAACTGACTGTTTGGTGCGCTTTATGGGCTGGTGGAATCATTGGTCCGTACTTCTTCAAAAACGATGATGGCCAGAACGTTACAGTCAATGGTGATGGGTATAGAGCTATGATTACTAACTCTTTCATTCCTGAATTGAATAACCATGATGTCCAGGAGATGTGGTTTCAGCAAGACCCCGCAACATGTCACACAGCTCGTGCCACAATCGATTTATTGAAAGACACGTTTGGTGACCGCCTAATTTCACGTTTTGGACCTGTGAATTGGCCTCCAAGATTTTGTGATTTAACACCGCTAGACTACTTTCTATGGGGCTATGTAAAGTCATTGGTCTATGCGGATAAGCCACAAACGCTTGACCATTTGGAAGACAACATTCGATGTGTTATTGCCGATATACGGTCACAAATGTTGGAAAAAGTCATCGAAAATTGGACGTCCAGATTGGACTACATCCGCGCCAGCCGTGGCGGTCATATGCCAGAAATCATATTTAAAATGTAATGCCACAAGATTATCTTTCGGATAAATAAAATTCATGTCAATCGAATAATCCATCGTTGTTTTATTGCAACTTAAAGTTCTATACATCGAAAAAAACACCCCTTACGAGTAGAAACAAAAATAATGAAAATATCATGTTTTCAAATCGAGCACTCTATATTTTTTATCGACTACTCTGAAGGAAAATTAATTAATTATATTCCTGTACCTAAATATTTCAAAAATAAGAGTAAGTTTCTGTAAACATATTTTTAGATGCAAATTTATTTTTTTTTTAAAGGCAACATAATAGGAACTCTCTGAAACTAATAAAATCTTAACCGCTAAAAGCACAAAATCTAGAAATAAAAACATAAAATACAAGCTTAAGCATTTTGTAAATAAATGCTGAACATTTTAATACAAAAACGACATCATTAATACTGGTGTGTGGAAAAGTATTGCAACTTATAATAAACGAGTGTTTAATAAACGAGTGACTTAAATTTACCGAACGTGTTGCATACTATACGTTTTCTACGATCGTTAGTATTGGGATACATTTTCGCCAAACAACACGAATGCGTTCACCTACATGACCGTCAGAATTGACAAACGTTAAAATTCAAAGCGTGGGAAATATCTCAGAAAACATCCGATTGCTCCCAAACCCGTGCGTTCAAATCCCGTAAATGTCCACGGGAGTAGAAAAAACGTGCATTACCATTTCACCAGTGTTTCGTTTCGAGTTTCCCTTTTTTGTCCATGGTATCAAATAAAACAGTCTTTAAAATATCAGTCGGCTCTCAATTTTCATAATGAGTACAATGTTCACCTCAAGTGAGAATTGTATCGATTATTAAATGTTCGACAACTCGCACCATCAGAAAAAATATTTAAATATATAGAGCATTTATAATGGTCACCCTCCCACTCACAATAAAACCGGATTTCTAACGAATCTCGTCGTATCCACGTCGTAAAGTTAATTTAAAAATTTTCACTAAAGAGCAAAGGAAATTTATCTATCCGTACTGCAAAATGTAGAATATATATTGGATGATTCAAGTTCAGTGACTTATTAAAATTACTTTTTCTACTCCCGTCTGTAAAATACCTAATTACCAACCGATCTAGCGTGCGGGAAGTGTCACTTTACCACGGGAGCAATCGGATGTTTTCGGAGATATTTCCCATGTTTTGAATTATGACATTTGTCAATTCTGACGGTCATGTCAGTGAATGTATTCGAGTTGTTTTGCGAAAATGTAACCAAAAACTAACGGTCGTAGAAAAAGTATAGTATACAACATGTTCGGTAAACTTTTTAACTGACGTTTACCGCACTTGTTGCATAATATACTATTGTGAATTCGAGTCCCTCTTCTGGTTCTGGAGAACCACCAAAGGAAGTTTTCCCAAATCTTTTAAAAATATTTAGGGAAATTCCGCCTTGCGAAATCTCGCAGAAACTAATAGCAATGTTGGGATTTCGAATCCCAACTACTGTTAACATCTAGCGATCTCCTACGATTTTTGGTACAAAATTGATATTAATATTATCTTTAATATACTACTACCACTCTCAAATAGTCAATTATTCACCAACTCAGTGTGAGCAAAATGTCATTTTAAAATGTCATCTTTGGGCTACGGACGCCAGCCACTTCAGTCGTTTCCGGTATTTGACTCACTCACTCACTCACTGATTGTATTTTGCCTAATTTTTAATTTAAAACCATCAAATTTTCCGAACATCGTATATTATATTGACATTCCATTTGGGATTATAACATGTAGAGCTTTTACATGCATGCATTGTCTAATTTAAAATTAAAAAAAAAACGTCATATTCCAACGATACCATAAAATTTTATTTATTTTGGTTTTATTGTCCTGTTTGTACATATAAAAGTCGACCATCGTCCATCATTCAAAACAAACATTTCCAGGTCGTTAAGAGTTCTCCTCCCAACCTTGAGCGTTCTCCCAACCTGAGTTATCATAGCTATTGATGAAATTGAAAAAGTTTTGGAAGGGATTTCATTACTGTCCTTTTCGAAATAGACAACAACTAGACGCGATAAGATTGATTGGGATAAAGGAACAAAAAAGAAACTTGTTAGTAAATTATTGTTTCTAATATTAAACACTCCCTCGCCTATGAATCGATGAGAACTTCACTTATTAGAGAATGTTTTTAAAAATAATAACTTTTTAATTGTTTTAAATGTATATTGATGTAGGCATATAGTACCTGTGTGTATACCACGCAGACCCCTAGAGGTCTGTGATATATATTCCTACTTCCAAACTTTTAGTTATTTTTTATTTATTTTCTCATTTGAATTTTTCTTCCTTATTTCCTCACCGGTGGCTTTTCATATCATATGAATCAAACAATATATTTCTGTAAAAGTGTTTGCTTCAGTGAATAAGATGTTGAGCTTCATTATAATAAAATATACCACATTATGCTCCACTTGTTTTTAAACATTCTTCGACAACTGAAGCGCGTGAAATGTAGAAAAAATATAATAATAATAATAATAATAATAAAACGCACACTTAGTCGCTATATTTTCCACAATAGAAAACAAACTCCTCAATCAGTATGCATTTCGGTAAATTAGTTTTTGTCGATATCTATTATTAATCTACTAATGCAGATCACCCACTCCAAAGGTGCGAATTAGAAGATAACCAGTGACGTCAGCTCGAACGCATATTTTTTTAATGTCCAAATTGGGACGATTAAAATATTCGACAATATTTTGTGTTTCTCTATTCAATTGTATGTAGGTTTTAATCATATATGCGATACGTTAAATATATAAAAGGTGACGTTAATGAGTACGTAAATAATTTTTGCTGCAAGCACTGACCAAAATATTATAATTAAAAGACGCGCTGTTCTAGAGGGGTTTATAGCAAACCACAAGTGTTGTGGCGTCTCTACACGGAATTTCGTTTTAAACTGTTTTTCTTTCCACGTTTTTAATTAATGTGGTAATTAATTTTTTGATGCCGCTGTTAATATTTCTTTACAAATGACTCGTCCTTTGTTTACTTTAATCGTTGAATTTTGTCGTCCACTTATCCGCTGAATTGCTTTGCTCTTTTTGGAACAGATATAAATGGGTTTGCTTTTTTTACTTGCAGCTTCATAATAAGTGTGTATCCCAAGTGAAAGCAGAATGCGGCCTCGGGGAACACGCTGTCCACATTTTGCCACCCACCGCCATTTGTCCCATCGTTTTGGATCGCCAAAGATCGTTACAAAAACGTGGGTCCAGATACGGTCCGGATAACGTAAGTTTGCCAACTGCTCTCGTTTTATTGTAATTCGTATTACAAACTGCCGTACTCGAATATCGTACATTCTGTAAGTGGTAATAGTGGTATATTCATTTAATTAAAATTTTAATATTTGGTTGGTTTACGTTTTTACTGTTCTGCACAAATCGCCTCATGTCAAGTTGGGATCACAATGTCCATATCCCCATATCGTTCTACGAAGAATTACGTAATTGAGTAACATTTGTCCCTATTTAATAGCGATGGCAAGTCAAACAGGACCCGGCGTTTTAATGCATTGACGTTATGTTTATGTTAAGTTTTGTAGGCAATATGCAAACTAAAAGTTACTTAAAAAAAAACTTATTCTCTACTTAGCGCTGCCATAACTGCTTTGTTGTCTGACCTTTCAAGACTTACTTATCTCCTTCCTTTACCTTACTACTTAGTAACGTCTTCCTGTAAATGCACGACAAAATAGATCCGTATTACGCCCGATTCTATTTTTTAGCGGTGACATTTTTTGAATTGAATAGAAATAAAATCATAAGAAAATGACAAGCTTCGTCGAACATGATTAAAATTTTATTTGGTCCACACTTTACCGATTCACTGGTTTCGTCACTGACGTGTATACATGGTGTCTCAAGTATTAGATTTAAGTTTGAGCAATTTTGAAAAGTTTTAAGGTGCACCAAGTAAGCACACAAAAGGAAAAATTTGATGTTTTCTATTTCTATTAAGCATAGACATAAACACACAGACATTTAGATCTCGGTTTACGTTAAAAAGGTAGGTATATAAAAATATTACTTTAAGGCGTGATTTAAACAATTATCTCCATAACAATGATATTACTCTTAGAACCCGCGAATTTTCCCTCAAACATTCATATTTAAAAATGTTTTGTTGTCATTACGTACAGAAAATTTTATTAAAAAATCATGGCTGCCATATTTTTCATTAAGGCGGGTCATCTATTCATATTAGATTTCAAGAAGGAATTTTCTTCCTAACAATCCGACTTCCCTCCCACAAATGCACTAATTTGATTTAAATTTCCGAGAATTTTCAATTTTCAAATGCTTTAAATCCAATTGTAGATTGTCTGATTTCTTTCTTCTTTCAATACTTGCTTGGAATTGCAATTTTAATTAATAATATAATAATTATAAGTGTATTTTATGAATTGAAACGTAGAAGTTTGTTATCCAAGTCCAGTGTCCAAAGAAATCTTCTCCGGGAAAATCTAAAACTGTTAATGGGTCAATATTCTTTCGCAAGTACGTGCTAATTTCATGCGGCCGTGCAGAGGATTTTCTCTTAAACGACAATCAAGTTTCTAGCCTCGCAAAGTTCGAGCTGCGGCGTTAAGCCTTGTTGTTTCCATAATGTGGCTGTTTTGATAGATTAAATGCAGGAAATAATATTTAAAACAATGAGCTATTGTTTTTATTATTTTTAAATATAGATATGCAGAATGCTTTCATAAATTGAAGCCAGGACGAACCAGGTGTCCTGTTGTGACCCGATACATGTATTGAAATTATAACCTCCTATGTACGGTTCCCCTTAGATTAGCAGATGCTTTGAATTTTATTGATGAAAAATAAATTAACGATTCTTTTCGGAGTCAAAATAAATAAGAAATAAAAGTTCAGATTTTCACGAAATCATATATTTTTACATGACAATTGTTTCAACAACACCGTGTCTTTTGATTTCGTGAAAATCTAAACTTTTAGTTCTTATTTATTTTGATAAATGGATTTTCATCAAGTAAAAGTCACCTAGTTCAATCTTTTCAGAGTTCCTTATCGCAGACGAAGCATCCAGCGATGTCGTTTCAGATCACCCCGTCCTCAACCTCTATACCTCTTTTAGTATTTATTAATCCGAAATCTGGTGGTCGGCAAGGTTACAAAATTTTGAGAAAATTTCAATACATCTTGAATCCCCGACAAGTGCATGTTCTCGGGAAAGGCTGTAACCCCATCCAAGGGTTTAGTATGTTTAAGGATGTACCAAGTTTCAAGGTCGTATGCTGTGGAGGTGATGGTACCGTTGGTTGGGTACTGGATTCGATGGGTACGCATCCATTATTGACGATCGGAAAGCACTGATGCATTTTTCATGGTTTTAGATAAAATTGATCTCGAATGTCAGCCGTCGGTAGCTGTCATTCCATTAGGTACCGGTAACGATCTAGCTCGATGTTTAAGATGGGGTGGTGGTTACGAGGGCGAATCTGTTCACAAATTGCTCCACAAAATCGCCAGAGCTTCTACCGTTATGATGGATAGGTGGTTGATAGAACTATCGGATACCGCACAACCAGATCCTACAGTTAAGATCGCGGACATGAGAATTCCTTACAATGTTATAAACAATTATTTTTCGATTGGCGTGGTGAGTATGTCAAATTATAGTGGACTGTAAAGGTACCTAGCCTATCTACCTACTAAGGTCAACCAGCCACTTGCTCTATTGTACACCCCTAGTAGTAGCCAGATACGTTTACTTAGCATAATCCAGTATATTTTACACATTAGCATTAGCATTATTTCCTCTATTGTCATTTTTCGTCATTTTTGTTTTTGAGGACAAAAAAGTGAGATTTTTTATTAACAATTCTTCAATTAAAACAAAATTTATTAGAAATTTATAAAATACAAAGTTTTTCTTCTAACTCGTTCATTTATTGAGATGTAATTTAGAAACACCTTTCAATTTTTAAGGTTAAGGTGAGTACCAAATGTCCTTTTTTAAAAATATTTTCAACTTCCTGTCACTTCCGGTTCAACGGGAAGAATCTGTCAACTTGCTTATTTCAATAGGAACACCCCGTATGTTATTACATTTTGAGATTCTGTGTAAAATTCTAAACATATTTTATCTATAATGTTTAACCGTTTTTTGAAATATTTGGCCTAGGAAAAAATTGCAGCTCTGACTTAACTTTGAACATGCATATTTTTGTATTTTCTGAAAATTTAATCCTCAAATTTGGCAAAATGTTCAAAAGTGAAGCTTAAGTTCACGTTTTTGTCAATGCCGTTATTTTAAATGGTGCACCCTGGAATTTTAAGTGTTTTCAAGTCAAGGATTTATTTCCCTATCAAATTTCATTAGAGTTCCTTATACCTATTCCGAACCATATTCGAAATAATTAGGTTTTTTGGTAGTGTCGTATATGTTCGGCGGAACATTTTCGTTCCACGTACTTGGAGAGAGAAATAAACCCTGAACTTGATAACACTTAAAGTTACAAGGTGGCGGGTTCCATTTGAAAAAAACGAAATTAAATAAATGTTTGCGGTCTAATTTTGTACCCCCTGTTTTAGACAATAAAAATGACAAAGAGGTCAACTTACAACTCTTTTTTAACATTCTACCAAATATCAAGATCGAATTTTCAAAAACTACAAAAATATGCATTTTTAAAGTTGCTTAAACTGGCGGCACATTTTTTTCTCAAGAATAATAATAATCAGATTGTTTACTCTCAACTGTTTTAGCAAGTACAGTAGCGCTTCGCGCAAATACTGGGCAGTAATTCGTTTGTTACTGTTACAGGACGCCGCTATTTGCAACAAATTCCACATAGAGCGCCTGAAAAATCCAGATCGTTTCAATAGTCGTATGAAAAACAAACTATGGTATGTTGAGTTTGCTACAACGGAAACATTGTTCGCGTCCTGTAAGAATTTACACGAAGCTGTAGAGATCGAGGTTAGCTATGCCTGATACAATAAACCCGTATCTGTTTAGTTTTTCTTTTAGTTTCTGTCTCCGTCGTTTAATTTATTATTCATAAAATTTAGTAAATTTTAATCTGTCAATTCAAGTATTCAACAGAAGCGTCGATCTACCGCCTTAGAATTATAAGAGTGTAATTAAATATTGACAATTTGACTCTCAGATGTCAATTACACTCATTTAATTTGTGATATTTTTAAAGTTTCACTTTCACTTTGATCCGAATAGGCAGTTGCCGTTAGGCCGGTTTCCGAATACTTTTTTATTACTCTCCTATAACTCTGGGGCGACTATACATGCAGTAATTCAATTTTCTTTTCTTTTTTATCGAAGCTTATTGTTTTCCCTTTTTTTCTATTATAAAAACCAATGCAATATTAATGTTAGAAGGTTGCGGTTTTCGCAATCTGGGTTTCCTGTTTCATGAAACCCACGATGCGATCGACCTTATTTTACAATATTATACATGAAAAAGAGTTGTTGAAACATTTTTTCATATATTACGAGCCCTAACAACTAATTGTTCGGACCATGTAAGAAATAATAAGAAAACATATTTATACTTATTTTAAATTGATTTTTTTTGCCTTTTCGATTGAAAAATGAAATCACGCACTTATTTTTATACCAGAAAATGCTATCGTAATAAATTATTTTTTTATTTCACATAAATTACATAACAAAATATCAAAAACATACCGAATTTGCTGACAAATAAATATTCGGACGCATTTAAATCTTTTACTTTAAATCGAACATCAATAAGAAGTAACATCGCCTTTCGCGGCAATAACAGCTTTTAAGCGTTTTGGCATAGAATCTACCAAATTCTTGCAATATTCGGGGGTGAAAGTGTTCCAAATTGCGGTGATTTTTGCCTTTAATGCTGGAACTGTACGCTGAGGATTATTACGCAAAGTCTTTTTCATCCGATGCCATAAAGTTTCAATAATATTCAATATATACTTGATGGCCACGATAAAACTTTCATATTATGGTCCTCAAACCACTTTTTTGTTTTTATCGCGGTATGGCAGGAAGCACCGTCTGGTTGAAATATAAAATTTTCATTTCCAAAAGTGCGCTCTATTGATGGAATCAAACTTCTTGATACAATTTGTTGGTATTATTCTGTGTTTACAGTACCATCAATGAACTCGTAGTTGCCAACCCTTTTACCACTCATACACCCTCATATAATAACACCCTGGGGTTACCGTGCGCTTTAGACAATCTTTATGAAAGGCTTCTCATTTTGTACGAATCACCCTTTTTCGAAAATCGCCTACACACACATCAAATTTTGATTCGCCGCTGAAGACAACATTGCTCCACGTTTCCGTTGTCCAGGATATTTTAGATTTTGCCCAATCCAAACGTTTTTTCTTCTGGAAAGACGTTAATAGTTTTTCCTTTGCCTTTAACAAAAGTAGATCATAGAATATTAATAATTTTTATAATGAAACAGGAAAAATTGTAAACTTACCTTATAAAAACTCAAACCAGACTTATGCATCCATTGTCTAGAACATTCCCTGGATTCATTTAAGTTTGCTTCGTGATTCCATTGGGCTACCAAAACTAACCAGAATACGACGATCTCTTTCAGTGATTTTACGGGATCGGCCTGAACTTTTACCACGAACGCTAACACTAGCTGTCTCTCCATAATTTTCTGTACTATCTCCGACTGTTCGCAATACTCAAGTCATTTGAAATTTTTTGCACTGATTTACCTCTGCAGTACTGAGATATGATAATTTCTCGCACTTTTTTGTTTGTTGCAACACCACGCGTCATTTTCTTATCAACTATTATACAAACTTGAAAGATACAACCCGAACTGACATCTTATTTATCTAAGCACACTACATTGTATCATCAATGCATGGGTAGCATTGATTTCTTGGTCAATAAACATTCGCGCCCGAATATTTATTTGTCAGCAAATTTGGTATGTTTCCGTTATTTTGCTATGTAATTCATGCGAAATAAAAAATAATTCAGAAAGTGCTATCGTAATGTGCGTAAATCGACAAAGCAAAAAAAAAATTAAATAGATATAAAAATGTCTTTTTTATCATTTTTAGTTGTTAGGGCTCGTAGTCTGTTCTCCACAAATATAAGATGCATCAGTTCATCAGTTTCTAATATAATTTGGTTATAAAAATTACTTAAAAGTTGAGTGATTTCTACTTGAACGTTCAATATTAATATTTCGATATAATTAACAAAATCATTTGTTCTTAGTGCCCTACCCATTTTACAAAAAAGGGCAAAATTGGGAAAACCACAGTTTTCTAACTCCAACTAAAAAATGGTATAGATAAAACAAAAGTCTCCACCCTCTCGCGGAAAACATAGTGAAACATTCTTAAATTTGTAATTTAAACATATATCCAAACATTTCCTAAAACATAACACGAGGTTTAAAATATCAAATATCTTCGGAAATGTTGCCGTGAAATAATAAAGAAAAAAAAACTGAATGGCACATTTCAAAAGAAATAAATCCAAAAACTCCATTGGTCAGCTACAACAAAATGCAGAAATGACATTCGGGACTAAATAACTAACTAACTAAATAACTCCACCACATAATTTACAGTGCGACGGAATGAGCCTGGACCTAGCGAATGGGCTTCCCCTTCAAGGTATAACTTTCCTTAACATCCCATACACCCATGGGGGATCGAATCTCTGGGGTGAACACTTATCAGGCTCGAGAAGAAGGAAAAAGAAGAAGCCAGAAAAAGAAATTAGTACGAGTAGCTTTAATTCGGTAGACCTCAGTGTGGCTGTGCAAGGTGTGTGATTAGTATTTTTGTAATAAATTTAAAGTGTCGTGATCCTTTTTATTACCAACGTAAAGCCGCCTTGGACTGTTGTTAAATCAAATAGCGAGATTTACTTTCTTGCTTATTAGTTTTTTTTAGCTTATTAGCTTATAGTGTCACATTTAAACATTGTTGTTGATCGTAAAGCTTCTAGTGATTTTTAACCAGTGCATTAAGCCTCAAATACTTACTGATTTCCATCCACGACTGTTTTGCATCCAGTTCATATTAAAAATGATAATAACAATCATAACAATATTTGCTGATAATGTAAATCTAACTTTTCAGTAACATTTTTAGAGAGATTCCGTATTATATTCATGAAGAAAGTGCGTTATTCTTTTTTTGTAGATATTGGCGATGGTCTGATAGAGGTAATCGGTCTAGATAATTGCTTACACATGGGCCAAGTAAGGATAGGAATAACAGCTAGCGGTAGACGGTTGGCACAATGTTCATCCGTCACAATAAAAACCAAAAAGACATTTCCAATGCAGATTGACGGAGAACCTTGGATGCAGCCTCCCACGACGGTAAGGCATTGTTCCGCCATCCCCACATTTGATTATTTCGTATGTTTTAATTATATTTATTGTCAGAAAACCTTATACAGAATGACCAAAATAGAACTTCAAAAACTTCGACCCTTTTAAACCAAGTAAAATTTAAATTGTAAAAGTTTAAAGTTTGGATTTTTCTTTAATAATTTATCGTCACCAGATTATGAACTAACGGATAATTTAAATAATTGTTTTATTTATAGATACGTATCACTCATCAAAATCAGGTGCCAATGATGATGGCACCTCCGCCCGACAAAAAGAAGGGATTCTTTCGTTTCTTTCGTCGGTAGGCACTTTCAAATATTTAGTGCTTAAAGTGATATTAAATTTTGCGTCTATAGTGGTTTATTTATTTTCTTAGTTTAGAGAAGACAATAAAATTTTTATTTCATATAATTGTTGAGATCTTTAATTGGATACGTCACAGTTAACAAATACTGTGTTCGTATATTAGTTGAAAATATTAATGGATCCTGCTATTAACAAACTTTTTACGGACACCAAATATATTTAAAACAAAATAAAATTCGTTGCGACTTGTTCTTTAAGTAAGTTTTCGCAAACCTTTGGCACTTTTTTGTGAAACGAAGGATGACGTTTACAAAATTTTCATGACTTGCTTAGTTTTTAAGATACAGGGCGATTTTGGAAATTTGAAGTTTTGGGACACCTCACGTATCTCTGGTATCCTATCAAATGTCGGGAAGATGAAAAGCGCATCCCTTAAAAATTTTTGCGTAGAATTCCGAGACGTAGTCAGTTTTTTTTTCCAAATAGTTTCATCTTTTTGGAAAAAAAATAAAGTTTTTTTTTTTTAATGGAACACCCTATATCTTATAGGACAATTTGCTTCCGTTTCTCAAAAACGTATAACAGGAGTATAAACGACCTCACAAAAATGAATTTTTTAAATTTTCATGAAGGTATTTGCGGTAGGCCTTGGAAAAAGGATTCATTAAATACCTAAAAATTATTAATTATTAAATATTATTATTTTTAAATATCTAAATAAATATTATTAAATATCTAAAAAAAATACAAATGTTAATTTTAAACTTCATCCAAATTATAATAGTTATTGTGTAAGTATTGTCAAAAATAAATAAAATAACAAGATAACAAACCTGCAAGTTTCCAAAATTACCTTGTATAAAAAATAAGCAAGTCATGAAAATTTTGTTAACGTCATCTTTCATTTCACAAAAAGTTCCTATCTTCACTACGGACATACTCCTCAATCGCGCCTACAATGGGACACAGTGTCAAATCAATTTCGCTATCGTCTTCCAAAAAATAAAAACTTTTCTTGGACATTTTTTTAAGTAATCCGTATTTTCCGTACCTTTGTTTTCCATCTCGTAGTTTTATTAAATTAGCAAACTGAATTAGAATATCTCGCAGCCGTTTCAACGAAACCTTCTATTCCGATTCAAATTTACCCTGTATAATAAACTTAAAATTATGTAGGCGATAACCGCAACATATACTTTTGAGTTTTAAAATGTACAATTTGCGTAGGACCGGCACTTTATTTCGTTCAATTTTGAAGATCTCAACAAAAGAAGTATTATTATAAGTAAACTGGTAAACTGGACAGTATTGCTTAATGTAGAAGTAACAAATAAAATAAATAGTTTTATTTATATTCATTATTAGTGCGCCATTGTTTCTAGAGTTCCATTGTTTAGCAATTAATTCTCAAGATAGTTATACAAGGTGTTTCTAAAATGCGTCACAAATGTTCATTTAATGTTTGTCTTTTTGAATGTACAACTGATCCCCAACTTAAAATCGACGTATTATTTAATATATTTTTTAATTTTAATATTTGCTAAACTAGGTAATTCCAAGCAAGTGAAGGTTAAAAAGTGTCCTAAAAATATAGTACAACTTTGTAAAAATAGGTTCATAAATCTGAGAAAATGATCCTATTTAATTTATTTTTGCAAATCAATACAATAAAAATATAATATACAGGGTGAATTAACAAAGAGCGGGCGCATGATTGTTTTCGAGGTTATTTCCAAAAAAAAGTTTATGGATGATAGCTTGTTTCTTGACATTTTATTTTTTTTATGTAAGATGATCTCAAAAATTCGCAGCGCATCAGGGACTGTAGAATTTCAAGCTGCTAAAAAGGCGACTGAAATTAAAAACACTTCTTCGTTTTCCAGATAATGCTTCTACAAATCTGAAAGCGATATTAAAAACAATAATAGGAGAGTCATTTTCGGAACACACTGTAAAACGTAAATCAGATGCATTAAGCGGAGTGGTCACAAAACTAAAGGCTTTTTGCAATAACTTTATTATCTTCTTAATTTATGTAAATAAATCTACTGACTACCAAAGTTAACACCGAAATTATATTTATATTTATATATATTTTCCGTAGTAGGTTCGAAATATTTAAATGCTGCGATGTTTTTGCTTAAAAGTTCAATAAATTAAAGAAAAGTAAACGCAATCTTTTAGTTTTTTGACCACGACCTCTAATCTAGTCAAAATCTAGGGACCATACTGCTTAACGTATTCCTCCCAAACAAGTGTACCTATGCAATTAGTTGATAATGGAAACATATTTATTTAAATAATTTTCAGGCGAGTTGGCGTGCTTTGGCGATATAGTAAATATTTAGAATATCTTTTTCAGGGTCTTTGTATGTAAAATTAATCATAAAATTACTCCCATAACTAACTTTTTACAATTTTATTATTTATTTATTTTATTAAGCGCCAACAAATCGGATAGACATACAATACAAAACTTTGATAAATAAATATACCTTTTTTTTATTAGCGCTTCATAAGGATTCTACTATATTATTTCTGTGAAATTTTTTGATAATTATTATTAACAAAGTTAATAAAACAAATTATTCGTCTATTTTAACCCTTCAACTTGATTTAAGTTAGGTAAGTGACCTAGACTAGACCTAAAGTAAAAGAAAGTTCCCCTAAACAGAGTGCAAATATATCTCAAACGTTCTTCATATATTTTTTAAATAGTCTCTTTTTATCAGTATTTCTGACTTATATACTTAAACCGTCCAAGTCTCTAAACCAAACGTTACCCATGATAAGAACTGGTTGATTAGATTTTGTTGAATCATTATGTAAAAGTAGGCCCAATATTAAAATTGGATTTAATGTTATTTTACGAGAAACAAATTGGGAGCTGAATGCATCCAGACATTCACTTTTCTTAAGACTGTAACTTAATGGGCCATTTTTTAAAAATAATTGTTTCCTTTGTCTTATCATGTAAAAGATATACTTTTACTACGTTTGGTGAATTTTTATTTAAGAACTTAATTAATGGTTTAGTTTGCTTGACGAGCCGAGACAATTATACCAGGTTTAGCACTTTTTTTTTAGCGAGTATCAGTAAGTATTTAAAAAGTTAACATCTCTCTTAAAATAACTTTTTCATTTTAGTCACATTTCTCTTAACCTTATTGCATATCAAGATGAATTGGCATAAATACATGTGACCACCACAAAATCAACCAAATCAACGTTAAGGGGTCACATGAATTCCATAAACCACAACAGTTGGCAGTATAAAACATCCGTGATTTTTGTCTATAAACATATCACTTCAAAAAAAAATACAACCTCTTGCCCTTATTCGTGTTTCACCTTTTAAAAACAAGACTCCTTCAGATCATTTTAATATTTAACTATTCTTGCCTCTTCGATTGCCAATTGCCAAATTTTCGCCTCACATTTAGGAAAAGGCAAGTTTACACCATTGTTGCCGAAACTATTTTTCTAATACAATATCTAAAGGGACGCCATGGACTAAACAAAACATAATATATCGGACACCTGCCCTTCACGATTATTTTTAATTTTTGATTTTCCCGCTACATTAATGTAGTTTTTCTTTGTTAAAAGTTGTACAAATTTGGCAGCATTTTATTGAAAATACAATTCAAGAAGTCGATCGTGTAGTGACACAATACCTAGGACGTGAACGACCAGCCATTCAGAAACTAGGTAACAAAAAACGAAAACCGATATAAATAGTGTGTGAAATAATAAAGTGTAAATGGCTGTAAACCCTATTAAACACTATCTTTTAACCGACATCTTAAATTGATATCCAAACTTCCATGGCATTGTAGTGTCAGGCACTTAATTCAATTAAAAAATCACTTCCAGAAAAACTTGCCTTTTCAACATTAGCTTGAACAAAATACTACGAAGCAACAGATTTTCCCGCACAAAGTCCGCTTTAATGTATCTTGTGGGCTTGGCATTTAATTATAAGTGAAATTTTTTCAGTTTTCCAAAGCACGTGCCGTCGTAAAACGCCATGTGCGTTACTGTATAAACTATGTTTATATATAACATTCTAGACTCTTTGAGGTATTGTTGAGGTTGATTGTTTTTACCCATAATTGTGTCCCTGCAGTTACGAGTTCTGTAATAGATACGTATTTAGTGAAATGTCATTTTTGTAGGAAACTCAGAGATACAACCAACAAATGTTAAACTAAAAAATAATTGTAGCTGCTCGCTATATAGATTCAGAATTTTAATTGGAAATCGTCTCGGGCACGCATATGGGTTAAAGAGAAAATTTTAAGTGCTACTTGAAATTTATTAAATTGATTTCGGTGTTGGTGTGGTGTGGAGGCCGCCGCTATAACCTAACAGTGGTGATTCAGTTGTAACCAATATCTCAGGAAGTATGCGTTGTCGTAAGTAAGAATTAAAAAATTTAACCAAGAGAATTTTTTTATTTGTCCAATTGTCAAGTAAATTGTTTTTTTAATAAATTTGGAGTAAATAATTCAGCATGAGGTTTGACATTATTTTTGAAGATATGATCGATATTCTGGTGAAAAATAAAAAACCCATGTAGTTCTTGGATTATTGCTTTTATTATTTAAAACATAAGAACTAGTATATGCTACTTGTGCTACCTGATATATGCTACCTACTCTATTTCTCTTATGACTCGCAGTAACATTGTATGTATTGAGCAGTGGCCAATATAATAGAATTGTAATATCTCTGAGTTATTCAGACAATAGCTTGACAAAATCGCATTTGCGTATTTTTTTAATTAAAAAATTTTTTTTTGGAATATTTATTTTTTAAATAACACCCTTTATTTGCGTTTAGTAAACAGATAGGGAATTGGTTATTATCAGGACGAATGTAGACCAAATTATTTTGTTCTTATAACTTATGGACGAAACCATATTTAGATTACTTTTTCGTAACGTCCATTCTTCTGTAATCATCGTAACTCATTTTGAAACAAAAAAACGCTTATTTCTACTATCAGTGTGATTAGTGGTTAATGTAGAAAAATGTTTACGTTAATGTTAAAATAATTTTACAATATATCAAATTAGAACTGCCACTATAATTCAAAAATAATGTGGAAAAGTTTATTGCTGTTAAAGCTTTAACTGTAAAATAAACCTTATGTATAATTCGGAGTCAGTATTTTAAGAAATGTTTATGTCTCTTTCCTGTATATTAAAAACATTTAAATAAGTGAGAGCTTTAATTGTATCCGCTGCTTAACCCCAGCGTTGTTTCTGTTAACGACAGTACAATTCTAGTTTTTCCACAACTTTGTTAGCTTTCCAAAAATATTTAGAGGTACGCGTTTGCGCTTCCGTTTGGAAAGATCTCAAAAATTGTGAAAGTCTTCCGTTCTTCATTCTGTACAAACTGTTGATGCTAGATTTTACTTCTTTCGGCTATTTTACATACTGTAAAATCTGAACTGTACAAAATAAACCGCTCCAAAGCATTTTTTTGTGATTTTTATGCTCCTCGCGCACCCGATACGCTATTAAAAATAACTAGAACTTGCGTATAACCTTACGGAAAACTACACTCCGAGAATAACAACAAATTTCACAAATGTCATGTGAACAATGGTCATAAGTTTTTAAAAAAATAGCTAAAACAAACAAATCAAGGAAAAAGAGCAGTATTACACTTGGCGATATTTTACTTTCTTCCTACTTTTTTGAAGGGTAAAATTCAGTTGATCGCATGCGGGTATCCAATATGGCTATTATATAATATAGTGACCCTAGTACGGTAAACCTTGATGTGCCTCGAGCCAATACCTCCTACATCACAAGGCCGTGAAACGCTAAAGTGTGAGTCATCACATTAGGGATATAACTGGTTCATAATATGAAATATAGCTGAAAAAGGAAAAAAAAATAATCTAAAAATTCATACACGAGTGGTGCAATAAATTTGTGTACATATTTTTGTTATTTTACTAAGATTAAATAAAATAAAATTCAAATTTAAGACGCATTGCCATTTTTCAATGTGGCATTGTTTTCATAGACTTTATTCTTATATTCTTTATTTTTATTCTTTGGCTGAATTAAATAATCCTCTTCGTGACGTAGATGGTAAAACACAGGGCACTGTTAAAAATGTAGGTATAAGGTTTGCATGAAAACATAACGGAAGAGTTGTAAAGGCTACAAAATGTGTATTAAAATATTCTCGAATACGTATTGAACAAAATGCGATATCTTTGAACATTTCATCTAGGTTGTATTGTAAGACGCAATTTCATTACATAAAATTGTAGCTTACTAATAAAGAAGATAAATATGAAAATAATTAGAATATTTTTAATTTTAGTTCAATTTTGTACAAACACATGTTTTATGAAAGACTTGCAAACATTAGGATTAAAAATATACAGTGTTCCTCTTTTTGAATGTGTTTTTCTGATTATTGGGAAATTAAATTCAATTGTTTTTTGGCATTCGCATTAGTTGGCGCTTAATAATTAAAAAAAACAAGTTACCAATAATGCTTACTTAATTTGATACAGCGGGTATGTTTGTCCCAGGCTACCAGGCAAAATATGTTATAAAATATGTACTCATATTATGAAAATACAAACGAAAAGACTAAATGACAAAATATTTTCAAATTTCACTGAAATGCGTCTCTGTAAATCGCTGCCGCAACGCTTCTGTGTAGTAGGTGCAATCAATAAACTGCTCTGCTTCAATTCAGAGCATGTTTGCCGTTATAATGCACCGCACGGAAGTCTATACAGACTGCAGCAAATAACGAAACGAACCCAAAATGAAATAAGATACATGAAATAAAAAATTAACCGACGTAATGACGTGTACAGTGCGTGTTTAATGAGGACGTCGTTTTCAATGTTTTCTCCATTGAAACAATATAAATGAAACTGCTTCAAGATGTATAAACAGCTATTCACGATTTTAGGTATGTTTTCCCTTGTATTTTTATTAATTACAAGCAAAAATGTGTGTCAAAATCCAAAAAATATCACATACAATGTCAAAGTAAAATAGCAAAATTGGTTCTAGTTCAAATTTAGTATAGTTTTCCTTTCTCAGTTTGTACAAGCAGGCACAGTTTCTATTTTATTTATGTTCCTCGGACATAATACTAATTTGTTATTAATCGCATCTTCAAAGTTCATTGTACCACATGTCAAAATTTACGTATTATGCGGACTTAGATACATATATCGTATGTTACAGTTTGTTAGTGTACAGGAGGTCCGTGCTTTGGCGAAATATATCGCCCGTTGTTAGAAGATTGCGGTTTAAGTAATTCAAGAGAGACATTGCTGGAAATAAAGAAAACAAAAAATGGGCAATAACGATGAATGCTAATTTTATAACGACAACATATTTAATTGCAGAGTACAAAATAAACTGGTAAAGTATTTCACTTTTTGTTATTGACCGCCTAAAACTATTTTTGGCCTTATCCATGTCATATTGGTTCTAGCTCAACTTGTTACTGGGAGTGTAAAAAGTGCGTTTTTCACAAAAAATGCTTAGAACTCAGAAATGATATATTTAAATCCAACACATTAAGAAAGTAGGAAAAAAAACTGACTGATGGCGTTCGAAGATAATATTTGCTTTCACGATTCTGATCAATAATTGCTTCCGAAACTGTAACACTGATTTTAGACTAATTTTAAATTAACATACCTAGTAATCAAATATTTTCGATAAATTTATAAAAAAACGTAATTATACACTCAAAGAATGTATTGGTTATTTCACGAAAAACGAATTAGGATAATGCAAACAGCATATTTATTGTGTTTTTTGTCGCTTTATCCTAATGATCTATGGCAAGTTTTGCGAAAACCGCAAACTTTTAACTTTAATTAATACGCGGGATTAACATGTAAGTGGATGCCCTGTACGTTGACGCAGTCACATACTGATTAAATAAATTGTATTGTAAATGATTTTCCTCTCTATAAAAATTCAACTTCTTATCTATCTACTTATTGTAAACATCCAGGTTACGACGTTATCAAATTTCTTTCTTCCTCAAATTAGAGAAATTGTACGAACACTGCAAGTGGAGGCATATCTATAGGTGAATAACAAGACTTAAAATAATGGATATTTAACACCATGTTAAAAAAAAAATTCAGCTCCTGCCATATTGTTGCCTAATTGGATTTGAAATCTATTTGCGTTTTGGAACTATTAATAAAAATCGCTATATATTTTAAAACTTTAACATCTTGCAACTACATGTTGGGCCATGTTGATATAAACTTTTTTGTTAATTTTTGTTACAAAGATATGCGAAAAATTTAATGTAACAAGTGGCATCAGTGAGTGAACACACTAAAGCAGAAAACAAATTTATAATCCCTCATTGGCTGTTTTTCTACATTGGCCATGATTATCATAATCCTAAACAATTCCTTTCACTGTCTAGCCCACATTTATATGTGTTCGTTTAATGCCTTCGAAGGCAACTCGAGCGAATCCCGAATACTGGGTGGTTATAGTACAAGATCGGAAATTAATTATATATGGGGTTAAAGGGGAAAGCTTCGCGTTTGACATGTCATCCCCAAGCTCCTCTTATTGCAGTGTTGCCACATTGCTGCATTTTCCCTATGTTTGGGAGGAAGTAAATTTGGCACATCGTTGACGTTATTTTTCACAAATATTTTACGGAAACCTGCAATCCGTTATAATAAACTTCGTTCAAAATAAAATCATCATTATTCTATCTTATTCGACCTCACTATTCCAAAACTCAATTTCGTAGATGTAGATTAAATATAAATAAAAAGGTCGAAAGGTGTCTAATTTTATTGCAGTCTATATCGTTCCTTTTGGAAAAACCCAATGGGAGTGTGCCCGTGAGTAAAATTCCGAATGTTCACAAGTTTTATGCAACTTTGCTAGACAAATTGCCTACACGATTACCAAAAGTAGTATTTATACTAGTGAACTAGAGTTTTCGAATTCATACGTCATTAACATACACATACATTTATACTTCAAGTGAATATGGTCTAAACGAGTACTTTTAGATCAAATAGTAAATAGAAAACGCAAAACTTTTTTAAAAACGGCTGGTACAAAAATATTAGATTTATAGAGAACCATTTGAATTTACGTTAATAAAATTATATGGAAAATAAGAATACCTTGTTATTTTTTGTTGAGCTTGAACTATATTAAAAAAGTTTTGTAATGAAATAGTATTTCTAGTTGCCATGAAATACACTCTACTTTGCTTTATGCAGGTTAAAGAGCCCATTAACGTACTTTTTGTTGAATTGTTGACTTAATACAAAATGTAGCATGGTATTTTTATTTCAATATTAATCATCTCACTACACACGGTGAGCCCCACCATGTGCAGCATAGTTTTCGTTTTGTTTGTATCAGTAATGGACAGAAAATACGACACGATTAACTTATTTTTATGCTTTCTTTTCAGTGATAATATTGCTAGCTATAGCAACGCTATGTAAAGCAGAGTGCCAGAGTAAGTTTGCTGTTTGCATCAAACAACTGTCGTTTTTAATTTGTTTGTGTTAATTTCTTAAAATCGAAGTGTTAAATTCTCCGCATCTATTACAAACGAAAATAATTATTTAGAAAACGCCAATTTAGATTTTTGTCTGGGTGTTTTGAATTACGTAAGCAGGTAAGCCACCGACGCAGGAAGATGTGGAATTACCAATAAAACTAACATCACAATTACCAATTACAATTTCTACATTTTGGGTTGAAATATAAAACATAGAAACCACGATTGTAGCAAAGCGCGGCGAGACAATTTAATAACTTATACATCAACACTGAATATTAACAAATAATTGAAAAAAAACATTCCAATTACACTAACCAAATTTAACAGTTTGAGCATTAATGTATGTATACTCTGGATGTTAGATTTTCGTTAGTTTTGATGCTTTGATGCTTTTTTACATGTCATTGCGATAACTATAAGCTACAATATTCTGCATTCGGACAATACAAAATGGGGAGAAATGATACAAGATATAATTAAATGCTATAGTAAAAGGGGTGATACATTTTATTTACAAATCTTCTGGATTCCTCCTTAACTGAAACTGCTCTGAAGACGCCAATAGCGCAAGCAAGTTCGACTCGTCAACAACTAACGCGGAAGGAATCCAGAAATTTTCGAAAAGGTATTACCATAGCCTGTGGAAGTTTGTACCTACTCTGGGGGTACAACTGTCAAACTGTCAATCTTAAGGACCACTTCGTAGTGTAAGAGAATAATATTGTAATTGTAACAAAACTCTTGATTAATGAAATTATTTAATCAAATCAAATATAACTGCCTGTAAAACATGAATTGGGAATCGGCAAAATTTCTCTCAGTGTAAAATTATCTAGTATTGTCGTTGTCTACGACGTTCGGCAATGACTGTCCCACACAATAAAAACGCCGCGTTTCACTCAATTTACCTTGAAATATTTAATAATACTACTACCACTTGTACTCGACCAACTTTATCCAATAGAAAACTCAATCGTGATACGTATTCTCGAAGTCTAAATCACACGAAAGAAACATAATATATAAAAATAACAGTCCTATTGCCATGCGACATTTTTATTAAGACATCAATCTTCTACTTCGACATCTTCCCTGCTGACCACCGCAGTTGGTGAGCGCCATATCTAAAACATCAAGTTTTAATAGAAAAAAGTGTTTTTCGAACTTAGTGTTGGACCAACAATGGAGAGCTAAAAGTTACCTAAAAATCGTTAAAATATGACATTTCTTTTAACTAAAAGATAATTACGCACTTTAACTAACCAACCGCAGCCAAGCATATTAATTTTATGAATTTTTAAATTGGACGACAGTCCAGTGGCAGTTACGGAAGTATTTCAAAGTTACGAATTATTCTATCCCACAAAATTATAAAACAAAAACAATTAACAACACTAAAACTATACTAATATACTGGTGACTGGTAAGTGTAGTTAAATCTGAACATCCCTAGTTCGTTTGATATATTCCTTTTGATTAATTAATTCATTGATAAATTATTTCGTCTCGAATATTATGATTCAACTAATTTTCCATTTACCAGTCTCCCTATATATCGGGTAGCTCACAATGAAGGTATCCGAAGAACTGTCAAAATATCTAATCTATATCTTGTTTGACGCAACATTAAAACGACTGAAGATAATCTTTAAAATAAGCTAGAAAAATCCTTTATCTTCAATGTACAACCAAAACTCATTTATTATTTTTAAAACTTCTGTAAGATCTGTTACGCTACCTATATCAAACTTTCTTTGAATTGGCAATCTAAATAAATTCTATTTTATTCCTTGAATAATCGACTGCGAGCCACCCGGTATGAGGATCACGTCATTGAATTTCGTTTATCATTGCATGCTGCACACGACATCTACTGCACAGAAATTGTTATCCACAAGTTTGGCGTTTAGCTGAGTTTATCAAAATACCTTATCAAAATATCTCGTACTGCGAACATTGCATGAATGTGTTAAGAAGCATGGATTGGTATTCCACTGTACGATAAACCAAATTCTACGAAGAATAGTTGAACATTCGTATCGTATCGATACGGAAAAAGTGAATTAGTTTTTCGGTTATTGATGTACTGGTTGTGCTAACATACACTCACATAAATACCAAACTCTTAAACCAAACCAATGTTGTTTATAATAGTCAAAATATATTTGAATTATGGCTTTGCCACAAACCTCCAAAGCGCTATTTTTAAAATTTCATGGCTAAAATCAAATCTAGACTCGCGGTTTGCCATTGGGAATGCCTTCTCAAATGTGACGTTTTCACGGTGCCTAAAAGAATTTAAATTTTTTTCTTGAAATTAGAAGATTCGATTCATAAATTTGGAACACTGAAAGTTACAATCAATCAACAACGTCCATATAATAGACACATAGATCTAGTGAAAAAAGGAATCAGAGAATTTTCAAATTAAATAACTGTATGTTTTTAATGAAAGATCCTTTGTATGATTTAAATATTAAATTTATTTCATTTAGAAGCTTCTCATATATTATGTCAGTTATCCCCGAGAGCTACAATCATTAAAAAATTGTTTAAAAAAATATTGGCATTTAAGCTGGATTTAAAGATGCTTTACTAATTTTTTCAACCGTTTAAGAATCCTAATTTTATATACTTTTGCAAGAATCCATAAAGACAAAAAGGAACATGGCAGGTAATCGCAACTGCATAGAAGGAATGGAATAAATCTTTCAGGATCTAGATACAAATTCCCATATAATTCTGAAGATTTTTTTCATTTTTGTCCAAGTCCAAAATTTCAATTGTGGGAATACGTTAATATTTTTCAGAAGTTTGCAAAAATGATACCTTTATTTTACCACTACAATGAGCAAAGATTTTGTATAACAAAATCCAAAAGACTGTGAAAACGCTTGTGTTGGCTCTCGCGTTATGATCTAAGCCGCAGAAGCGGCGAAAACGACTATAGAATCAATTTTTTCTTATATTTTTGGTCCATATTAAATGACTTGGTCGCTAAACGGAAACAAAAATTTGCAATTTAAAACAACTACATACTTCAGTTGTAAGTTTCCAATCACTAGATGATGGCTATTTGCAAGTAAAACATTTCAACAATACTTTTTATCGCAAAACGTTGAAATAGTGTGACCTATTGCATTTTAGCTCGACAAATATATTGTTATGAATGTGATAGTTGGTCAGACATGCGTTGCAAGGACCCTTTCAACTACACTGCCCTTCCGAAAGACCAACCGCCCTTAATGACTTGCAACGGCTGCTGCGTAAAGATGGTCCGGAATGCAAAATCACGTAAGTAGCTGGGTAACTTTATTTTTTTAATTTCATTTACCCCTCCAATAAAATTTCTAAAGCGAGACATGCACGAAGTAATGCATTTTGGAGTAAGCTACGGTGAGCATTACTTTGTTTGTTGTGATTCCGGTTATGCAGCCAATATCCTTTTTGTGACGCAAATTATTATTACAGGGAAACTGTTAGCAATCCTTTTCTTCTTCGTACATGTTAATACTAATGGCTCAATTTTTCTACACATTTGGGTTTTCTAGGGATAAATTACTTGCTAAAGGGTACTTTTAATTAAGTAGTAGTGATATATTTTCACTATTTTTGGTGGGGATAGTCTTGCGTATGCAGAATACGTACTAATAATTTCATAAACATTTTTTTAAATTGCAATTTCTTATATTATATATGCCAGTAATAAATTTACATTTCTATTAATAAGGTACGTGTAAATAAATAAAATTGTTAATTATAACAATTAAATTAGTATTTTTAATTAGTATTAGCTGTAGAAGAAATTTTAAAATTTTTCTCATTACTCCATTTATGGCAAGAGAAAAAAAAACGTAAATACTAGCTCTCTTAGTGTCCCTTTATTCGTTGGCTCGCGTAGCTGATATTGAAATTTGACGTAGTCATATTTTTTTATTTATTACACGTTTAATTTGGGATACCGTAAACAACAGTAATGTAAAGCTTAAGATAAAATAAACCAATCAATAAATCATAATTTTGTAATTTGATTTTTACTACGTTTATCGGATCAATTATATAAACTTTGGTAATAGTATGAAACTCTAGTTGGTGAGAACTTGGTTCGAGACGCGAGCTGATGAGTAAGTTATAGCTGTTATAGTCTCGACCAAGTAAACTTATAATCATGGCCTAGTGATTCAAAATTTCCGGAAAAATTGGTTGTCGGAAAAAACAGGCTTTTTCCCGGAAAAATTGGAAAAAACGGAAAATTTGGGAAAAATTGAATTTTTGTTGGAAACGAAATCCAAAAGCATTTTAATATGCAGGGAGGTTTACGTATTAAATATTATTCAATACAATTATTTTCACACATATTTAAAAAAATAAGTGCAGTGTAACAACACTGACAACTGGTTTACCGGTGAATCCATATGGTATTCCTGCAAATACTGATGGCCTGTCCTGCCTGACTAGAGAAAACGTATTAAAATGTATAAAAGAGTGCTTCGAATTTTGTTGTAAAACTTATTCATTTTGCAGCAAATCTTCTTGATTCCCGTTTTAAAGGGAAGCAATTAAATGAGGACCAAGTTATATTGGCAATTGAGTTTATTTCGCAAATGTCTCAATTATTACGTTTAAATAAAGGAGAAGTAATGGCAAATTTAGCCCACTGCAGAACTGAACGGGATTTTTTAGTAGGAATTCTCTATGGGAATCTGCGAGCAGTACCCATCCAGCTATATGGTGGCAGGGGTTGTGTACCTCGCAGCCACTTATGCCAATTGCTTCCAGAATTTTAAATGGACCTCTATCGTCCGCTTTGTCAGAAAGAAACTGGTCTTTGCATGGTGTTATTCATACTAAAAAAGAAATAGACTGACACAAGATAAGGTACAAAAGCTTGTTGCAATTCAGTCTACCTTAAATTTAGAAGAAAATTACAAATTTGCCTACGATTCTAGGCCAGTTCCGCTTTTGCAGCCGGCTGAAATGGATATCGAATTAATTGGGAATATCCAGGACGGCGATGCTGCAGAATCAGAACCAGATTCTTTCTCCGAAGACTCGGACCTTCACGATGAAACCCCTTTAAGTGTACTGGCTTTGCAGAAATGACTTTTTTTTTACTTGCATTTTGCTTGCGTTGTCAGTTCTTCTTTTTTTTTGTTTACATTTTTTTTTGTTTATTATGTATTCTACAGTTTATGTTTTGTTAACCAAAGAGTTCTTAATTTATTCTTTTTATTATCTTGAAATAAAGTAGGCATCTTAATTTTTGCTTTTTTTTATTGAAGCAACTTATACTAACCAATATACATTTATATCATAATATTTTAACTCGTTTAGCTGTCTGGCATTTAATTTAAAAAAGTCAAAATTTCCGTTTTTTTACAATTTTTCCGAGGTTTGGGAAAAAACCGAAAAAACCGTGTTTTTTTCCACATTTTCCGTTTTTTTTCCGAACCGTTAAATATCTATCATGGCCGATGAAATTTTCTATCTACTAAGGTTAGGTTTGCCAAGACATAAATCACATTGTCTCATTGACATGTATTAATAACAAAACAATTCAAAAAAGGATCTCAGAAATCTCTAAAAATCGCAAAAAAAAACATCCAAAAACTTAAATCAATCATGGTCGATTAAAAAGAGAGGAAAAAAGACTGAGCGATAGGTTAGACAAAAGGGATGAATATAATTCCACTCGTAGCTAGATGCACCAAGTTAAAAACAATTGTTTCTATTTAGTAACTAACCAAAGCAAACCAAAAACAAGTACTTATTACATACATATAAAAATATTGAAAAGAGCAAGGGATCCAAATATGTGGAACCACATGCAAGTATGCCGACCTTATCCTATTAAAAGCAACATACATAGCTCTATTTTGTAATGCTTACAGATATTACATACGCTCTAGAGCAGTGTTTCTCAAAGTGGCCGATAACGCATCCTTGTGGGCTTTCGAGCCGTAGAGGGGGGCGTTGGTTAGGGGATGGATACATTTGTAATTTACTTTATTTTTTAAATTTTGCTAAAATTAAGACCTACCTACTACACAATAACGAATAACTAGTTTATAAATCTATGGTATAAAAGCTTAAAATAATTAAAAAGATTTTGTAGGATAGTTAGCAGACCATACGCAATCAAGATGTAACAGTTTTCTGTTAAATTGATACAATCCTGAGAGATAAACGAGTTTGTGCGTGTGTGTCTTATTCCTGTCGGTGCTTACTGTATTTAAACCCTATATAAAAGTTCGTCATTTTTCTTATATCTTCATTAGTGGTTCGGCGCGCTATATTTAAAGAAGTATTTGAGTTCAACAATTTATTTACATATTTGTGAAATCAAAGGTATGTCGGAAACAAAAAAGAAGAAACCGCAATACACTGCAGAATTTATTAAATATGGATTCAGTTTTCAAACGATGAAGCCTTCAAGACTTCAAAATCATTTGAATAAAATGCATCCGGAAGGAAAAAAATGTAGCCTTTTTTTGAAGATCTGGAAAAGAAGCTAAATTCTCAGCCAAGTATATGAAAACTTTTTCCCATGGTACTAAGCAAGACAATGATGGACTTCGAGATTCATACAATATATATTTTTGTTAATTGCTTAAACAGCTAAACCACTCACCATCGGAGAAACGTTAATTTTGCCGGCAATAAAAGAAGTTGAAGTTGAATAGTCATTGTGCAGTAATCTGAAGACTGGTCAATTTTAAATTCAGTTGGATGGGTTCACTTTACCAACTAGTGAAGCATTGTTGTTGTCTTAGGTGGGATTTATTAAAATGAAAAATATATCAAGAACTTTTATTTGCTAGAAAAGTCTTGGGACGAAAAAAGAATTCCCTTGAAGCTGCTACAGATGGTGCTCCAACTATGACGAGACATCGGAAAGGCTTCATTTCGTACTTAAAAAACAAAATTCCAGCTGTGCTTGCTGGACATTGCGTTGTACATCGACAGCATTTAGTTGCCAGAAATTTAAGTGAACGACTGTTTCAATGATTACAACATGTCATCAGAACAGTCATCAAAATCCGAAACAACTCTTTAAATGACAGAATATTTAATCAGCTTTGTGTTACTAATGATGAAGATTTCAACAGACGATTGATCTTTCACACAAAAGCGTGTTGGCTATGAAAATGAAATTGTCTGACTCGTCTTTACAATATGTTTGACTCTGCCATAGGGTTCTTGGAAAACGAAGAACCAAAATTGCGCGAAAATCTCATCCTGACAGACATTTCTTAATGATATGAATCTCTATCTTCAAGACCATGACTTGAATTCAATAAAAACAAAAAATGTCTTCGGTATTTTTACACAAGAAGAATATCTGCAGACGTGAGTGCCATAATTTTCCCAATTTATCAGTATATTGCAACAACAACGACTTGCTTGAATGATTCCAGGACATTTTTAAATTGGAAATACCAGACTGGGTGTTAGATCCTCTTTCAAACATAGCAATATCACTCCAGCTAGCAGAAGAACTTATAGAACTGACAACGAAAGAGGGAATAAAAATGAAATTCAAAAATGGCTGCCAACAATTTTGGCTACAAAAGTCACTTCCGCAGTCGTACTTCGTTTATAAACAAAAAGTGATAACCTTTCTGTATTGTTTGTTTCAATTTGATTAAAATATAGTATTAACATTATGAAGTTGCGTTTTAATTGCTCTAACTGATAAAAATTTCTGGTTTTGAATGCAAGTTTAAACACCAGAATCGACTAATATAGCACGCTATAACTAAATTAATTGAAGTAATCAAACTGTTTGTTTTAAGTTTTAGAAGTGTATTAAAGGGGGAAGGGGGGTGATCTGAAAAATAATTGATTTTGAAATAAAAAAAGAAATCACTGCTCTATTTATTCCATCGCTATTGCTATAGATTGTCACAACTCCTAACTAAGCGATGTTTGTTTTTGCAGCGTACGAAGTGGTCCGCCGAACTTGCACCTCGCAACTTCAAATAAACTTGTTTATGGTAGATCACGTGTGCATGATGGAAAGTAGCGGAACAGGTCACATGTGCTTCTGTGAGGAGGACATGTGTAACGGGGTGAAAACGTTGAACCCCAACACGTTAACACCAGTAGTTGCTGCCCTTCTTTTAAGCAGCCCATTCTGCATGTTGTTGAGTTAGACAAATATTTACTTAGATAGCCTTGTTGACTTAGACAGTTGTTTCGAAGAGCTAGAGAATTCCAAGTGCGCAGACATTTTTCAATTCGGTAATAACTTTTTTAAGCTTCCGACGAAAGAATCAATGTGGTTTTAAATCGTAATCTACAACGTTTCCAATAAGCATGGCGATGCAGGGTGTTCCGAAATCAGACCTCAATTACAAAATCTTCGTTTTTAAGATTAAAAATTAATACAAACTTTTGGTTATTAATTTTTGGTAGTTTTAATTGGCAAATTTAAAAAAATAAACTCAAACAATATAGTGCCATTTGCTTCTAAATTTGCAAACTGAAAATGTTGCGACCTAGTGAAGTACGAGAAAAGTACATGATTTCTGTAAAAAACGTAAAATTCATTGTTACATTGAACGTAAAGAATTGATCAAATTCACCAAATTTTATTGAAACTCCTTGAATCTGAAAAAAAAATTACTCCCCATATCCCAAAGTTGTTGATCGTAGTTTATAAGAACTTCTCTCTTTTTTGTGGTTAAAATATTGACGTCTAATTTCGGGGCACTCCATATTTTAGTGAACGTGGTGATAACAGCTTGATGCCAAAAATATTGACGCTAAACGTATAATAAATAGTGCACGAACGTCAATTTGTAGGTACGTATTTCGATTACCCAAAATTCTCAATTTTTATGCAAGACGTAATTTTAAAATAATCTTTAATATTAGAACCTCTTAAACATTTTATTACCCACTCAATATTTAGTTTCCATACAGTAATCAATCACAGTGTCTGTCAATTATTTTGCCGATTTTTGGCAATATAGCGTACTTTTTCAAAAAGAAACGGACACACGTTACTTATTCAAATTGTTACGAATGCCACTAACGGCGACTGGTTTAATAATAATAACAATAAATCATTTTCCTGAAAAGTAAACACCGAATATTTTGATTAAATAATTCAATATTCAGAGAAAGGCAAAATGCGAAAAAGTACCAAACCAATGATACCGACCAACAGATACGATTAAACCTCCAGCGTAACAATGATATGTTAAGACTATTAGAATCAAATATACGTCCTATTTGTCAAAGGTTTTCGGGTTGCGATGCACTAATGCAAACAGCAAGCCTCTATGCGGAGATGCCGAGGCAATGGGGTAACATCCTTTATTTAAACAACTTTGTCGCACTTGAAGTTTAAGGGTGCGATAAAATTTTTCATCATCTCTATACCGATTATAGATCTACTATCGACATTTTTTTTTTCATTTCTATAAAAATATCCATATTATTAAGTGTATTAATATCAGTTCAAGAAACGTTGTACATAATGAGTACATAATTTCTCTTGCTTCTGGAGTTTTACCAATTACTTACACAAATCCAGAAACTAATGTGTCTTCTTTGTATTTTTTATTTTGTCGATTTTGTTTTAATTTTAGTCTTTTTAAGGAACAACACAATTTAATAAAATTAACTTTTCTATGTCGACCAAAATATGTCTGCTAAACAAAGGCTTGACAATAAATATCTTCTTGTAATGTAAAAATTGAGAGCATTGGTCTTAGCTTTATCAATACTTAAAACTTTTGAAGACCAATAAGTTTCTAAGCAATATCACAGTTAATTAGTTACAAAAAAAATCCAAACAAATAGTCCAGGTCAGAAAATACAATTTTCTCTCGTAGTAGTGCATCGATTTGAAAAATAATTTATCTTTTATCTTGAGTCATTTTTAAAGCGCCTACATATACCGAGATTTGGCTTATCTTTATTACGCTGAAGGTTTGACCGATAAAATTTTTCGTCATCTGTATATACAGTCCGTCGTTCACCTTGTTTAATGGAAAAATAGTATAATTTCGACACTTTTTACCATTGCATATTTTAAATTATTACTATTTTATTGTAAAGGTTCCATAACGATTATATCCACTTTAGTTAGTTAACTGTTACTGAAACTAACTGCCAATTAACTACAAATACTATAAGTGCGACAATACGCAAATAACCAATGTATTATGTTTTTTTAATAAATATCCTACATTTCACAAACGATACCTCAAGAATTTTTAGGAAAAAACCTTTACATAAAAATTCAAAAATAAGTTCAAATTTGAATTTTCCCTTTTCCAATTTTTTCAAAAATTCTTGGGAAATCGCCTTATGAAATATCGGCCATTTATTAAGAAACACCCTTATTTTATTAGGCACTTATTACAAGCTACATTTTACCACGTGATGAGTTCTTATATGCTGCAGCTATAATTCGCCGATACCAGAAGTACATATTTGGTCAATCGTAACAGTTATTATACATTCTCGTGTGTTTGTTAATAAGGTAAATACCATATCACGCAGAAACGTTTAACAATAATTGTCGATCATATCATTGAGAAACTTATTAAAGTTTTCGTTCGAAAATTCGAATCGAAAACGACTTTAAATTTCGTTTTGCTTAATACGTTCCATATCAAATCATATAAATTTCCTTCGCTCATAGTATAAAGCCAGTAATACTATCGCTAACAAGTATCATGCGGAAACTACTTGTAAATTAACATTTTACTCCTATTATTATTAATATTCGCGTCTTTGATTTAGTAATTTAAAGTAAGTTAATACCTACACAAATTTTATCGATATGTTAAATAAAATTAATATTCCTGTACAAGGGCCTCTACTTTTACATTTATCGTCATTTTGCAAGCAATATAGTACGCCAATAAACAGCAAAGAGTATGGTAGAGTTCACATTCATTTAGTTAAATCATTTACAAGATTCAGACCTCTAAACCGGATGTCCATCACTTCACGTCACAAGCCATACTTCTTTTATTTATCAAGATACGACAGTTATTATTAAAAATACCTTTTATATTTAATGTTTTTGTTTAAATATACAAAAGTTCTAGCCTGTGACGTTAACTGTAACACGCCCGGTATAAGTTCATCCCATGTAGAACGATTTGAAGATTGCCAACAAAAAAAGAGGACTAACGAAATCGTCAGTTTAATGCAGAATTTTTTGTATTATGGGAGAAATTTTATCGCAACTCAATATTTCAAAGATATATTGAAAATGTATTTCTGAAAATAGTATCTGTAACAAATTTCATGACTTCTGCACTACTTTTCGATTTAAAAAAAATATGTGATCACCTACTTGGGACGAAATTTAGCAAATAATTGATTTGACCATTTTCAGAGCATGCTTGTGCATGATGTTATCCCTGCACATTTAGTTCAAGAATGTTTCTGTTTGAATGCGCTTCTCAGTTTTACAATAGTATTAAAAATAATATATACTTTCGCGCAATTCTATCCATACACCAAGTATTAAGACAGTCTGCACTGAGTGTCAACGAATATACTAAATAAGCTATAACTGCTATAGAGCATTTGGAGTATCAGAACAAAAATTGTTAGAAATAAATGGCACAAAAGAGCAAAGTTTTTGGAATTTTTTCACTTTTCGGTTGTATTCGGTTTCACTACAATTTGCTGCAAATCATAGAAAGAATAAAAACTGTTCAATAATAGTCATCAATAAATTAGAATAATAAAAGTTCACTGTATTTAGGGAATTTTTAGATTATTCACTTTTCGATTATACAGGGTGTCCCAATTCTTCGGTAGCGACATATATATTTTATTGCGTTTTTGGCTTTAGAGGTAAAAACAAGGGTAATTTTCATCAGACCCACCTGTTCGCTTTCCACACGGCTTAGGAAATATTTAAGGTATGTAACATGTTATTGAAAAATCAGCATATTAAAAAAAGCTCGCAAAGACACAAGACTTATGTTTTCGTGATTTTCGAGTCTAGAATTATATTGGGTGTTATTTTTTACTGATGAGTTTCGAAATTTGTAAATGCCGAGATCTTTGTTTAATTGCACACCCTGTATATTACTGACTAACTTTAGTAGAACGCGCATGAAACATCTTCTATACCTATATGTGATTTTATTCTTTCTCATTTTTTCTTCTATTTTTTCATTCTATTTTAAAAAATTATGTAACACACAGAGAATTGCATGCCTGAAAAAAAAAACTAAATTAAAAATGTTTATCTAAGACAAAAACAATATAGTAAACAAATGCTTTTGTTGTGAATAATCCAAGGAAACATTTCAATGCAAGAGAAATGCATGCGTGAAAAATTACCTTTTCTGAAAATTCCCTTAAAAATAAAAAAAAAATATGGGCGACCTTATGTGAAAGACCTGATATGTTCATATGACATGCATAGTTTGCGCTATCCAGATAAACCGATTAACTGGATTTTAGCACTACTATTTTATCCTTGAGGAGTGAAATTTTACAATGGTACCTATATAGAGAACCCTAACATGAACTTCGTCGATACTTTATAACAATATAACAATTCATGAGTTGAAATTTCTAGAATTACGTAAGATGATTTTAAGGAAAAAAGTTTATATAAATTTTGGCTGTTGAAATTATTAAAAAAAACGTTTTTTTCTCATTTTCATTGAAACTACTTTATATTTTGTTGCAGTTCACACACCCCATTAAAGAAGTACATAATGACTTTTGGGTTGAAACATGGTAGGTTGATAGAATCGGTTCCTGGCTCCTTTTTAAAATCTTAAGCGTATAACGATATGCAACTAAACCTTTTTATTGTTTTCCGTAGGAACGCATTCGATTTTAAAAATGTAATGTAAAACAGTGGCGTATCGTTTTTTCTCTCTTTGAAGTAATTTTCACTCAAAAAATTGTTTCTATAAATCAGTTTTTTTTATTTTCAAACACTTTGTATATCAAAAATAAAGCGATTACAGACCTACATTGCTATAAATTTTTCTTTTTCTTTTCTTAAAATCAACCTTCAAGGGTCGGCAGTTTATTTTGAAACCTCCTGTATAGTCTGATCGAAACACGAGTTCACCTCTTTGCTTTTGAAATTTACTCATCGATTCGATAAAAAGTTAGCTGACTTTATTAAACAAATAAACGTGGTGGTAAGGGGTTAACATGTTATAAATTAGTGTGGGAAGGGGAAATTGGTTTTGGCACACATCAGAAACGAACATCCAGTATAGATATTTCTATACAGCTATAGAGAATAAGAAAATTTTCTTATATTAATAATCCATGGTAGGTATCTAATTGTGTTGGCATAAACATCCCAGCATGAGCATGTGAAAACCTTTAGGAAAATAATTATTTAGTTAAAACTCAAGAACACTCCACCTCACGGAAGTAAGGCCTTTTCTTGTTATTTACTTTATGTACACGACTGAAATATTGCTTACGCAAAATCAGCTTTTTATCCTATACCAGTTTTGGTATTCGATAAAAAGCTGGTTAAACAAAATTTCAGTCCCACTTAAATAACATATATACATATATATATATATTTTTTCAATTAATGTAACTTTAAACACTGTTATTGTACTAAAGGGAGAATTGTAAATAAAGTTTATGCATTTTATCGAGTTATTTCAATAAAAACAAGAACCACAAATGTTGAGGTTAACTGCACGCTAGGAAATGGTTTTCTTTAAGGTTTTTCAAATGGCAGCAGCCATCCGAAACTTCATCGGAACTTTAAAAATGTGATTTAAAAAACATTGAAAATGATGACAGCAAGGCACGAGTTGGTAAGGCAATGTGGTTAACAAACAAAATATTTACGAAATATCTGATAAAAACGATCAAATTCCAAATATAGTGTTATACCATAACCTAACCATTTTAAAATTTCTTTAAATCACGAACATAAATGCTTTTTAAAGAATTACTTGTGCCCATGTTTCATCCCAGGATCATAGTCAAGGCTATAAGTACAGGTGAGTTATCAAACATATAATTTGGTAGTTTTAAAATACTGGCATAAAATAAAAGGAATGATATAAATCCCAATAACGCCACTAAAGCCCGTTTTACAACCAAATATACAACCACTTGATCTAAAGTACTTGTGGTAGTAGTTCAAACGACCCCTTAACGTCATTTTATAACCTAAATTGTTTGAATTTGATTTATTTGCGAAAGTAGAGACTTACACTTTGTAGTTCTTAGACCAAAAACTTCAGCTTTAGTCGATGGATTTTCGTTTATCGTTTTTAATTCCCCGATTAGAAAACCAGCTGACAATATGTTTGCTTGCTTAAAATATTTATTATTCTTGCAATATTCCAATTTTAGTTCTGTCAAATGGTTCACACAAAAGTATATCAACTAATTCGATTAGAACAGATCGAATTTTGGTGGTTGCCAAACTTTCAAGATATGAATATGAAAAAAGAAAATATAAAAACTTAACAAATAATGATCTGTTAAAATTTCTAAAAATTCGGGGTACAGATCTAGAAAATTTAATACATCACCATGACTTACAGAAACATTTTGAAGAAAATGTGATTAATACCTTAAAGAATATGGGAATAGAAGTTGAAATAGTGAATCGGTAAGTAAGCCACCAAAATCTCTGTATTGTTACCTAAATTGCTACTTTTGACAGTAATTCCTCATATCCTTCATTTTAGCCACAATTTTAGAGAAGAAAATGTTGAAAATGCAGATATTGTTATGCCTTGTGGTGGCGACGGCACATTTTTACTTGCTGCAAGTATGGTTCACGGAAATAGGAAGCCAGTGATTGGGTTTAACTCTAATCCAGCAAGATCAGAGGGTTACCTGTGCCTGCCTAAAAAGTATTCCACAAATATTAGAGAAGCAGTGGAAAGAATACAAACAGTAGGTTCTGTTTCTTTATATTTGAGACATCAGTTGTTTAAATCCTGATTTTTTAGGGCAAATATAAATGGTTAATGAGAAATAGAATAAGGATAACTTTAATGATCAGTGAAAAAGAAAATTTTATTCCCAGCTACTTACATGATCTTGATGGAGATCCACTACCCAGAAAAATGGTGCAAAATTCACAAGCTGAAAAAATATTGCCATACCTTGCTTTAAACGAAGTGAGTTCTGTTAACATCTGTCAGTAATTATTGTAGTCAAATAATAAGTTGATGGAAGGCACAAATATTTTATGTGCTAGAAAATACTTTTAGATCCCTATGACAAAAATCCTTACCTTAATATATTAACTAAATTAGATATTTTTTATAGGTTTTTATTGGTGAAACATTATCTGCAAGAGTATCTCACTTACAAATGAGATTGAATGGATCAACCGAAAGTACAAATGTCAAATGTTCAGGAATATGTATTAGCACAGGAACTGGATCAACATCTTGGCATTTAAGTATTAACAGAATGCCTGTCCAGAATGTTGCAGAGTTACTGAGACTGCTCGACCTAGACCCAACAAAGGGCAAAGATGGTTTAGCCAATGTATTGTCTGATATTTACAACAAAAATCTTATATTTGCACCAGGTAAGTACAAGGTTGCCTGTTTAAGAGGGGATTATACCTTATCTCGAAACCTAGAGGGTATCTGTGATGCACCGTTCCGAACTTATTAGCGATCATCTTGAGAATTCGGATTTAAACCATCATTGTTGGGTTGCTTATTAACTTTTTAAACTTTTTTTCCATCTATTATTTTTACGAAAATAGTGCTTTTCTTTAGACAATAATCAAATTTAAAATATTTTCTTAAAATACGCGGTGTTGCCACGTTTCTCAAAATAATATTTTATTAAATGACACACCCTGTATATTATGGGATTTTCATAGCCATTTCAATTATATAACATAGTACATAGTACCATTTTGGCTTAATTATTTGCCAATTATACATAAATTATTTTACATTCATAATATAATTATTTTAATTTTGACCTTTTTGACATAATCATCGCAGTAGCTTTGAAAACAATAGTAGTTCTCTGTTGTAATATTACAGATTTTTTTGACAGGTGTCAGTGTACTATAATATTTTAAGCGTATTTTTTCCGACTTCCACTATTTTCTATTTATTTTATTTAGCCTATTTTGTGTAATGTATATGAAGGAGGAAAAATTTGACCTATTAGAATGTTATATCGCCAATAACAAAACTCCGGCTTTTGCTCTCAGACAATTTAGAACCAAATTTCCCTATAGGCGATTGCAAGGAAAAAAAATATTTGCCTAAATATACCAGTAGTTTCAAACAAATGGCATTGTTTTAGTGAAAAAAAGTACAAGCCGAACGGTTTTGGATGAAAATATGCAGCTACATATGCCTCTGAATTTTGAAAATACTGCAGAGAGCTCCACCCGCCTTGCCGCATCAGATATAGACCTAAGACGAACCGCACTTCAAACATGTTTAAAAATTAATAGTTATAAATTCACACCAGTACAAAAACTCCAAGAAGCAGACTTAAGACTCGAATTTTGCAATATAATAATGGATAGGCATTTTTTAGATAACATATTTCAAAATATAATTTGAACGGATGAATCAATATTTACAACATCTGCGGTATTATTTAATAGAAAAAATACGCATTATTGGAGTTCAGAAAATAAAAAATGTGTTTTTGAAGTAAACAAGCAGGGGCGAAGATCCGTGAAAGTATGGTGCGCAATCTAGAGATCTATAATTTTAGGACCCATATTTTACCAACAAAATTTAACATCCCTACAATATTTAAACTTATTAAGAAACGAAATTCGGCCACTTATATATAATAATATTCCCCAGCATCCAAATTTAATTTGGCAGCACTATGGCACTCCTTGCCATCGAAATTCTACAATCATTCGTTTTTTAAACGAAAATTTCAGAGAGTGGATTGGTATTGGTATTGGTATTAAAGGGGGGCGCCCTCGCGGGCGTCCAAGCACTTAGGCCACCAGATGGGCCCGTTGTGCCCCCAGGCCGCTCTAGAGGGCGTCCAGAATGCCGCCCCTCCTGTAGAAGTTCAGCAACTCCTTTAGCCCAATACCGTGCACTGAGTCCGGATCGATCAGGGCCGTTCCGAAGACTCCCAATCTTGCCCATGTCAAGGCAGGGCACTCGGTGAGCAGATGATACGGGGTCTCCTCCTCTTCCATGCACCACCTACACTCCGGGTCGTCTCCAATGCCTAGCAAGCAAAGATGCCTCCTAAGCCTGCAATGTCCTGTGTAGGCCCCTGTTAGTGCTCTACACTCCCTTCTGGTCAGTCTAAGCAGCTCCCTGGTCCGAGGAAGGGCGGGCCCATCCATCATAAGCCTCGCCTGCCTCATTGCCGGAGCAACTCTCCAGCCCCCCGCGGCCCGGTCTCTCGCCCAGGCTTCGAGAGTGGATTGGATAAAACGGAACCATCTACTGGCCAGCGAAGAGTCCAGAGTTCACCCCGATGGACTATTTTGGTGGAGCACATCGAAAGATATTGTTACAAAGATAAACCGTCAACAGTTTTGGAAGTGCAGCAACGAGTTCGCGAGGCAATACGCTATCTCAATGAAACAAATTAAATCTCATTTAGAAATAGCATATACTTCTTGTATTCTTTAAAACAGCGGACATATTGAAAAACTAATTTAATTAATTTTACTTGTAAGTAATAATTAGTAGTTAGTGTTAATTTTTTACAATCATTTCACGTAGATATTTAAACCTAGAAATAAGTAACTTGCGAAATTTGGCAACAATGTGCAAAGATTAATGTTCTGTTTTTAATATGACTTCTTACCAATGCTCTAAAACGATTGTGAACAAGGTGATCAAGAGATAAGTCCCAGTTTCATATCCGTACTATGCTACGCAGAAAAGTATTTTGCAAAACGTGGCAACACCGCTGCCTAAAGAAAAGCATTATTTTCGTCAAAATAACAGGTGGCAAAAAGTGTAAAAAGTTAATAGCGACCCAACAATGATGATTTAAACATAACCTGAATTCTGAAGATGATCGCTAATAATTTCGAAACGGTGCATCACAGACCCATTCTCATATATATCATTGAACTGGTCTTTGAAAGGACTATCCAAAAATGCAATAAAATGTTCTATTTAAAAAAATGTAACTTTCTTTGACCATAAAAAAGTAACGGTTAGAAAAAAAAAATGAAGGTCGTTTTTTTTGTCACCCCCCCTCCCCCCGGAGGTTTCAAGATAAGGTACAAATAATTTACCCATTACTATACATATATTATTAAATAATTTACTACTCGTTAACGACTCTCAATAATTAAATTTGTGCAGGACTAGATTTAAATTAAATTTAGGAGTAAATCTACAATAAATTTGTTTATTTTTGGGGTTCAGTTATTGCCATATTACACTTAGATGCACTGAAATATTTTGTTCCACATTATTTAATTTGAAACACACATAGAACATTCCTCATATTAAAGTGATCTTTCAAGATTCAGAAGGTAAAAAAAACTTCGTTAAAAAAAAATAGAAATAAAAGTAAGGTATTTCACAACTTCACCCAACAGAAAAACTAACTCTTAAATTAGAGTCGTTATTTCAGTTTAGTACAAAATTTTGCAATTCTCTTGTCTTAAGGATTGCCACATTTATTAAGTAATTACAAACAGTGTCTTATTTTTAAATTTTAGATGATAAACGAATGGCTTATACTATAAGGGAACTAATTTCTGCCGGTGTGTGGCCTGATCCAAAGGGAATAAAACCAAGAAGCTTCGCATCAAAAATAGAACTAAAATCAAATTGTTTTGATGCTTCCCTTGTTATTGATGGAGGAGTTTCATTTAAATTTAATGATGGAACTACAGCTTTACTTGAAATTAAACCAGAGGATGCACTGAGGACCATTATTTTTTAAGATAAGATATAAAATATATAAACGTGTAAATATTATGGCAAGTATAAAATCAGTTTCATTCTTTTGAATGGTTTTTCTAACCATGAAATATATGACCATGTAGCAATATAATTATTCAGTTATCATGAAATTCAAACAATATAGCTGATTATCCAGTAATTGGCCGAAATCCTTTATAACCGTTGCGATTGTTTTAACAGACACAAAGTCGTTTATTCTCTATTACGATTTCTATTGTAATAGTATATTATGCAACAAGTGCAGTAAACGGCATTTGAGTCACGAGATTATTTGGCATGAACGGAGCGCGGCTGAACGAGTGTTTAATAAACGACTAACTTAAAAATTTTACCAAACGTGTTGTATCGTATACTTTTTCTACGACCGTTAGTTTTTGGGTACATTTTTGCACAACAACACGTATACATTCACTGACATGACCGTCAGAATTGACAAACGTCGAAATTCAGGCCGTGCCGTAAAATCTCCGAAAACATCCGATTGCTTCCAAGGGGATACGTGAGACAAGAAACTCACGTGGTAAAGTGACGCTTTCCGCTCGCTAGATCGGTGTATAATTAGGTATTTTACAGAAGTCGAAAAAAATATAATACATTTCAAACATCATCAGCTTTAATTTCTGTAGGAATGTGGGATGGGTGCTATAAGTAATGTTCAAACCGTTTTTCAGTATCTTTTACCTTAAATTAGTAAAATGTGACATAACATATTATCGCTGACAAAGGGGAGTGTTTAATAAAATATTATATCATCCCAAGCTATAATATAATTTTTTCCAGAAATTCTGGTAGTAAATTTAAAGGATGTCTTAAGGATTACAAAAAACAAACAAGTTTCCTTTTAAAAAATATATTAAATATAAGGTGGTAACAGCACAATTTGTATACAAATATTATCAAAAAAAAGAATGTTAAAAGTAATTGTTCAAAAAGGCACATTAGGTGGAAATGAAAAATATTCATTCACTTTATTAAGATAATTCACAAAAAAGTTGAGTTTCATCACTAGAATTCATATCAAAAAGTACTTCATTATCCAATTTCAAACTTGCTGAATCAAAACTGCACACATTCGCGTCATCACTTTCCAGTGACGAATAATTAGAAGCGTCACTAAAAATGCTGGTTAAACTATCATCGCCATTTTGTTTATTGATCTGAATATTGTTTAGAGAGCCAAACAGATACATTTCTCGAAATTTTATATATTGGTCAAAATTTTCATCTGCATAATCATAATAATGACAATTGAAACTATCATGAAGTATATCGACCTCCATTGGCGCAGAATCTTTTGTAATAATTTTCTTATTGTAACGTAATCGTTTTTTCTTTGGTAAGGTTTTATCAATATCTTCGCAACAATGAACTTTATGTTTCGCAATTTGATCCACGTTTTGGATATCTTCTATATATTCCGGTTTACTTTCAACCTTAGGACCCTCAACTAACTCAGTTCCATTTTCAATGAGTGTTTGCTTACCATCTGTGGTAGTAAATATCGAGCTTTGTTTTTGGTCAGTAAATATTTCTAATTCTTCATTAAAACGCTTTAGACATAACAAAATAACATCAAGCGGCAAATCATCGCTATGATATACAGTTTGAATAAAGTCAGATAGTTCTTTCACCACTTCTTTTTCTACATCATTATCCTCATTTGAGAACTGTATAGCACAGCCATTATTTATAAAACTTAACACCAATTCATCATAATCAATCAATTTTTGTTGTTTGACACAATCAGTGCCTTGTTTTTCACTGAGATCTAAATTTTGATCTACTTTATGGGAACGGCAGGCTTCTTGCTTTATGGAATTAGTTTCTTTGTCCTTCAATCCTCTATTTTTTGGGGAATTTATGCTAATAGCTGCTTCACTGGTCACCGTGTCCTTAAAGTCGCTATTTTTTTCTGAATTTATAGTAATAGCTGCTTCACTATTGTGGGTCATAGTGGAATAAGATAAGTGCCCAGTTTCAGGAAATATTTGATCACATTTAGAATTTGTTACTTTCAGTCCATCAGGGGTAGTTTCATTTTCCGACTCATTTTCATTTTTGAATTTTGGAAACTTCACTAATTTAGAATATTTTTCATCACTTGCATCTTGTTTATGAATGGCTGGATGCTGATCATTTTGCCCTCCTACCTCAATTACCTTTAAAGATTCAAGTTCTTTATTGTAACGTTTTAAATGTTTTAAAGCACTGTTCAAAGGAATTGTTTTAGACATGTAGATGAGATTTACAAATTTTTTCAATTCAGATAATACCTCTTCCTTCAGTTCATCATTGGCTGTCTTTTGTTCCAAGTTAATGTTAATGTTTTGATTAAGATTTATACTCCTACTGCTTTGATTTTCTATTGTATTCGTCACATTTGAGGTATACTGATTTAAATGACCTTTTATATGAATCTCCTTCTGCCCCAATGAAGTAGCAGATTTTGAAACGTTAGCCCTATGTAGTTCCAATTTGTTCCTAATATCATCAGAATTTGAATAAAGTATAGATGGTTCACAATTTTCTGAAGTGTTGCAAGGTGTAAGTTGTTGAACACCTAAAAACAACCAAACCGACATTCGCATAATTCATTTAATATTAATATTATGCTTACCATTATTTGCGATCCTTTTATGTGAAACGCTGTCATGATGCTTTTTATATTGTTGGAAATCGTCGCTGGCAATTTTACAGATAAAACAAAAATATTGCTGCTTCCTAAAACAATTTAGTCTTATGTTTGAAATCAAATTAACTTACAACTATTAAAATTTTAAAAGAACATGTGACCCTCTGCACACAAAAGAAAAGACATTAAACAAACCATTCGCGCACACATATTGCTTTTTAGGCTGATTTTAGTTACAATGTCTTTTTCTAGTTCTCGAGAAATGCACAATTACTTACACAAAAAGGCTACATGAAATCCATATAATCCATAACAAAAACCGAACGCTTCATATTTTGTTTAAATATTTTCTAATGTTAGTGGGTTCTGCCTTTCAATATTAACAAAAAAAAACTTACTCCTTATGACCATGTGACTTATAGTGAGCTTCTGCAAAACTCGTCCCATCAAGCTCTTGCTTACACACTTCACAGTATAACCATTTTATGGGTATTTCTGTCGAAGAAGTCTAAAATACTTTTTTTAATACTAATTCAAAAAAAATGTAAGTATAGTATAGGAAGTATAGGTTACCTGCTTGGACATCTTAGCACTATTTGCTTGAACCCAAGATTGAAAGTTTGTAATATGTTTTTTACCCCTAAAGTGGGAAAGAGCAACTGCTGGACCAGTTAGTTGACAGCCGCATAAGCTGCAATAATGTTCCGAAATAACTTTTCTAAATGCCTTTAACCAAAAATCCCAAATTGGAACACCTAAACATGAATAGTATTTATTTCAGTCTTTACATTTACATAAAGAAAACAAACTCATAAAATTACAAACAAAAATCTATGTCCGAATAGGGCTCTGTATCTCGACAATGACAAGGTCCAGGAGGTTTGAGAAAAAGATCCTTATAAAGTGGTCAAGGGAAATGACTACTTTTTAAGTTCTTAATTCGGCGGCTACTACTTGATTAGCGCCTAGCCATTCGGCTATTATCACGGATATTGTTTTGATTTTGACTTTTGTGTTTTTTAAAAATAATTATGGTTTGACTGTGTTTAAATAAGTAATAATTTGAATGAATGACATAAATTTAGCTGTAACTTTCAAAACATCATGTGATAGCTTCGAAGTAATTTGCAGTATTTTTCTTTGCCATATTTTTCTCTTCTTATGATGAGGGGGAGAATAGATTCATATTTCAACATTTACATTTGAATATCTCTTAAACCAGTTTGCAATAAAAACTTGTGAAAGAAAAATTTTTGTTGAACTTTTAACTATACGCCAACGATTACATATTTTAGCGGCTTTTGGAAAGGGATTAAATAAAATATTTTCTTAACGCACCATAGGCTATACCAGCATTCCATCCATACATAGAAAAAAAATGTGAAAAATTCAAAGACCTCAAGTAACCTTGGCAAGAAAAGCAAATCACATAGCAGAAAAGCTTCGGCTGCTTAAAAATTTTAAACCGTATTTAAAGGTCAAAACAAATGTCTAAATAAAATGTGTACTAAACTTTTCAACGGAACTCAGGAATAATTAAATACTTACCTATGGAAATCATTGACAAAGCGAATTTAAATGTCTCACAATGCATAACTGACTGCACGTGGGCATCATGTAGTTTAAAATCGACATCGCAAATGTAGCAGTGCTTGCTAAAATGAAAAATAGTTATTTCCTTGTAAACATTTACTGACTAAGACTCTTCAAGCTGATAATGAAGTAAAAAATGGGACCCCATGTGCCGTAGACATAGTAATTTCAGATCATTTTTATTTTATAACTCCATAAACTATTTTGTGAAATTTCACTAAGGGTTCATCTAACTATAACTAAATAATTAATTATAAATATAATGAAAATGTTATTAGCGATAATAGACAGCAATATTTTCACAACTTAGGGTAACTACTTTAATGGCACTTACTAAGCCCAATCTATCTAGACCTAGACCATGCTCATGTAGACATTTTACTATAATTATACTCACAACTTAATTTCTTTAATGCTACAATTATTTTTTACTAGCTAATTGCATAATTCCCGTTTATAAACTTGAAATCGAGAAAAGAGCTTTTACTATACCTAACAATATGAACCAAGAATATGAAATTATATATTCGCCGCCCGTCAAAAATCATTTTTGAGTTTTAAAATCTTTTATTGCAAAATATCTTAAGTTTTTTTTTAATAATTATTTTTGCTGTTTGTCAATCTATCTATGCATTTTTGTTTATTATTTTATATATTTACTTAGGCGTTCTTGTAATGTTCTTATGCTATAAAAATCAACCAAAAATGTAAGTTAAGTAAAAAAAACAATATTTAATGAAATAAAAAAAAGTGAGATCACTCAAACTCTAATTTAGGGCTTCGTAGAAATCTTTAAATAACTGAAAAATAACTCAAATCAGAAAAATACAATCTTCAGTAAGTATAGTAAAGAGAATTGACATCTATTTCAAAAACGAATCTTTCTGACCGCGCAATATTTAAGGCGCATGCAGGCAAATACAGCAGGTGTACAGGGACAAAATGATTTTTTCAGCAATATTAACCAACTAATTACGTTATTGATAATGTGTGAAAAGCTCTTCTAATGCGAGTATAAAATTCACAAATAGTTAGTACTAAAACAAAGTGACATACCTTGAGGTAGGTTTTTGTATCACAACCGCTGTTGACGGAGATTTGTTAATCTGAAACAAATACCTTTAATTTGTTTGGATTTTGATTTTTAGTACAATATATGTCTATAATAACATAAATTTCAGAAATAATTTTTAATAATACTCTCGCAAAACTTCCCCTTTCTCCAGAAAAAATTCAGACATACACATTGTTAGATGAAGATAAAAATATGGAAGCCTTAATTCTTGGTGAAAGTTTCAATTATTGTGTGGATTTAGGCTACTCAAGGTATGTTGAAATGGCCAATGACTCTAGAATCACTTTTCTCTTTCAAAAAATAAACAACCCGTTTCAATGACACTAAACATGATCCTTGCTCCAATTTCCTTCAAAATCAAATCCGCGTGGATATTGTAGTCTACAAGTCTACATTTAAGATTTCAAGAATCCCCACTCCCAGCAAGTGGAAAAAGGGTAAAGTTATGTTGACTGTCAATGAATAAGGAAACACCATTATTACAATGGTTTTCTGCTATAATCAGGATAAAACTTATTTCATTTTCAGCGCTATCTGTTATGAATTGATATAAATGGAACATGCAACATAAGAGTTGCACCTTAACAGATGCTGTGTTGGTACTTTTCCAGTCCAGGAGCTTGCGTATATGTTTTCTGCTTCCATAATGACTGAGTAACACACTGGGGGAAGCAATTTTGACATCACATAGCCAACAAGCATTTGGCAGTACAAGGTTTTTTAACTCTTCGGGCCAAGCTGCATCAAAATTCTCCTGAAAATGAAAATATTTAAAAATTGAGCTAACAAGCTAAAATGTCAGAAAACATATTTGCCTGATACCTGTGAGAAAGATGATTTATTCTGCAACCACAGTTCTAGATTTTCCTTATGTTGAGGTAATTGATAATGCTTTGAGAAGGCGTCGGTATCGTTAAAAGATCTATTACACAGCTTACAACAATTGTCCGTCATCAGCGCTTTTAGTTCTTTTGGAAATGATAGATTATCTTAAAACAAAAGGTAACAGCAATAAATAAAAATTAAGATCGACATGTTTCCTTGGACATAAAAAAAATTATTTTATAACATTAATTTTTTGAACAAATACTAAAACTCACCCACATTTCGCTGATTTTGTGCGAATTTCAAACTCTCGTCGATGCTATTATCAAGTGGATATGATAATACCATCTTATGCGGCGAGGCGTTAAAATGGGCCACATAATGCTCTTCAGTCATGATTTTTACGTCACAGATAGTGCAAAAAGCTACTCCATTTCTAATAAAAAAGATATTTTATTTTATCCTCAAATGTGTCCTTTAAATTGTATAAAATTTAACAAATAACCAGACGGCATTTTTTCGCAAATTTCAACCAGATAACTATTTTAAAAAAATGTTTTTGTACTTTATATTGTTAAAATTCAGCCATTAAAACTTAAAGACAAACTACAAAAATACAGTTCTAGTAGGTATTGACATTTCTTAAACTTTAATCAAATTGATATCGGTTTCTTACAAATAACAGTTAACTTTACCACTTAGAATGTATATATCAAATAAATTGTAGGCCTCTTAATAAGGTCTAAGTTCAAAAAGAGTCGAAATTAATGAAAGCTGAAATAATCAAATTAACAGTCAAAAAATGGAAAAACTTAATACCTTTAAAAGTGGTACAGATATTAAAAATCGTCTCAGTAAACAATGGTACTTTTAAAGACAGCCCCCGGTTTCTCTTTAAAGTTTATTTAGTTTTATGCTTCCTTAAGATGTGTCCACTATTCATCCATCAAAATTGCTTTTGGCACCTACTTAGCTTCTTGGGAAACTTTTACAAAAAAATAAATACATTTTTTTCTAGGATCATGAGCGTAGTTGCATAAGTGCTTGAAGTAGGAATGTAGGTGGACATTTAAATTTTAAATATTACATACTTACTCATTATTCTGAGGAGTCTTTCTTATTGCCCATCCAATACCCTAAAACATAAGTTACAATTTCAGAGACTGAGAATGGAAATTCAATTCATAATTTTTTGTTTTACCAAGAAAAACGTTTATTTTTTATGCAATAACAAATGTAATAATTTTTGCTCTTTTTTTATTATTAAAAAAACTAACCAAATTCTGTTGCTTCTTCGATTCTATCATTTTCACCTTCCAATTTTCGGCACCGGAATGACCTGCTGAGAGTGTATCAGGAAAATCTAAAAATCATTGTTGAAACAAAAAGTGCAATTCTATATATTATTAACTCTAATATTGAATGTTGATACTTAACAGGTTCATGATAATTCATTTTAAAAAGTGACACTCATTTAGAATTTTTGACACAGAATAAGACAAGGTGTTAATAATAAATGAAAATGGCGTTATTTCTACCTGTTACATATTCTCTTTCCAAAGTCTCTTTATTACCAACATTTCTTCTTTTGCCCCAAAAATTATCCACTTCCTTAGGTTTAACAATTACAGCTGTGTTTGATTCAATTTCCTTGTCAGTATAGGGTATAGGTTTCCAGTTTTCATATAAGGAACTTTGGTTTGAATTTACCGATTCATTATCTGAATTATCAAGTGAACCTTCAATATGAGTTCTGTAAACTTCTTTAAAATTTTCCTAAAAATAAGAAGGTTTGTAGTTGCAGCAAATATTTAGAAAAATTTACAATACCATTAAATTTTTAATTGTCAATCTAATAAAAAATCACGAATAATTTCTTTTATAGCCATTAAGTATATATCGTTTTTTTAACACATATGGACCTGCAACAAAGGCAATTTCACATCACCGCACTTTCAAATCCAACTTATTATTACAGAATATTAAAGCTAGCTCCTTATTATTCCTGTCACAGATAGACAAGAGTTTTCTTGTTCTTGGCGAATTTCATTAAAGTCTTTCGCCCATTACCGACATCCGTCGAGAGATTTCTTCAGTCACGTTATATTTGTAATAATATAATTATTGGACAAGTTGTATATAAGATCTGCATTTAGCAGATTCCTGCCTTTAGTTCACAAACTTTAAACCATTCTTATTTTATTGCTAAGTCATAAAAAATGCGAGGAAAACATTGTTGACTAAATATGTAGTTCCGAGTGCAACTAGCAAAAAGTACATGTATTTTTAACTGCAAACATTTTGATAGTATACACATTTTTTTTCGAGCAAAATGTCCTTGATTATTTTTTTGAAAATTTATTTTTTAAATTTTTATACAACCAATGATACTTTTTATTTTTTTTTTTGTCTTAAGTGGCACCACCACGCATATAGTAACTTGTGGGTATAAAGAAAATCCATAATCCAAATACGAAAAATAATTAAATTATATTAATTTAAATTCCCTAAGACTAATTTAGGGCTAATTTTGGTTACATACAGATTTTTTTTAAATAAATTGTTTATTGACATGTTTAATAATAGTCTTAATTTTCCTGTGTCTATAGGAGGTTGTACAATTGCTTCTTGAACATTTTTTCCGCTTAGATATTTTTTATTACTGGCAAAAAATAGCTGGTAATTTTATCTGCCAAATTTCTTGCAATTTAATAGTAGACACGTTGCAATATTTACTTGAAAAAGAACATGTAGAAATTGCATAGTATCCACCGGGTCTTACAAATAAAAAAGAAAATCTCTTTTGCTAATCAACTAAAATAAAGTAGCAACTAAATTATTGAGGATTCTTTGTCCAGTAAATAATTTAAAGAATGGGTGAGCATCTAATGAACCTAACCTATAATAAAAACCATACGTTAAAATTTTCAACAAAGTGGATAAAATCGAAATGGGCTTGGTAATTGAACAATTAGATTTTATAAATATGCGGTTGATTGTTATTTTTCTTATTTCAGAAAGGGAAGATTTCCAAGGTCAAGCGCAATAACCAAAAACGCAATAAACTTGTAAAACAGGGAATTATTAAGAAGGATTTCACTAAACATGTTAAAAATACCAATAAAAAGCTAATCAGCAGTTCTGTCAACTCCAAAAATAATCAAAATATGTATGAGGAAGAGAGTGATGATGGAGATTTGCTTGAAATGGTGGAAAGTGAAGATATAGATTTTTTGAAAGAAGCAATTACAAACCAATCTTATGAAATCTTGAATAAAGTGAAATATACAGGGCAAGTTGTCTTCTGAATGTAATTCTTTATTATAATAATTCCTCTTAGGCTAACATATATCAATATTGACTAGCTAGCAGGAATTACAATTCTCCAGTTCATTGCTTACATTCTAGACTCAACATGAAACCAAAGAAACGTAAGTTAGAAGATGATGATGATTTAGAAAATAGATATGAAGATGAAATTGAGGAGACCACTGGAAAAAGAGTAAAAAATTTGCTGCCTATTAAAACAAAACATGGGCTGGTACTTCAACAAATCATTGAAGATATATCTGGTATGTCTGTGTTAACACCTCATTTGTTGCCACCCACATTTTTAAGATTCATTTAGGATATTTCACATTGAATCTTCTATTTATAGTGCTAGTATTTTGAAAAAAAGGATTTTATAAACTTTTCATTGGACAATAATAGATGATAATCGATATTTCAGAAAATTACCACATCAACTTCAAATTTAAGTATTATTAAAATGGAATACACAATACAATATTAAATATATTTTAGAAATATAATAGAAACAATTTTGAGGTATTTTGTTGTTTTCAAAATTCCCATTTTATTTCACTTAATTTAAACCAATAGAGTATGTATAGTATGGAAAAACAAGAAAAAAGGCACTCCTTTACACCCTTATAAAACATAACATAAACAAAAATGGTTTCTCTCTAATGCTATCTTCCTTAATACTTACTGGTAGTTTCGCAAACACTGATCTGTAGGTAAATCAAATATATTTGGACAAAAAATGTGATTTATAATGAGAATTGAATTTAATCAACCCAAAATATTGGATAATCACAATTTTTTCTAATTTTGCGGATCACTTAATTATAATGTCTACTATTTATAGGTGAAGAGGACAATGAAGACAGGAAAACAGCCACAAGCCCAGACCAGGCACAAATGTCAAATGAAAAGAATGGTGATTTAGGGGAATACTTTTTAAATGAAAATAAACTTGATTTATCAAAACCTGTTTTGCCCGCACAACTCTTAGCTGCTCGGATAGAAACTTTGCGTCAAAAAAAAATTTATATCGGTTCATTAAGTTCGGGTCTTTTAGAAAATCCCGAAGAGAAGATTGCAAATTTTACAAGGCTTTTAAAAATTATGGCTGAAGATACAACAGAAGCTTATTTTACAATAAAAAAGTTGGTGATTGTATCTTTGACTGAAGTATTTAAAGACATTCTACCTGCTTATGAAATAAAAAATCTTAATCCCCAAGGAGTAAAATGTTAGTACTACTTACCTTGTTTTTAATTGCCTAACCAGAATGTTTTATTTCAGTAAAAAAGGAAACCCTAAAGCTTCAAAAATATGAAGAAAGTTTGCTAGCCTACTACCGGAAATTCTTACAGAAGATTGAAAAATATTGCTTTTTTCTAGTTAAAAAAAAGGGAGATACTAGAAAATTGTCAGAGGTGAGTTTCAGTATCAACCACATCACACTTTGAAAATAAATATTAAGATATTCTGCCAAAGTACTACATCCTAACTTCTTATTACATATATTAGTAAAACCTTGATTTTAATTACTTGAATATCGAGAATGTCTGGCTTGCTTAAATTTATTAAATAATCTTTCCTTGGGAATGATTTTGAGGTGACTCATAAAAGCCCTTTGATTTAGGAAGACATCAAACTGGCAGAAACATCTATACACTCAATGTGTGAGTTATTGGTATCCCATCCTTATTTTAATTATGCTCAAAATATTGCCAAACTGCTTGTGCCATTCCTAAATAATTCTCGAAAAAATGTGAGAGAAATGGTCAAAGTTGCTATTAAGACAATTTTTAAAGAAGATAAAAAAGAAGCAATAACTTTAAAGGTGTGTTTTAATGAAATGACAAATTTATAGCTAAGCTAATAGCATCATTTTTAAAGATTCTGAGGCTGACAAACAACTATTTGAAAAACCACACGCATGTTAATGCTGATATGTTGGAAATATTATTAGAGTTAAATTTAAAAGATGTCAATCTGGATCAAGAAAAGGAGCAAGATATCAGGGAGAAGAAAATGAAAGCAAAAAAAATGAAAATTTTGCAAATGTCGAAAAAAGAAAGAAAGGTGGTGTGTTTTTACTTTTTTCTAGCAATGCAGTTCATTTTTCACTTTTAGAGAAAAAAAAAACTTCAAGAATTGGAGAAGGAAATGCTAGAAACAAAAGCTGAAGAGAATCGACAAGAGAGGCAGCAGAATTTAACAGAAATCACAAAAGTGTTATTTAATATCTATTTTAGAATTTTAAAAAATTCAGAAAATTCCAAATCATTGTCGACATGTCTTGAGGGATTAGCCAAGTAAGATATTTATAGATTAATGTTTCTACATAGTCTACATGAATTTTTGGAAAAATTACATTTGTACATACGTTATGGTGGATTAAGTAATAAAAATTTGTAATTTTAGTTTAATCCAAAAAATATATAAAAAGTCGTTGGCGCACACTAGTATTTATAATTAAAATGCTTTGTGTTCAATTGTCCAAATTGGAAAAAATAGGTTGGCATAAATATCTTATAACAGATTTTATTGAAATTTGACATTGCTGTTGGCATTAATAAGAGACTACTTTAGCCCGAATTTGCCTGCCAATATTAAAAACAAAAAGAGTGTCACCGTACATATCTGTGTTGTAGGTTTGCACACATTATTAATCTGGAGTATTACATTGACATGGTGAAAGTACTTGGTAATTTGTTAAATGAGGAATGGATGGGAAACCGTGAAAAACTGCACTGTATTCAGACCATTTTTAAAATACTCAGTGGACAAGGAGAAGCTGTGAACATAGACCCTTTAAGGTTGACCTGTTTTGTTTATAGTGTGTTCCGAATATTGATGAAACCATTTTTTTAGCTTTTATGCAATTTTATATAAAGAGTTACTAGTAATTAACGCAGGTAGAAACCATGAAAACTGTGAGGTTATTCTGAATACTTTGGTAAATGCTTTAATTAAAAGAAGAAAAAAAATTACAAGCAAAAGGACAATTAGCTTTGTTAAAAGATTAATGACCTTAAGTTTGCAACTACTCCATAATGGGTAAGTATGTACAGAGAGATTCTCAGAAAAGAGTTTGGATGAAACAGAAACAGAGTCTTTTCAACTTTCAAAAGCAACAGTTTTGTGTAGTTTTTCCAACATTCTTGTTTTAGATCTTTAAGCTGCCTCTGTTTGGTTAAAACGCTCATGCAATTAAACAAGTCTCTGGACATTCTGTTAGACTTGGACAGCACTGTTGGAGAGGGTAAATTTCATGCGTGTAGTGAGGACCCAGAATATGCCAATGCATCAAATACAGCCTTGTTTGAAACAACATTATTGTGTAAGCATTACCATCCCATCGTTAGAAAGTTTTCAAAAAATATAGCAAGTGGTGTACCAACAACCGGCGATGGAAGTTTACCGGTGGAATTTGGCAAAATGTAAGTACCAGTGCCGCTTCCGTTTTAGGGGGCATTTAAAGAGTATTCATTCAAATACAGCGATTTTCGCAAAATGTGAATCAAACATATACTTTGAACATTTTATCGATGCATTATACAAAATCATCATCAAGATCCATGTAAATTAATTTATAAGGACATGTTTGATTTTGGAATGCTCCTCATTTATCTTTGCAAATATTTTCGAAAAACAATTTAGTTTCTAGTTTGCTTATTTGCTTTATTTTAAGGTGAAAAAAAAAACTTTTAAAAACCCAGGTAGGTATAGATATAAATTGGAATTAATGAAAATTTAGAACTTTGTGTAATGTGTCATAAAATGTAGGCCCTTCCATATGCGCAATTGGTTTCGAATGGATTTGAACATTTTGCGAACTAGTTTAGAATTTAAATATTTTCATTTACTACTTTCTTACTAAGTTGTCTTTGTTTTTTCTTTTAATAAGAAATTTACTCTTATTTTTGAAAGACACAATAAGAAACGTTATAATTTCCTGATTAAATGGTTTTTCAACTGATTTTAATATTTTTTAGGACCACAGACCAACTGTACACCAATTTTAGTATGTCAGAAATGGCATTCAATCCGTCCGTGCCCGTGTTGAAAAATGTTCAATGCAGAACAAAAATAAATAGGAAACATTTTGTAGATACTGCTTTTCAAGACGATTGTAAATTTATTTTAAAAACAAATGAACATAAGGATCCGTTTTGGATTAGCATTTGAGTTGGTGTAAGTTCGTTTTCAATAAAACTAATCACGAGAAACTTAAGTAGTAATAAGCTATCTAACCTGATAATTTGAAAAGGTGAAAGCTATATGTAATTGATATACTTCGCGATAATTGCAAATGCAACGATTATTCAAAACATCTCTAGTTTGCAATGACAGTGTTCATCACACACATCAACCGATTTTCTACTTCCGCTAGTAAACAATAATACTCTCAAGGTATTTTTACCTGCACCGCAAACTATGTTTCAGCGTTTTCGAAGTACACTAAGGAGGTGTTTATATAAAACCTAATTTAAAGCATAGTCATACACTATACAAAATTTTGCTCTTAACTTATTTTAGTGTATTTTGCAGCTTAATGGGTTTCTGGAATAATCAATTGAATTACCTTAAACAAAAACTTTAAAAACTTTACAACTCACAATAATATGCTAGAGCAAAAACACTTTGCTACTTACAAACTGAGTAGAAAGAAAAAAAATTACACATGTTATTAGAACATAAAATTCTTTTCCTATTAACTACTAGTTACTTTAGCTACAAAGTCAGTGTTGGTAGAGAAGAATATTGCTAATTTATTTTGGGTACAAAACAAAAAGTTGGGTTAAGATTATAGAAATTTATTATAATAATTAATAACCAATTAACTAATCAAAATAAGAAATACATGACCTTGCTATACAATGATGCAAGTACCACAGCAATCTATTTGATTTTCGGATAATTCATCATCTCTCTGTGCTTCGTTACCATACATTGAGTTTACTAGGACTTCTCTACTATCATCGGTACTTGGCCTGTTTTGGTTCAATTGTAAGTCAAGGACACCAGCAAACCTTGACTCATTAGCTGGTATTGTGTCTTTCTTTTTGGTATATGCTTTAATCACACCCTTTTCATTTGGCTCTGTTAACACAACTTTCGTAGTTGTAGGACTGAACTGTTGTGATATGTTGGCATTTTCTTTATTAGTTGATTTTTTAAACTGGTTTATAATGCCTTGTTCTTTCCTGAAACAATTTTCAGTTTTAATATTGAACAAATACAAAGAATGATATAAATAATCAGAAAAAGTTCTGTCTTGGGTATATGTGAAAACGTTTACATTTATTGTAGTACAGAGAACTTACTGGGATTATTCTATTTCTCTTTGATATTGAAATTTATTTTTTCTGATTTTGATATTACCATCTTTAATTGACCAGTCACCTGTGCAGAGCAAATTTTATCACGATATAAAAGACGGCAGCGGGAAAAAAAGTTCTCTTTCCATCCGCTGGTTGATGACCTACTACAAAAACTGTGTGCAGAGGGTTTGCACTACTTATAGTATTTATTATATGCAAACAATTTGGCGATTGTGGTAGGAGGAAAATTTATTAGTTCTCTGTCGGAGCGCAATTAAGATGCTATAAAAATCGTAGAAAACTAGTGCCACAATGAGCAATTAACAGTTAATATGAGGAGGACGATGGTGTTTCTTTTACTAACTAGTATATGGAAAAAAGCTATATTTTTCCAAACCGGTAAAGTATTTAGGAGTCAAATTTGATAAAATTCTTAATTGGAAAACGCCCATTCAAAGGAATAAATAGGGTAACAATTGTACTAAAAATAACACTTCGACTGTACTGTATGTATAGGGTGGGCCTACCTTATCTCAGAACTATAGGGAATGGAGTCTAAAATTAAATACAAAAGTTAATTGGGGTATTCCAAGCCTTCAATTTAGTTTAATTTTGTATGTACAGTGTGTTTCATTCTTCCTGAGCGAGTATCAACTTTCTTACTTTAAATGGAACGCCTGGTATATTCATTTTTGAACTCTACAAAATTCTGGACATATTTTGTGTCTAAGGTCCTATACCTAAGTCTAACTGTTTTGTTTTACTTTAGTAAGTTTTGTTGTAGACAAACGACTAGAATAACGGATTTCTAAGAAATTTCGGTACATAATAATACAGCGTACGCGAAAAATAAGATTACAAAAGGAAATTAAAAAATTGTCAAAAAACTTTTTTTTTTAATGGAAACTACCTATTTTTATAATCTTGTCATATTTAGCATCAAAAATTAGGGCCATTTTATGTAAAGTTATATATGCCTAATATTTTTACTTTTTGCAATATTTCTTTTTAAACATTTGTCTATCAGTTAGTGTAAGGTGGCTATGACGGCGTTTAAACAAAATCAGTGCTAGAAGGCTGCTTGCTTTACATATCGAACAATAAAAACCGGACCCTGGCTCGTTATTATATTATTTTTTAAGGAGGCGACCAGAAAAAAAAGATCGACAGGATTTACCAACACTTTAGAATATATTGAACTTTGAAAAAAGAAAAAATAGACGCCGTCATATTTTAAATATTGAAGAGCAACTTAATATTTTGTTGCATTTTGCACGGACCTCTGAAGATTTAACCCGAAATGCGTCTTTAGATCCAGATGTAAGAACAACGTTTCGAACGTGCCTTTAAACAAACAACTGGAAGCCCTATAAATTCTGTCCAGTGCAGAAATTAGTGCTACGAGATCAGGTTAAATTTTTGCATCAATCTTTTCGAGACACTTTTCAGAAAATATAATTACTAATATTATTGGAAACATATTTAGAACCTCAACTAAAATTTTTAATCTGAAAAATACGTGTCAAAGACGGTTAGACTTGGGTATAGGACATTATACACAAAAAATGTCTATTTTTTTGGATAGAATGAAGATAGATAAAAATGAAGTAGGATATCAGGTGTTCCATTTAAAATAAGAAAGTTGATACTCGCCCACGAAAAATGAAACACCCTGTATATACAAAATTAAAATGAATTAAAGGTTTGTAATACCCCAATTAACTTTTGATTCCATCCCCTATAGTTTCTGAGATAAGGTGGTGTCCCAAGATAAACAGCCCACCCATATGGAGCGGCGGTTGTCTAGTGGACAAGAAACATGCAGGTGAACAAAGGGTAGCCGCGTAGCGTGCAAAGCTAAGCAAGATTTGTGCAAGGCCAGTCACAGTGGACATGGACATAAAACATAAAGTCCTAGGATTGCCTATGGACAGTGGTACATATTGCATTGATAAACATTACGGGACTCAAATCCCAACGATTCCAACAATAGCGGCAGTAATGTCAACCAAAATTATTTGAGGCCCCCCCCCCTCCCAACAACTAGTAAAAAATATACCATTTTTGTTTTTATCTAGCTAAAATTAAAGAATGTTCTGGTAACCAATCTTATTACAAAATTATCTCGATTGAAAAATACTTCTGAGAAAATTGGAATTTACCAATTGGTTTTGATAACAGCTAAGTATCTAATTCTCTACCAAATTTTTGGTGGATCGTCAAAATTTATAAAAATTTATTGCAGTCAAAATAGATCAACATGATCTGTCTTTACAAAATAATTTAAAAAAGTTACCCTTAGATGAAGACACAACAACATATATTTGTTTCATTTTGCATACCCTTCATCAAATTGATCGTTTTGCTGCGTTCCTTTGCCGTTATTATCATACCGGGAGTTCCCTGGGACTGTTGTATTACCATTTTCTGTATTTTGTTGATTTTTATTTTTTCTGGTATTACCAACATTAGTTAGTCTGTTCCGGTTTAGTCCTAAGTTAGTGACACCCGCAAACCTTGCATCATTAAACAATGTTATTTTCTTTTCAGTATATTGAGGGTCTTTCAATGACTTCATAACATCGATTGTATTTGATTCTACAATTTGACTAGTTGCAGACCCCATATTTTCTTGTGATCTAGCATTTTCTTTGTTAGTTGATCTTTTTGTTAAATAAATATTACTATTTGTAGTCTCGATCTTTTTCTGTATGCCAGCATTTTCTATGATTTTTGAGTTTTTAAAGTTATTGTTCACTTTATTTGTGACATGGTAGCGGCGTTCCTTTCTGAAACGATTTTCAATTTTAATAAGGAAAGAACCTCCCACGTAGTTTGGCGAGATGGTGACAGAATCATTTGCACATTGACTAAATGAAATTTAGCAGAGTTAAAGTTTTGTTTCAATCAGCAATAGATGTAAAACTTTATTAAGTTTATTGTGTTACTTCTTAGATCATTAATGTCAGCCGAAATTATTTGACTCCTCCTCCTTCCAACAACTATACAATTTGTAGTCCTTAACAAGCCCACTATTTACTTCGAAATAACATTGCATCCCAAAAATATGCCTCTTTTTTTTTTTTTTTCTTGAAACACTGGCATATGCTATACAATTTTGAAAAAATACCTCACTGAAGTTAATGAGTGTACTGGTAACAAATCTTATTCAAAAATTATCTCTTACTTTATATGCCCTATATTTCGGTAATGGTATTTTGCGCAGCTAGTGCCATCCAATTTTCGTTGGCATACCATGCAGTAACACCATTTTGTGTCTATCTTATCCACAATTTCCTATAAATGAAAAAAAAACATAATGAAGGATACTTAAAATTTTTCATAATATCTCTTAATTTAATTTTTCAAAGGAACTTCTTCGTCGGTTTTTGCTGAGTCGAAATTGCTGACGTTTCGCCGATCATCCTGCTTCAGAGCTGGACTGAAACAGTTTCAGCAGGATGATTGGCGAAAGGTCAGCAATTCTGACTCAGCAAAAACCGACGCAGGAAGAATCCAGAAGTTTTGTAAAAAGTATATCTCTTAATTTATTTGAATATGTGCTGATCATATAAAAGCCTTAAAAAGATTTGCCAATATTCGCTTTTGAAACGACCATAAAAGAAAACTAAATACTACACCTCACATTACAGCTTAAAACTCCTAGACAAACCAAACGTTATTTTTTCAGTAGTGTCTAAAAATAAAATGATGTAAATCGATAAATCTATTTCTACTTTTAAAACTTACTTAACCTACTTAAAACTTGAAGCAAATACAAAAATTATGTTGCTATAAAGAAAAAATACAGCATTCTCTGCTTCACAAAAATCAACAGGGCGATTAAAAGTAAGTTCCTACCCCCACAAGTCAAGGTTCCACAAATTATTAGTATGCTGTTGCTTTCGAAAATATAGCTTAAATTAAATTAGGAAAAAATTGTGTTCTTTGAAGCTTATTTACCCGTTTAGAAAAATTTTCATGGCCTGGTAAGATGTTAGGGAAAACGGGAATTTGACAATATCGATTTTTTTTCCCACTTTATTTGAAGAGATCAAAAACCAATAACGCTTTCTCATTGGCACTTTTAAGGTATTTTTAGATTTTTATATCCGACGTTTCGTTTTCAAAAAACGATCATGAACTTTATTTTTGTATATAGCCCGAAAAAAAAATACACTATGTATCTTGATTCCATTTTTATGTAATTATCGTCGAATATCCATGAAGAAAAGTTTTACATGCTTTATATGAGGGTTTGTTAAAAACCAAGTTAACCAATATTCTTTTGAATCTGAATAGCAGTTACGAAAATGTGTACGTGATGTTTTAAGTTCTACAGTTAGAAGATCATACTTATGTTTAGAAACTAACGGAAATATGTTTGAATTAAATAAAAAATATGTTTATTACTTTGATGTGTTCGTTACTTAAATTCAGTATTCACCTAATTAATGCCTTTAAAAAAATAGAAAAGATGCAACGTTTCTTTTAACCAAAAAATAAAAATGAATTTGTAAAAAAAATGGAATCAGATAAAGGGTCTACGATGAATATGATGTTAACAGTTTTAACCATTTTGAACTTGGTTTAACTATACAAAACTTAAATATATTTGCCATACCTTCAAAGATGGATTTATGTTTCGCCGAAACCAAGCTGCACATTGTGTAGCATGTGTTTCGCTATTGAAATGCATAATGGCCACCATTGGAGTTTTCAATGTAACGCTGCATATGTTGCAGTTTGTTTCAGAAACATCTTTCTTGAAAAGTGTTATCCAACCAACTTCTATTGAAAAACCTAGGATCTGTTTTTATCAATAAACAGATTTTTCAATATTTATCAAGTCTTACCTCTGGAAATAATTGACATAACCAGATTATGTATTTGATGGTGCATAATTGTTTTTCGATGATTGTCAGTTCTTTTAAAATCAGTACTGCAAATAAAACAATATTCCCAACTGGAGCTAAAAGTATGTATTTTAATGACATGTCAAAATCTTGATCCATCCGAAATATATTTTCCTTTAGAAAAAGTCAATTATAGATTTGGGCAGAGAAATAATTTGTTCACTGTGATTATTTAGTGTTTTGTAGAAAAACAAAGAAAGATATTTGGATGGATTCCCATTTTTACACAAACCACTGCTACATCAGTTAACATACAAGGTAGCAGCACCAGCTGTGGTAGGCCTTTGATTTCCTTGTAATTTCAACTCTTTCGTATAGTTTTTCTAAAATAATATGTGATGGTTTACTTACAAAAAACTCCACTCACCTTTAAATCGAATTGAACTCTAAGATGATTTATCTGTTCTCTAATGAATGATTGTAATATAAAAGGAGAATATAGAATAAATTAGATTATTCTTACCGTCGGCACTCCAAATTTGTGACTATGTAACAGCCACTGTTTGATTCTATTTCTATGATCAGTACACCTATAGTGAATTTTTAGAATATTTGGGGAAGAAATATTTACATTACACAATTTACAAATGTTCGGTAATACGAGCTCTTTTAAATTTTCAGGCCAGTTCGCAGTGACTACAACCTGAAAACGTCAATACTTATTTAGTACTATTAGGTTGTTTAGTGTTAAAAACTTATAATCCAACTCGCTATTCTTCTAAATATTCCGTTGTCTGCATAGCTACTAGGATATAGTGGCCCTGTTTATGCTGATCCATTCAACATGCACATGCGCGAGAGTTAAAATATCGTTTTTAACCAATGACCTTGCAACATTCAACAACCAAACTGGCCGCTAACAGTGCGTCCATAAGTTTGAATGCGACATTTTTGCGGCAGTATTTTCTCAAAATATGCCTATTTTGGGAAATCGATTAAAGTATGCAAAAATCGCTGTTTAGAAAGAAAATAGTGCAAAGTGGAGGTTAGTGGGTGAAATGTAGAGGCATGCATGGAAAATCACTACCTTCTCTATGAAAATATGAATACCACCTGCGGAGCATCAATTTTTACTGTAGTAGGGCTGCTATTTTATCTAATAGATATATGCAGAGTACCTTATTTTATTCATTTACGAGTTTATTTCAAGTTAGAAAAAAAAACACTTTCAAATTGCAACTTTTGGATTTTTTCCTTATTGGAGTGAAGCATCCCTTACATTTTGTTTTTCGCTCATCTACATTAATTTTATTTTTTATATTGGATTTTTGCAACAAAAAAATTATAACTCACAACCTTATTGCAAAAACGTCGGCTGAGTTAAAAAAAAACTTTTGAAATAGATCTGAAAGATAAGGGAAATATAAGGATACAGAACCAATGAGGAAACGAAATAATATTTAGTTAAGGCATAGAGGCAGCTTTTGCAATATTATCTTTATTATTACTTGAATTACTTTAAGTCTAACAATGCGGCATAAAAAGTTTCATAGAGAATGTATTGAAGGTCTTAAAAATATAAAATCGAAAGCTAAAAATTTCAATTTATCCACTATATTTCCAGAAATTCAAAAGAAGTCGAATTTTAAACACCTTGTATAATGATAGAGTTTATAATTACCATTAAAACTTAGAATTAAGATATTTGATATACGTACCTCTAAAAAAGATGCATTATTTTGCAACCACAACTGTATATTGTTGTTATGTATGTAACTATTACAGTGATTTGAATCAGATTTCGGTTGAGGTATTAAATTACATAATTTGCAAAAATCTCCGCAGATCAACTTTTGCAATTCTTCTGGCCAATAACCACTGGTTTGCAACAGATTATCTAATGGAAAAAGAATTAAAGCAAGTATCAGTAAATCATATTGTAGAATATATATTAACAGTAACACGAAAAAAATTCGGGTCTTATGGTTTAGTATTATTACTTTAATAAATTCAAATTCCCTCAAAAATAGTTTGTTAAATATGAGTAGTAACACAAAAGCTCCCATTCTAAAAGTGAAAGCTAGTTTAATTTGTAGAGCTTACTGCGTACTGAAATATTGAGTTTGATAGTTTTTCAATAGTACTAAGAAAAAATAGCCTAGTAAAGTGTGTTCATAGATATAAGAAAGTGACTAATTGATACGAATTAAGGAAAGACCTGGGCAAGCTGTACGAATGAAATATGGCCGAACAGCTCCGTACTTTGCTTAGAATTTAATTATTTGCGGTTTTGTTAGGAAAGATACTAAACAATATTTATTTATTTACGTATGTTTAAATCTAAAATAAAATTACAAATTGTTTTTATTATCTACTTAAATTACTTAAAATTATTCACATAATATATCAGTATCACTATCGCTATCATCGTCTGTTCTAATTATTATTTGATCTATATTATTTGCAATATGGATATACGATTGTTCTGCTTTTTCTATATGTTTAACATAATTTGCCCAACTTTGTGGAGGGATGTTAAAAACTTCGGTTTGTATAAGTTTGAGGACATTGGAGTTAACACAGGGAAAAACATTGTTACGACGAATGGCAGATTTCAGTTGATACTAAACATGTTCAATGGGATTAACTATACAGTGGTAAGGTGGAAGCCTTAAAACTGTATGCACTATATTTTTGCATAATTATCACAGACGTATTCCTTTCGTAGGTCCAAGCTTTGTAGAACCTCAATTAATTGCTTTTTGGTATAATCTTTGTGAAAATAAGTGTCGTTATTATACATGTAGTTTTGGATTGTTGCTTTTGTGTCACATGAGGAAGGGGTTTTAGTCAACTGTCTACTGTGATAACTTGCATTGTCCATTACAATGAAGCTATTAGGAGGAATGTTTGGAAATAGTTTGTTTTAAAACCAACTATCAAAAACATCAACTGTATTACACACAAAATAAGAATGACTAGTAATAAACTTAAACTAAGTAGTATACAAAACCAAAGAATATATTAAACACAGGTAGGTATAAAATTATTTTCTATTACGGACCACAATTTTGCCTGAATTTAAATTCCGAAGCTTTAGGTAATAATCTTCTTAATGACCACCCTTGGTTAATCCCATTCAAAAGCGATTGGTCACTTTCTTATATCTATGAAAAGACCATACCTTTTTATGTGACCTCAATAAAGAGGCAACATGTTTTATATAGAAAAAAAAAAAAGTTACTTTCTTGCATGTACACCTTATATTTAGGAATGCTGTGTAGCATAGAAAAAACTAAAATATAACCCATCAGAGAGGTACTTGACTAATGGTGCAATTGGGCAAATTATTGAGATTGTGAATAATCTCATAAATGCAAATACTTTCCTGCCCTGAAGTGTTGGACTTATCAAAACTAACCAAAGACAATGACAATAATGGAATGAACTTAGTACCTATTATACCTCGTACCAAACCATTTGCCAGAGTAGAAACTACTTACCAGTCTGATAGACAAGATCCCCTGATTTAACAGAATTTATGCTCTCGCCATAACTCTCTTTAATTTTAACAGGAAACATTTTTGCAAAACACGTTTCTCGTGTACCATCGGGATTCACAATTGCAACATTGGATGCGATTTCATGGTCAGTATAAGGAATTGGTTTCAGTGATTCATAAAACGAATTGTGAAGTGAAGCATTAGACTCATTATCGGAATTGTCGGGCGATATCCCTATATGAATTTTATGCATTTCTTTAAAATCCTCCTAATTAAATAATTCAAAATGTTATTTGGAATTTTAATGTTTATTAAAAAATATCTTACCATTGTCGAAATCCCGTGGTTTCTATAAAATTAATATCTTAATTTTAAGGGATCATATTTTCGCTTTAGCAACATACGGTTGACTGTTAAAAATAGGCGATAACTGATAAATGATAAACATAGAACAAATATGCAAGTGCATTTAACCGTTACGGGCACATGGACAACTACTAATAGGAATTACCCAAATAGGGCCAAAGATTACACAACTATTGATATTTTAATCAAGTCTGAGCATTTTCTTTAAAAAAAAGTGTGTTCACTTTTCTGTTTTTTTTTAACCCGATAGAAACTACGCAATTTCTACATATATTAGACGTGGTAGACACGATGCGATTTTTTCGAGCCGAATGGGCTTGATTTTGGTAGAATTTTGTTTTGAAAGTTTGCTTTTTCAATTTTGAATAAACGATACTTTTCAGCCTTTTTCGGTGTTAAATGTATACATTTTATGCAAAAATGTTTTAACCACGCATATTATAACTTGTCGGTGTACAAGAAAAATCTATAATCTCAATACTAGAATCCAATATACTAAACTTGCAATGAAAAAATGACCATATATGTATAGAAGGTTCAACAGTGCAAAGTTATATTTTTAAGTCATCTTTATGAAAACGAACGCATTGCGCTGATTTACACGCACAAATTCGGGAATATGTGGAAATTTTATCTACCAAGTTTCTTCCAATGTGGTAGTTGACACGTTAGAATATTTACATGTAAAAATTGCAATCTGTCTACAGGGAGTAAGAATTGTCTCCCATCTCGCTTCTAGTCTGCCGATTTCTGGATATTTACTAATAACATAGTTAAATTTGTGAGCAGTTTAATGAACCGGAATTATTTGTAAATTGAATTATTCTTTACACTAGCGTTAAGTGTTTTTTTTTTCGTCCAAAAAAAAAGCTCTCATTGAACACTACAACTTGAGAATGGATAGGCTTATTTATGATTATGTTTTGATAGAAAGACTGAAATTATTTATGGGAAATATTAAAGTGGTGTTCTCATTGGGAAATATCAATAATCTGTTTTGTACAGTATACAGTGTACAAGATTCTTTATAATCATAGATAAATAACTGTTCTATAAGACATTGCATATGCTGATACTGATACATAAGATGCTGTATAACCATAAAGAACTTTTTATGCAAAATGCACATATGATATAAAGCATGCCATTATGACACTGTAACAGTGTACTAGTGTAAGATATCTAATATTCCAATGAGGACCTGGCTTCTCCAGCGCTAAAAACGAGATAAAGATTAAGTTCCAAGTCTCACTTCAGTTCCACTATATGTTTTATTTCCAATTGAATGTCAACCTTCTCTTTTGAGGGTCAGTTCAAAGATACAAAGAAACAAAAAACATTTATCAGTATACAGGATCAGGAGTTTGAGTTTTAAGTATGCCATAACGACTTTTGATAATTATTCTTTGCTTCGAATATTTATCCTCTGGAGAAAATCTGGCAGGATGTGCTGAGTGAGTCAAATGTCCGTTTGGATCTGTTTTCTTTAATGTGTAAATCCTACTTCCAGAATCGTCCACATAATACATGAGATACATAATGATACTAAAACAATTTATGCTATAATCACCATAATCATACACTACTATTGCATGACGATAACAAAGTGAGAGTCAATTTAAACTTACATTTTCAATATTTTAATAAAAACTATACTCAAAAATTAGAAACCCTATTATTCTTGCGTGGTCCGAAGCGTTGGATAGGATTAACGATTAAGGTTATATTAATATCCCAACTTAAATTCTTCCTCTGCGGCCTTTGGGCAACCGTCTGGAAAAAGCTAACTTATGGTAAGAAGTAAGAAGGGTATGTCTTAGTGATAAGAGATTGGGATTCTGTGGTGAAGCATTGAACAAGGCGGTTTAACCTCCGCTCGCATCCTGCAGAATCCGTTGTATTGGTCCAAAAAACCTTGATATTGGTCTTTTTTCATGTGATTCTCTTTCGGAAGTATTTGGTGATCGTTTTTAAGTGTTTCAATACTGCCGGGCCGGCTGTTTTGACCGTTCACGCCGGTATGAAACTCAAATGGGCCGGATGGTTCGCGGGGGCATCTGATTTTTTTCAAAATCACTCAAAAATTGGTTATATTTATTCTTTTTACTTGTTGGTGAAACACCAAAAGCGAAAATCCTTGACAGAAGTCGGCAATGGCCTAATGATCCCAGCACTCATGCTCAATAGAAATTTGTGAATCGCATAATTGAATTGAATTGGGATAAGATTCGTTAGGTTCAATTTTCACTCAAATAGCTAACATAAATTATTCACCCAATTCGAAAAGAAAGGTCGTTGGTTAAAACGGAATTTTAAATCTAGCGCATGCGCATGTCGAATGAAACTTTTTTTTCATAATTGCTACATAAGTTTCTGTATTATTGGCATAGGCAAGCTAGTTTGAAACGTCATGCTTTGTTGGTTGAATCAGAGTTTTGAAATGACCCGCTTGTGCGTATATTGCATGCAGCTTCTCAACATTTTTTAACGTCAGAAACGTGTATTTTGGTTATTATGAACCAAGTACTGCCATTTTTAGACCTTATTGAACCCAATTGTATCAAGTCTATTACACCTACTCAAAATATTTATTTAAAATCACCTCTCTCTGTAATGACCTGAAATTATAATACATAACAAAAGTGCTGTAATATTTTTAACCAATTCCTCCTTAAGTTTAAGAGTATAATAGGGTACATGCTACAAAATGATGTTAATATAGTAGATATATATTGGGTAATTTATAGGTAATTCCTGTGACTCTCGAATTTCTTCAAACCAAACTTGCAATTGGGACCTCCATAACCTGTAATATGTTTTTTTTTAAGGGGTTGACTCCGTAACATCTGTCTGAACATTAAAACATACAATCAATGAAATAAAGTTTAATGGTATTTAAATTTATAATTTAATTCAGGCTTTACAAATTTCAAAATCGGTAGTATCACTCTGGTTCAATTTCAAAAACAACTGGTTACTTAAATCCAAAATGGAGACAAAGGCCAGATGACAGCTCAGCTCCGATAACATTTTCTCTGGCAGTGTGTTCTGCAATTGCTTGTACAGATCCGAAAATTGCATTGGAATTATTTTTTGCTCTACCGATATTTCCTTGAAAAAAATAAACAAAATAAATTAAAGATTGACCATTCTGACCATACAGGTACTAGATATATAGGGGTTTTACCTACGTTGATAAAACAGGCACTTTTGAAACAAAAAAAAAAACCTTCAATATGCGCACTGAGTCATAAAATTTAGGCGCATGACATGCGCATGTCTTGATGGTTTATAAATTTTACCATATTCACAGCCTCTATAAAATCTAATAACTATATATAGCCGGGGCCATAAAAGTATACTCAAAATATACAAGTTCAAATATTCAATTCTTTTGGCCTATCTTATACACACACGCACTAATATCATAAATGGTTGCAGAAATCTCTTAAAAATCTGAAAAACATTGCAAAAAAACAAAATCGGTTGTCAATTTAGTTGGTTCTTAGTACATATCGTAGCGACAATATATAGCTGAAACTTACATCAGTTTTTCCTTTCGTCAGTACTTTCCAGATGGCTACTTTCAACTTTTTCATGTCCATTTTCTTCGCTTTTTGCGCATAAGGCACATACAAAGGGTTGACCTGTGATTAACATTGGAGCTATATTTATTTAGGCTGTTAGAGTGGGTTTATTGGTAATTGTTTACATAATACAACATGGTGGAAAATTATTCAGTAACTAATCTTTAAAATATTACCATTTCAGGAACATCCACCAGATTGTCACCAAACAAACCAACGGGAGCCGCCTCAGGAGTTGTAAACAATTCTTCAAAGCCATGATCATTATTAATATCGTCAAGATCATCCTGAAATAAATGTAATATGTTGTATCCTTGTTTTTAATGGAACACCATTGTCTTAAACCTATTTTAGAATCCTGCGTGAAACTTCACGCAAAGTTCATGTAGCATACCTTGTGTGTAAATCGCTTGAGAGAGAATTCAAATTGTAATATATATTGGATATGAAGTCCAAATGAGAACTCAAGAAGTTTGTAATTTGTTTCATTCACCTCCTGTACCAATATCATCTTGTACAGATGATACTTTTCTCTTTTTAATACCTGCAAAACTGTTCATTATCCTCGACTTCTAATAAAATTTTTATTGTGTTCTCATTAGTTTTTGAACGATCTGACCTTACATGATTTTTTACATACCCTATTTCTATAAATTTTCTCTCAATTTTACTTTTTCGACATTTTGCGTTAAGCAATTTACAAATTTCAATCATCTGAGTTTCAGTTAGATGCGCCATATTAATTTGCTTTACTGACAGAAATATAATAATAAGAATTTAATAATTTTACTGGTACAAGCGACTTACGCCTTTTTATTATTTTGCTCATAAAAAATAACAGATATCCTACATGAATTATGCGTCAAATTTGAAACAGAATGCGAAAATTGATTTTAAAAAATGGAGTTCCTTTTAAAAAAAAGGAACTTGTATGATGTAAGTATGCGAATATTTTTCTGGATTTTAATTATATATATATATATATATATATATATATATATATATATATATATATATATATATGATGACACTATATTCCGGGATATCATCCGTTCGCTCGTTGAACTCCGACTGGAATCCTGCATCCGACTGGAATCCTGCATCCGACTGGAATCCTGCCTGGAATCCAGTGTTCGAAGTGTTTTCGGAGCGCGAGCATTGAAGATGCCAAGTGAGATTTTGGCGAAACGTCTGCAGGATTCCAGTCGGATGCAAGATTTGCAGGATTCCAGTCGGATGCAGGATTCCAGTCGGAGTTCAACGAGCGAACGGATGATATCCCGGAATATAGTGTCATCACATTTTTCCATCCGTGAATCAATACGTGAGAATATATATATATATATATATATATATATATATATATATATATATATATATATATATATATATATATATATATATATATATATATATATATATATATATATATATATCCTTCCTTCCCTTCACTCACAGTTTTGTTATTTGATATTGTTTTGTAGTACGTTGGTCATTCTCAAATTGCTTTTCGATTCTTGCTGGTTATAATCAAAAATACGTGGATTTTTTTAACTTGCTAAGTGACAAATAATTGAGCAATAAAGTTCTAATTATTGAATGATTTAACATGATCGCATCCAACATAACAAAATACATACTTACGTCATGCTGGGGCAAATAATTTACATCGGTAGGATTGTCATACTTGTAGGCTGAAACATCGCAATCCACCAATTCAGATTCACTCGATTTTTGCGACAATTTTATTTTCCTTATAGTATTCGTCATCAAATAATCTAAATTCTGTTTGAATCTAGGATATGCTGTTGGATCAGGCAGCGGGACACAAAGTCTAAAAAATATAAACTATTTTTATAATCATTAAAGTTATGCCACTTGCATTTTAAAATGTTTGAAAGCAACAATAGAATAATTGATTACACATACCTGATAATAATATTTAATTATAATGAACTACAATTAATATAATTAACATTTTGAAATTTTTCGTTAGCCAACCAATCCAAACCCTTGATGTCAATTCTTTACTAATTTATAGTGAGTTCCTTACTTGCTTCTATCTACTAATTTTACATTTCTTTGGACCGCCTTCTGACTAGTATCATATGCAGGTGCATTAATGAACTGCTCCAAATCGTGTGGTTGCCAGTCTTGTTTTTTGCGCTTCTTTCGTTCAATTGGTGCTTGGTGTTCAACTCGACCTAAAAAACAACTGTTTCAATAATTCAACCAAATAGATTTTTGTCTTACCAGTATACATGGATGTGCTGGATTTTATAAATTTTAATTTCCAATGGCTGGGTCCCGCCCAAATATCTTCCATTCTTCCAAACATTGTTTGAACCAAACTGTTCATTGGGCACTCAGATCTTTCGATTGAAGAACTATATTGGTTGGTAGGTCTTAAATCAACTATATACTCAACGTCTTCACGAAAATTGGGCACAGCATTTACTTCCTCTACATTGTGCACTACATAAATGAAAATTCACTGTAATGTATATTAAAAGAATTTTACTTAAGGTAAGTATTCTATAAATTAATATTCGAGGACTTAAGAAGAAAAGTGTGGAACTTAAATTGTAGAAATAGAGCGAAAATTATGTTAATTGCCCTCAGTCAAATGGGTAACGGGTGGACATTATATCACTTAATCCATAAGAAATGCTATAGGGTAGTCCGAATTATAATAGGGAAACTTTAACGGCCTATCCAGTCAATAAAAATAAGTCAAAAAGTTTATGTAAATTATGTAAAAAAACACTCCTTATGGAGAATGAGGTGTGTTGAAATATTGCGAAAATTTTTTTTAAATCTTTTAAATTTTGTTTACAAACTTAGTATTATTGCCACTTAAAAACAAATTTATAGCATACATACACTTGTTTTCGTGTAACCAGTGGCGTTCGTAACGCCGATAGAACAAGTGGCACGACAATGGTTTATCACTAAAACAATTTTTCAGAAAAAAAATTTGTTTGCATGTGCATCTAATATTTGCAAATTAAATTAAGATATGCGGGGGCTATTTAAATTGTCTTTTATTTACATAACAATTCTAGAAATTATAATAATAACTCAATTTACCAATAGAGGACACCATTGAAATAAAAGGAACCAACACCTTCAAATACTTGGGATTTACACTCTCTAAAAATGCTACTACAAAGGAAGAAATCAAGAATAAGCTAGGCTTGGGCAGACAACTCCATTCGGTTATATGGGTCAAGAACCTCAAGAAAAAAACGAAAACGTTAATATACGATACAATTGTAAAGAGTATAATGACATATGCAGGAGAGGTATGGGTAATAAATAAAAACAATAAAAGGAAAATCCTAGAAATCAAAAGAAGAATGGGCGTACAAAACGATGTAATACACCACTTAGAAACCAAAAGACTCCTATCGTACGGACATGTTAGAAGAGCGAGGAACACATGTATGAACAATGTGACGGAATGGAGCCCGATTGGAAGAAGAAGAGAAGGGTGGAAGGAAGATCATGTAGAGATGAAATAGAAGAGTCAATGCAAGGAAGACAATTGGGAGAAGGATCATGGGAAGATAGGTCCAAATGGAGAACCCGATTAAAGAAAGGAAGATGGCTACGGCCGTGGACTAATTAGATAATTAATTTGAAAATAATTATGATAATACCTACCAGCTTTAAATGCAAAATATAAAATAGGATAAACTGATTTTTTTAACAATATTTCAACACCATGTCTGTATCTCCGAAATGGAACATTTTAGGACATAAGTTTATATGAACTTTTGTTTATCTGCTATTAAAGTGTCTCCATTATAATTCAGACCACCCTGTAGAGGTTGAATTGTGAAACTGTTGAATTTAACAATAATAACTTATTTAATGTGTTGCAACATACAATCATCATCATCATCATCACCCACTCCTGGTTCCTCAAAGACATGATGTAGAGATCCGTCCATTTGGTGAATAGGAATTCCATTATCATCAAAAATCAGTTGATCTGCTGAATCCATGGCAACATCGCTCAACCTACAATAAACACCACAAATTTAATCGAAAGCATTTTCTGCCAAAATCTAATCATCGCTCTGCTCGCACCATCTCTCCATACACAGCATATTTTAAATCAATTGCACCCATTCAAAAGTTATCGCAAATAGAAATTTTAATTTAAAAAAAAGTGTGACGCTAATTGTGTCACCAAGTATAAGTTAATTGGTTCTTTATAAAATGCTTGTAAAAAGAGGTATTTTTCCTAATTTAAAGAATCTTAGAAATAACATTCATTGTGTTACTGTATTTAAAACTTATTATTGCCAGGGTCGAATGTTTCACATGTTTAGCATATCATATTATTACGTTCGAGGACAAACTCGAGTTACTTGTTCCAAATCAATAATTACCATAACAAACCTTATTACTTGTCTTATTAGGACATAATTTTCTCCAGCCAAAACATCCAGTGGTACCACAACCATTTTATAAAAAAAATTGAAATTATTTTTTTAGAATACTAGGTACAATATTTAATCTCCAAGTAATGCATGCACTGGGATCACAAAAACTATGAACAAAAAAAATAAGTAAACTGGGTTTTATAGAACAAATAATAATTTTTTAATCTGGAGATTTGCAATTTTTGATCTAGTTGGTATCAGAACTTTAATTGCTAATGGTCCTCATTCAATATAGTCTGGTCTATATCAATTAATGATTATAATAATGGCGACTTTCTTACTCTTTCTTGTCATCCACATTCCACTCATCCAAAGTGAAGTCTTTAAATGGTATGCACAGACGGAAATTATCCAATTTCGGTGCCTTAAAGGAATACTTTTTTTGCTTGGTGATTAAGCAATCACCATTTGTGATCCACGACTTATCTGTACTCCTTAAAAAAATATTTGTTTATTGAAAATGGACACCAAATAAATAAAATTAAATATTTTACCAACTTACAGTGGCATGAACTTCAAACATGAGGAATCCATTTTTAGTGTATTAGTAAATAAATTCTCAATGGCGCTAAGATTAGGATCGGTTCTAGCTGAGAAAACACAAGATTCCAATTTGAGTAAGGAATCTTGCCAATTTTCACTGTTAACAGTAACTTTTTTTTTGCCATTCAAGAAAAATTTTGGTTTGGCCCTTTTCTTTCGGACATGATCTAACACTTCACCTTCACCAGTACTTACATCATTTGTGGCATCTGAAAAGTATAATCTTTTTATAAAGACAATTCATAACAAAATTGTTAGAATACCTACCTTCCGTGTTCTGTTTAAATTGACGAGCCAAGTTACTAGCCATTCTCATCCCTTGCTCATATAAACTGTCCACTCTAACAGCATATACCTTTCCGGCAACTTCAAGTGAAGACCCTACAACCCGGAGTAAATCTGTCTGTACATCGATCTTAACCATATGTTTGAGAGCGTCAATAATTTGTAAACCCCAAACATTTTTTGGATTAATCCTCTGTGAAAAATGCGATATTTAAAGTGGAGAAAGGTAACTCTTCAATGATAACTTACATTTTCATTATAAAGTTTAGTACAAAATTGGATCTGGTATTTCATGTCATCCTCACTAAACTGTTGAAAGCTATCATTTAATGAGGAAGACGGTAAATTTGTTATTGATTTGCGTAAAGCCACTGATCTTCTACGTTCCGCTCGTTCCAATTCATCATCAGTATTTTCCAGAAGCACAGGGGTTTGTTGTTGATTCAACTGTTTTACCGTGCGCGAGGAATTCATACTTCGTCGCCCATTACTATTTAATCTATTTTGTAAGCACACTTGCCTCAAAGGAGTTGAGGTGTTACGCATAGTGGCTCAATTTATGAACACTCAAAGTAAAACACTTCCAAAATAAGAAAAACTCCCAAATACAAAAACCGAAACCGTTAACCATAGATAACATATATGTAAGTTCTGTTTAAAAGGATTTGTATCAATCGTAAATCAAGTCTTTCTTCTTTCTTGGCCAAATAGCTGGAATCGTTCAGCCATATAAATGTATTTAAATAATGAATTACTGCTATTTGCCAAATTTGCCAGGATAATCGGCCATTGTAAAGGATTAAATTGCACTTTTGTATTTTTTCTCTTCTTTTGATATTTTTTTGTGTTCCTTTACTCCACGAATAACAGTTCCAATTTTCATAAGTTGTTTTGTTACATCTTGCATGCCTGCTCTTGTTTGCTTCCTTTTTAGTAGTGGATTCATGCAAGTATCCATTAATATTAACACTAATTTAAAATTTAAAGGAAAAAGTTAAATGATGCTATAGTGAATCCAGGTGGAGATGCAACTCCCTTAAATTATTAGTTAAACTAAAACTAAACTTTAAACTTTACATTAATTTCTTACTTGAAATCAAATATGCACATTTTTTTTTAAACTCTACTTTTTGAATTTACAATTCCAAAATTGATCGCGTCCAACTGAAAAAGAAGTTCTGAATGAAAAGAGGTCGGACCAAAATGGATTTTTTTTCTACAACAAAGAATAACTTTTGAAGTGAACATTAATTTTAAATTCACTCGCTAAATACCGCCGTTGTCTTAATTTTTTAAATTGGGGTAGGCAATATAATAAAAATACATTTCAAAAATATGTTCTTCATGATAAATATTTTTGACCTATCAAAAATTTGAGGTTCAAAAAAATTTTAGTGGTAGGGATTTATTTTATTTTTTAGCTTTTAATTTTTACCATAGTAGGGCCGCCACTATATTATGGTTTGTTTGTTGAGTTTTTCTACTATCTAACTAACGAACTAAGCGAAAGATAACGTCATTGTCCAAAATTATTTCCATACCTTAATATTACCTATGATGATACTAACCTATGTTTTTATTTACGTAGTTTGTACCATGTACATACTTCTTGATCAAAGCTATAGCAATCTGCTAAAAAAATTATTACAGTTATGTGAACTATAGAAATAGGACTCTTAGAAAATTCCATCTAGCCCTTAGACATATAGAATCCCTGCCTACGCTAATTGTACAGAAACTCGTGAATAATTATGTCACCAAATTTTGAGGTCTGTTAAATATGCGCATGCGCGAGATTTGAAATTTTGTTTTTAACCAATGGCAGCTCTAATTGGAAATTCTGACGTTTGACCCATAAGGCCTTATGGCTCCCAACAACCAACATGGCCGCTGTCAAGTTGTTAATGTTTGGATGCTGCACTGGAAACATCTAAATGGAAAAAATGTTCAACAAGCATCTCATGTATAGACAGAATGCTCATTCTTTCATCGCAAGTCTAGTAATTGCAGAAACTTTCGCCTCCCAAATATATTATTACGAAAATTACCAATGGACAATTTCGTTAGGTATGTAGGTGTTGGAAAATATAACCACGAAATTTAAAAACTAGTATTAAACAACTCAAATAATTAGCTCTAAATGTAACAGAATTAACATTACCAAACGCTAAAGAGTGTGGTTTACTATCTCCAAATTTAAAAAACATTTTGCTAGCAAAAATTGCATGGTGGCTACTGCAAAAATTCCCCGTCAAAAATATTTAACTGCAATTGTTAAATGCTAAAAGTACATGTATAAATTACATTGTGCCTACCGGGCTCTAAATACTAGTATCAATTCACACAATAATTTACCTATATTTTATTGCCATCTGGACTCAATTGAAATAACCAAAAATTACTTTTCCAGAAATGCTCAGAATTTTTTAAAAGTGTAAGTTCAAATGAAACATTCTAAAATGAAAATTGTCTTATTAAGAAATATTTTTTTCCAGATGCACACTCCAGCCTTGTTTTATAGACAAGATTGTGGTTTATGCCACAACTACGACTTACGTATAATTATAATAGCATTTTATATAGTGTTTTATTAACTCGTTTTGAAGTTCACAGAAGATATAGTTGGAGAATAAACACAACGTAAAAATATAAATGAATAAATACATGAATTATTTAATAAGGCCTTTATTGAAAAGAATAAAGTTGCTTATAAACACAATAAGAAATTATATATATATATATATATATATATATATATATATATATATATATATATATATATATATATATATATATATATATATATATATATATATATTTTTTTTTTTTTGCCGACATCTATATTCCAATAACTAAATGTATGTAATAGGCTTTAGAACACATTATAAGAAGGACCCTTCTAACTTAACCCAGTTAGTAGTAATATATATATATATATATATGATGACACTATATTCCGGGATATCATCCGTTCGCTCGTTGAACTCCGACTGGAATCCTGCATCCGACTGGAATCCTGCAAATCTTGCATCCGACTGGAATCCTGCAGACGTTTCGCCAAAATCTCACTTGGCATCTTCAATGCTCGCGCGAGCATTGAAGATGCCAAGTGAGATTTTGGCGAAACGTCTGCAGGATTCCAGTCGGATGCAAGATTTGCAGGATTCCAGTCGGATGCAGGATTCCAGTCGGAGTTCAACGAGCGAACGGATGATATCCCGGAATATAGTGTCATCACATTTTTCCATCCGTGAATCAATACGTGAGAATATATATATATATATATATATATATATATATATATATATATATATATATATATATATATATATATATATATATATATATATATATATATATATATATATATATATATATATATATATATATATATATATATATATATATATATATATATATATATATATATATATATATATTTTTTTTTTTTTTTTTTTTTCTGGGATGCCGAAAAGTTGGTAAGATGTATAGACATATGCATCCATAGTTTTTGCCACCGTGACGCGATCGTCGGGCCTCTCGTATATCTGACTTGTATATTTCAAATATTTTTTACCGATGTTTAGGCGTCCTGAGAGTTGACAACAGTGCTTTTACGTGAACACGTATTTCGCATCGAGACTAATTTTACAAAATATTATGAATACGAGAACGCAAAAATTAGTGCCAATGGCACTCGAACGGCCAAATATTGAGACACTTCTTTTTCCTCTGAAAGTAGCTTTGATATCTCGGAAAAGATCCCAGAAGAGTTTCGTAAGGAAGTAGGAGAAATTAAAGTGGACTCCTCTTCAGGTATGAATGGTATGCCTTAAAATTAAGTTGTTTTTTTTTACTATAGTTAAAATTAAGTTGTTTTTTTTTACTATAGTTTGTCCTTTTTTCTAAAACTAATCTCCTACTTTAAAGTAAATTTAGTGGGCTGCGGAGTAGGATACAAAATCCTAAACTATATTATTAGCAAACTGTAATTCTATCGCATTTAAGCGGCAGCAGGCGGCTCTAGCTTGCTGAGATTTGTTGGACAAGGTTAGTATTAAAATTCAATACTTTTTTAATTTTTCCAAGAAACTTCCATGGGCTACTGTAATACTTTTTATTAAACTTCTGGATTCCTCCTGCGTCGGTTTTTGTTGAGTTGAACTAGCAGTGCAAAATTTAGTCTATTAAATACAACTATCGTTAAAAGTAATAACTAAATAATAACCAGTTTTTTTTTATAAATAAACAGGGTATTTATTTCATGACTAAACATTCCTAAATGTGTGTCCAGAAATAACTACTTTAAGAAATGATTCTAGATGAATAAATAAAAAAAAATCATATGAACATATTCCGAAAATGAATTTTTAAGACACAGGATGGCAAACAAAAAAAAAAGGATGTTTAATAAATATCTTGTGTTAAAATTTGGGAGCGTTGTTTGTTATCACAAGAGCCTTAGTTGAAATTAATGAAACTTCGTTTTCGTCTTTATTGCATGTCCCTAATTGGAACAAATCTAATCACAGCACAGGAGCATATGCTGTTTACAAAGCAACCAAAAGTCGTGTTAAATAATATTTATTATAAACGAAGAAAAAAGACACCTTGTATCTCGAAAAATGTTAATATTAAAAACAAACCTTATTTTTTCATGCAGAATAACCATTTAAACTATTCGAATGTTATTTGAATTAATTTAATTTTCTTTTTGAAATAAATGGGACATAAACTAATAACTTGACTTTAATTAGGCGAGTTTAGCATTGATTAGACTGAAACCCACTAACCAATAAATAAATCGCATTTTGTTGAAATTTGTTATATGCATATTCAATTAATTTTTCAAAGAGACTTCCACGGGCTACTGTAATGCTTTTTACAAAACTTCTGGATTCATCCTGCGTCGGTTTTTGCTTAGTCGAAATTGCTGACGTTTCGCCAACCATTCTGTTGGCTTCTTCAGTTTCAGTCAAGCTCTGAAGAAGCCAACAGCGAAACGTCAGCAATTTCGACTAAGCAAAAACCGACGCAGGAGGAATCCAGAAGTTTTTTAAAAATGCATATTCAATTTTAAGAATTTAGAGATTTTATGGAGATAGGACATGTTTATAGATATGATTGTATTGAAATTATATTATCATTTTAGATAATGTTATCCTTTACGCCTTAACACTTAACATTTATTATCTATTTGCAGGAACCAAGATCCAAATATATTGACTCATTAGATAAAGTTACTGACTTGCAATATTCTTTAGTTTCGGTAATCTATGGTTTACAATTTCAATTACAATTCAAAAATTGAATTATTTATTCTAGACATCTCCCGATGCTAAACCGTCCTGGTCAAGTAACTTATTGTTAACATCACCTAAGGTAAATATAAACCGAATGATTAGTTTTGAAAGACAGTCGCAACAATATCAACATTAAATTCCATTTCATTTCAACGTTTTAAAATTAAATAAATAAAAATAAATAAAAGATTAAGCATTTTGCTGTGTAGCAAAAACGTTGAAGTTCTAATACTTATTTTTCTTTGCATTGCTTCTGGTTCTAAATAAATGATATTTTGTCATCAATTGTTGATTAAAATAGTTTCTCACAGTTATTTATTGAAATATTAAGTTTAGAGCGAGGTTTGAGCTTCCATAGTCTAAAAATTTTAAATGAAACAATCAAAAAACAAAAAAAAAATAGTGTAAATGCTTATATCTTGTCGCGAAAAGCAAAATTATTCCAAATTTCGACTATGACATGAACTAAAAAAAATAAATAGTAAATTAGAAGCAAAATAATTTAGAGAATCAATAATTGTTGTATTGTTAAATATTTATAATATGTTTTATTCATTTCATTTCTACTTTTTAGAATAAGAAAGAAGTGAACTCAGTAATTTCCAGTCCTACAACTGAAAACGTTTTCCATTCGGCAAACAAAAATATAAGAAAAAATAAAATAACTCGGTTTCAGAATTATGATGTTGTTCAAAGTGTCAAAATTATTGCGAAATATGATGCACAAAATGATATTTACATATCTCCTACTTTTGCTATGAATATCTCTACAAGTTTAAAAAATTGTTGTGATATCGCAATATTAAATTTTATAAAGCGAAAATATTGCTACCCGAACGTTAGTGCTGCAGAGGCTGAAGCAAATGTTAGAATGTTCAAGAGATTATTGGAAAGTACTTGGAAACATGAAATATCCATCCAAGCTGCCAGAGACTTAAATACTAAAACTTGCAATAAGATAACAATAATACCTTTAGCATCTGATCTAAAATTACTTAAAACATATCTCATTGAAAAGGGCAACGAAGCTGAAAAAAAAATTGAAAGAGGGTTCCAATAGTCTAAAAAACTACACAGTTTTGATGGAAACAGTGTTTTGCCGGTTATTGCTTCTTAATAGAAACAGGGTAGGTGAATTGCAGAGAATGAAGCTGACGTCTTATACATTATCTGATGAAAAAAATAACCACAATTACGAAGAATTTTCGGACGAAATTACAACTTCTGAAAAAATTCTTTTGAAAAGTTTTAAACGAATTGTGATAAGGGGGAAGAAGGGTTCTCGTTCTATTTAGCAGAGATATTCAAGGCCATATGGATTTTCTGATTGAAAATCGACAATTTCAAAAAAAATTGCGCAGACTCACTCAGACCAGCCTTTATAAGTATAAGGAACAAACACACGCAAGAATATGTGGAGCAAGAACTCCCGAGCTTTAACTTCTACGAAATTAAGCAAACATTTGGCCACATTATCACAGGTCTTTAATATGTCACAAAACGAAATTGAACAGTTGGCAACGTTTATGGGCAACACTTTAAATGTACATAGTCAAAATTATAGACTTCCAGATGACATTTTTCAAACTGCAAAAATTGTGAAACTGTTACTTCTCATGGAAGATGGCCAAGCGGGAAAGTACAAAGGAAAGACATTGGAAGAAATTGACTTAAATTTGGAAGAAGAATTAAACCCCGAAGATGTACACGAAACTGACTAACAGTTTGCAATCGAAGATGAAATTGATGAGCATCCCACTCTTGCAGACAAAAATGGAAACGGAACTTACACATTCCGAAAAAGATAGCGTGACAATAAAAAAACGAGAACTGATTCAATGGACAGCGGAACAAAAAAAAAGTTGTAAAAGATTTTTTAAGAACCACAAACAAACAAAAACCACCAAAGAAAGCAGAATGTGAGATGTTAATAAGCAGTCATTCAGATTTATTGGAAAATAAATCCTGGCTGAAAATTAAGGTGTTTGTCCAAAATATATATATATATACATATACATATATACAGTTTTTATTACAGTTTTGGATATTGCCAAAATAGACATATCCTAGTCTGTTTTTCTTTTTACGATGCATGTGTGTAAATATTTTTTTGAATTTTTGTATTTATTATTATTATTATGATAATAATGTTTGTCTTAGTTTTAATAAATTATTTTTATGAAGCTATTATAATATCAGAACCTATTAAACTAACTACAAAATGTATGAAACAAATTATCTGCGTTAAATAATTGAAGTTCCATTATTTTGAATCTATTGCTTTAATCATGAATTCAATGTTGCTGCAGTACTCATGTTTACTCATACACGCTTGGAATCCAATAACTGACATCTAGATAATCTAAACACTGAAAATTCACTGGACTTGTCGAGATCATAACGCTCAATTATCTATTACATGTGATACATAAATTAAGAGACTCAATTAGATAATAGCAAAAATAAAAAAAGTTGGTTCCTCACATTAAACCTATAAGCCCCTTGAACTCTACCTACTACCCACGCAGAAAAGATAGCGGGATGATATATATAATTATTTATTTTTTATTTGCACAAGGGCGTCGATATAGGATGCTTCAGTGTTACTCTTTTACATCACTTGATTTGAAAGGATTACCACATTTAAGAATTGCAAAAAAGAAGATGTAAGCAATAACAAAAATGTTCTTTTATAATACATTAAACTATTTTTAATTATTAGTAGAATAACTGAAGCAAAAATTTCATTAAGTGTAAATTCCAAACAAAATTTAAATCAGAAGCACTTTACTTGTTGACAATATGTTAGTGTGCCTTAAGTTTTTTTTAAAAACTGATGGCCCTTGGTTATTCTGTGACAGGCCTCTCTACAACTTGTAATGTTGTTTTCACTACCACTGAAAATTAAAGATCTGCTGTTGTCTACTCTAGGAAAGAAATTATTATTTTGACTTGTTGGAAATAAAGCCCAAAAACATCCCCCTATTAACAAAAAATTCTCATATGTTCAAGATGGAAAATTTTCAGTCACAAATTATGCAGGAAAAATATAAATATTTCAGACCGAAAAAAAGTTGGTAACATATTGATAAATTTTATCAGTCGGGTTAGAAAAAAAAGGGACTGTTGGCAAACAGATTGACCAGAAAACAAGTAACCTGATTTACCACTGATCACAATATCTACCTAAAAGACACTGCAGTGCCTATTTTATCACCTCTTCTATAGCTTAAAGAAGTGATGTGACCCCCCACATATTGATGCGCTTCTAAAACTATCAGCCTCTCTGGCAGCTCCATTTTCGACAAGGAATGTTATCCATTGTTTCCTTACAATTTCATCTTTTGGTAAACTACTAAAAAATAAAATGTAAATTGAATAACACGACATGGATATGTGATTAATATATCAAAACTAGGAAACAAACATATAGTTGTCCCGAATCTAAAAAAAGCAGATTTAAAAAATCAGTATTTATTGATAGAACTATTTCTATTTAGTCAGTGTCAAATTATGTGTGTATGTACTGCAGTATTTACTTACCTTAGTAAAGAAGTAGGTGATCTACAAATAAAGTACACAAAAATGTTGAATAGTTGCCTGGTAATTCTCAAAAATTTCCTATAATGCCTTCAGATTTCCCAACAATATCCTGTAGATTTATCGTTTAAATTCATCCTGTTACAGGTGGAGCTGAACTGATTCTGGTAATTCCCCACTTTCTGCGGCAATAATTTTTGTAATTTTTGACCAACCAATTTTATTTTCACTAAGCATGATGACAAACGAAAACTTTCCCACCGTGAGTTTTACAAGGATTTGTAAATGTCAAGGAGTATTTCTTGTGATTGTTCTAGTAAAACTTGCAGCTTAATTGTTTTCTTATATTTCCTGTAATTCGTGTACACTAAAACACATTACCCAAACATTTTTCGGATGTAGCTATTTAAGGGTACCTGGCAGTTTGTTAAATCACTCAGGTTTGTCTAAGATCCTATTAGGTCCTCATACTGGCCACACTTGTAATTTCGTTTGTGAGTGGGAGTCCTATAGAAACCATTTTTACATCTTTTAATTAAATGTACATAAGGCAACACTTACCCATCTATAGGCACATTATTTTCCTTACACTTTTGACCACAAACACAAAAACACGAAAAATGGCACAGACTGTTAGTATTCTCTGATAATAGCAACTTCACGTTCGGCGTTGCCAATTATGTTCGGATTTCAGAGACTGATTTTCCGTTCTTATTAAAATTAGTCAGAAAAATTACAGCAATGTCTCAACTCGGTTATTTGGAGGTGACGCATGCGCAAAACATCCACACCTCTACGAGAATATCATAGCAACCTGCGGCGCATCACTTTTTACCGTAGTAGAGCCACTATAGTATCTAATAGCTTTATGGAAAATATAAATTGGACATGAGAAGTAATAAAAAGATTTGTGACCTTACCACTCACTACTTTCTTTGCCAACGCCACGCAAAATCCGCTCTTTTAGGTCAAATTTTTTTAATATTAGTTTGATTATGGCTGTAGTGTATATCTCCAGTGTTGCCTTGCTGTTTTCGTTAGAAAGCTGTTTTTTGAAATCAGTCCATGGGTCGAGTTGGAACCAGAGTATATTTGTTTGTAAATAAAATCAAAGTTTAACTGTGATTACGAAAACTGTGGTTTCAAATTTATGTGAATTAGGGTTATAAACATAGGACTTTTACGAATAACGTGTCCATTTTTGAGATATGAGCAGAGACAACTTACATATGAGCTGCAAACAGAAACGTATATTTATAAGTGATTTGCCAGAAGGGGTAACAGTGGCAGAACTTCAAAAGAAGTTTAGTAAATATGGCAGGGTTTCTTCGGCTGAAATTAAAACCAGAAAAGAAATAACTCTTCAAAATAAATCTTTAAAATTTGCTTATGTAACGGTTGATACAGATGACAAAACTTTACAAAAATGTTTTAGAGATTTTGCAACCACACACTGGCATAATGAATACTTAAATCTTAAAATTGCAAAAGAAAATTTTTTGGAAAAACTGAAGAACGAGAAAGAACAAGAAAAAAAAAATCTTTTAAAAGAAACAATGAGAAAGGACGTCTATGAGGATAGCAAATATCAAGATGTCGTACATAAGTCATTTTTAGAAATCAAAATGGAAACCGGGGAAAATTTGAAACCTGCGAAAAGTCAAACCAATGACAATTTAAAAAGATTGCAATCTTTAAAAAATATGAGAAGGGAGTATCAAACAGGAAAAGCTCTTATTTCCAAAGCGTTATCAAGTATAGACTCTGTATCCAATAACAAAATTATTTTTGATGAAATGCTGAATGAGAAGCCGAAAAACACTAGCTATAAAATCAGTCTTTTTAGTGGAAATTCTGATAGTGACGATGACCTTAATGCTAATTTCGAAGTTAATGAAAAGTTTGAAGGACAACAAGGTCAAAAGTTGCTACGACTAGGAGCAAAATATAAACATGATGGAAGATTTCGTTTAAATGAAAGATTTTTAGAGAATGAAGATGATGTAATGGTCAAAGATTCTTCTGAGTCATTCCATAATGAAAAAGAGAAGGAAGCCAAAATATTAGAGGAAGTTTTAGGTAAAAAAATTAAAGAAACAAAGTTAGATAAAAATGTTAAAATAAATGGGATGTATAGATTTGATCCATCTAATCCAGCATATTTTGATTTAGAGAGGGCTACCCAAAAACTCAAGGAAAATTTGGTATACCCAAATGTTACTAACCGGGATGAAAATATACCAAAACCAGAAGTAGCTAAAGAGGTTTTTTATAAAGTAACTGATAACTTGAAGGGGGTGTTTGACAACAAGCAAAATTTTAATTTCTTGAGTACTTTAGAAGAATCTGAAACAGCAAATATAGATGCAACTGATGAAAGAAGACGAAACAAAATTCAAAATAATTCGAAAACAGAAAACCCTTTTAAATATGATTCTTCTGATGATGATATGGAGGATATTCCCCACAAATCTGAATTAATAGGCACCAACAAACAAATTCAATTGCCTCCTCAAGTAGAATCAACACAGCGGTCTGTTTTTTGGACAGAGCCTTTCTTCTTTAAAAGTGATGATCATCGATTACAAGATGGTATCGATTTTATAGAGAAAATTAAAGGAGAACAGAAAGTATTCTCTAAGATTCGACAAGAGTTGAAAAGTATTGTGAGAACAAAAATCAGAAATAATGAGAAAAAATCAAAAATGTTTAAAAAGAAATTAGGATCGAGCCAAAAGAAAAAACATATCAGAATTAAAAAAGCTTTGAAAAGATAGCAAAACATAGTATATGTAAAAACTTTTAAAACTAATCAAAAATGTCTAGTTTATAGTATATTAAAAAAATTTAATTATATATAGGTAAATAGTGAATTTAAATAATATGTGTTAAAAATAGGCAAACCTGTACAGTTGAGTACTTTTAACCCCATATATGAATGTACTTTTTTTTTAAAGGTTGTGTGAAAATAAACTAGCTTTTATCTGTTGCTTGGTTGCTTTTTAGTATATCATCATATACGCTGGTTTCATAAAAAAAACTGATAGGACTCTTAAAGCACTTTTTTTGAGCAGTGTATTATAGGCAACCATGTGGTTATGCAAACTTCATTGTTTCATATTTCTAGTATTGTCACCGTTAAATTAAAAAAAATGTCCAAAAACTTGCAACTTGATTGTGTGATTGATTCGGATGGAAATTGCAGAAAACATTAAATTCCTTCGAAGTGTATTTTCTTCTCCTGTTTATGTTAAAATGTTGGGCCCCTGTTGATAATGATCAACCATTTTCTAAAATTATTACAATTCTTGCATTTACATGAACCTAATTATTTTTAAGTTGTTTATTTAAAAGTTAACAATTATCTTTTTATGTTTAAAATAAAAGTTAAGTCTGTTTAGTTTAGACTTTTTTTAATGATAAAACTTACAAGAACAACTAACGATAAACAATACAATTGAATAAAATAACATAGGAGTAATATACATTTTTTGCAAGATATCTTCATAAACAAACATTAATGACTGATTAAAGCAAGAGTTTTTAGTAATGAAAATAGATTTAATAATATATTTTATATTATTGATATTAGCCAAGTCTACTATGATCACTTGGCCACTTACGATTAAGGTTCAACATTTACTTTATAACCTGGAGGGTGCCTTAATTAAAAGGGACTGGCCGGGTCCATCACCCTCAGAGGAGGGGAACGGAAACAACAATTGGGAACAATATTCAAGTCTTTGATAAAGAGCAAAAAACGGCCTACTCCTGGCCTATCCGGCCTCTATACCGGTGTAAACAGGAAAAAACGACAGAGCCAACGATTATAAATTTAAAACATTCACTAAATACTAAAAACACCAAATCCATTTAGTTATGAAGTGGTCAACGCAATATCAATGCAATAGAAATACGCGCTCTTACGCCGTTGGCTAAAACGGTTGACGAAACAGCTAAACTGAACCACTCGATATCCACAAGGGAAAACAATTAACTTTAAAAATATGCGTACTAACTTTTATTACTCAAAATGTTCACAGGTTCCATGCTAAGGGTTTACGATTTGGGAACTATCTCTTATCAATCGACAAACTTTGCCGAACTTGCCCAACTTTGGACTGAGAAGAAGAATTATCACTGAATCCAACCTGATACATTTAAAGTATGTTTGAGAAAGTAAACTCTTTGATAAAAAGGAATATTCATCGATATATTTATAAGATGAACAAGGCATATTTAAGACGGATAAATGAAATCGACCAGTTCCAATTAAGTTTTGAATACAGCAAGGAACTTGGAAATGTTAAGCGGAGCTTCAACTTTTCCAGAAGTCTTTCTGAAAATGTGGAGAGTCTATTAAACAGAATTAGTACAAATGTTAGTAAAAAACTTTATAAAAAAAGAAATAAAAAATCTGAAACGTCTTCAGAAATTGTTGAAACATCGCTCCTGGTTAATAGTGAAGAAATTTCAAGTTCCAGTATTTGCAAAGATGTGTTTGTTCCGGAAAATAACATAATATTGTCAATCAATGGCAAATCGTACCAGGTATTGATAAATTCTCCATGGATAGAATCATTAAGCTTGCCTAATTCCCTTCTAGCAACTTTTCCTGTTTATCCCTCAAAATTTGAAACAGTATTTACAGATATTTCTTTAAGCCAATATGTTTGGTCAAAATCTAAAGATAAAATACATTGGTTAGAAGTTGCCTGTTCATATATATATATACCCAAGAATGAAGATATTGATAACTATCTTAAACTGAGCTGCACTCCAGTTAAAAATAATTTTGAAGGTCCAGCAGTAGAAATTGTTTCAAATTGTAAGGTGGAAGCAAGTCCCGGCCATTGTCCTTTTGAGAGAAGGCACAGATTCACAAAAACAAGGTTGCAGAATAAACAGTTTCGTGTAGTGACATATAATATACTTGCAGACCTCTACTGCGATTCAGATTTTAGTAGGGAAGTTTTATTCCCATACTGTCCAGCTGATGCATTAAATATTGACTACAGAAAACAATTAATACTCAAAGAACTAATTGGTTATAATGCAGATTGTATATGTCTGCAAGAGGTTGATAGGAAAGTTTATAAATATGATCTGCACCCAATATTATCACATTTGGGATACAAAAGTAATTTTCATCTTAAAGGAGATGAGGTGGCAGAAGGCTTAGCGTTTTTCTACAACGAAAAACGCTTCAAACTTCTAGAATCTGAAAGTTTTATTTTTTCCGATCATATAGATAAAAATGAGTTATTCTCAGATATTTGGACAAGAATTGAAACAAATTCGCAATTGAAGCAGAGAATCTTAAACCGAACAACCACTTTGCAAATAAATATAATAAAGTCTCTTGAGCAGAATGAAATATTAGTAGTGGGCAATATACACCTATATTTTCACCCAGATGCAGATCACATAAGACTTTTGCAAGGAGGATTGGCCATTAAATATTTGGAACATACTGTCCTAAATTTGAGAAAACAATACGATAAAGAAAGGGTATCTTTAATATTTTGTGGTGATTTTAACAGTGTGCCTTCTTGTGGAATATACATGCTATATACAACTGGTTCAGTTCCAGGAAATTACATTGATTATTCTAGTAATAAAGATGAAGCGATAGAAAACATTGACATGAAGCACAGTCTTCAGCTGGAAAGTGCTTGTGGTACTCCAAAATATACAAATTTTACAGCTGGTTTTGCAGATTGTCTGGACTACATTTTTATAGAAAAAACTAATATTGGCATTTCACAAGTGATTCCATTACCTAGTGATGAAGAACTGACTCAACATACAGCTATTCCTAGTATAGTGTGTCCATCAGATCATATAGCTCTAATTTCAGACTTAGAGTGGTTATAACATTTACATTTTTTAGAAACTATCTAATTGTACTTATAATGTTTAATGATTCATTGCAATAAATGTATGTTTTTTTTTCTTTTTTTAGTCTTACTAAGGTGCCCTTATGATTATTAAATAAAATGAAAAGGTACATTCATCAAAAAACATTTAATTCTAAAATGTACAAAAAAAAATTGAATTTTAAAATTTTAGTAAAAAGTATCTAACTTGGAAATCACTGTCTACCAAAGTTAGTTCATATATCACAGAAAGATAAATTCAACATCATGTTGCCAGAGAAATTCTTTAAAAAAAGTACTGCCTGATGGAATTTTTAATTCCTGATATATTTTTTAAATTTGTTTATTTTTTTTTCTCACTTGCAACAGATAAATATTTTGACTGCCTTGTAATAGTAGCATTTATCTTAATAGTTGAAAAAATAACAGCATTTGCGGAAAGTATCTTCTCTAAGGTCTTCGTTCTTTTTTTTTGTCTTCAAAATTCTTGCGAAAATGTCGCAAATAAATCAATGCTGTGCTAGGAGGCATGTTTCTATGCAAGCAAACTGAGTCTATAATCTTTTTAAATTCACCCTTAATTTGTTGTAGAAGTACAATATCCTTTCCCATTTTGTCATGTTTACTGTTTTCTATACTGCTATGTTCTATTTTTTCTAGTTTTCTTCTGTCACATAAATTTGTTTTATTATTAATACATGCTTCCTTGGATTGATGCACACCTCTACCCTCATGTTGAGTATTTCCTATATCGGCTACTATCGTTCCATCAAGAGAATCTTCTGAACTTGTACAAAATCTTTCATTTTCTGATTCTTCCAGCAAATATTTTTTGGAATGAGATGTAATCAATCCCGTCCTTATAATTTTAGCCCCTTGCTGCCAGTGCTCTTTACCAAATTCTGAGGGAACAAATTCTAAATTTACTAAATACGAAAAAGTAATTTGAAAATCATACTAGTAAAATGGATGATGCAGTGTAGAGTTTCTGTTAGTGGAAAGAATGTAATCGTAAAATGGCTGAGATAAATGGAAACACAATTATATACATAGACATCGTATTTATTTATTATTACTTACCGTTTTTAAAAATGTTCAACTTTTTATGAAAAAAACCTTTTTTGTGATACAACAGTTTAGACGGCGAAGAGAAATTAATTTCACAAAGCTCACAAAATGTTGAAGCAGACCTAAAAGTTAAGAAAAGTTGAGTTAGGTATGCAGGCATATCTTTATATTACAGAACAATAACATAGGCGGATTGTTTTACAGGATTATTTTTAAGTACTAGACTGGAAAGATCCTAAATATGACATTAGTCATTTTTAAACTACAGGATGGAAAAGTTTAACACTATACTTGTTAAGACATACTTATATCCATGTTCTATTACTTAGTGATATAAGATTATCCTGGGAAAATACATTAAGCTGAAAAAGAGATTGGCGTAGAAAAATCAGAATTAAAAATAAATAAGTAACTACTATTATGAAATGTGAATTAGTAAAAGACCATGAGCATTCACTTACATTTTAAAAGATGATTGTGCGCTTGACGCTGATCTGCCGTTACAAAAGATAAAGAATTACAAAAGCGGGTAATCCTGCAGTTTACGTATGTGGTAGAAAGGGAATTTTAACAGTGGTCGTAAATGACACAGCTGCACGACGTTGCCAAACTGTTATATTTCATCAATTTAAGCAGGAAATTATATAATACAACGTAATTAATTATCAAATTGTGGTTACTTACAAATAGAGATAAACTGAATTGGGTTTTGAGCTTCATGTTTTTATATAGTGTCAATACTTGTACATATAAAAAACATGAAGGGGATGTTCCTGAATATAAATTTGACTATGGTTTGGACTTCAATGTCATTAACTTTACTCTGAGTGCACTATTTGCGGGGATAGATAGCCTTCGGACTAAGTACACTCCATGGCTCGGACGGTATTCCATCTATTTTATTAAAAAATGTGTGTGTACCTTGAGTGAGCCCCTCCTAGACGAGGCGCTGGATGGAGTTGAATTTGCAAATTGTGAGGACCGCATTTTGGCAATTGATTTGAGTTCAGAAAAGCTTGTAGATTAATAATCCGGATGTTGCCGGACATTTTATTGGTCTAATTTTTTTTTAATCCCCTCCCACCCCGTAGCGCGTTACCATAGCGAGCGCGTGCTATGGGTCTAGTTTAATAGTTAATTTAGTAATATTTTTTTTTTACTAAACACATATAATAATAAGTTGGCAAATGATTATACAACAGCAATTATTTATAAAAAAAAGTCATAAATTGTTTATAAAAAATTTATTTAATCAGAAAAATCAAATATAAAGATATATACTTAAAAATACAAAAACATTCTAAGAAATGCAGGTGTGAGGGCTGGTATAGCAGATATATAATCAGATTCTTAGAACTGGAAGTAAATCGTGAATAGGGTTAGTCTCCTGTCTTTTGTGTTCCCCTCATTCGTCTCGCTGCTAACATTATAGCGTTTATGTTAGTATTCCTACCCGTTTCATGTTTTTCGTGTCAGTAAGGTTTAAACCATTGTGAGTAACTGTTGTGATTGCTTGTCCTTAATCCACTGTAAGAAGAGAAGAGGAAACGGTGCAGAATAGAACCTAACCTAACATGAGAGAGAGAGAGAGTGTTAATTTAAGAGCAGTGTATTCATTATTAATAAAGTTATTTTAGTTTAATACATCCGTGTGTTCATAAATTCACAACAGGTTGTGGGCCCAGAACCACCCAAGACGTTGGTTGGCGGAAGGTAGATAGAGAAAATTTGAAAAAATTTTTTTTTTTGAACACGTGTATTAAACTTGTAACGGCAAAATGAATACGTCGTCGGTGGTATTTCCACAATTAAATGCACAGAATTATAATAACTGGAGGTTTAGAGTTAAAGCATTTCTGGAGGAGAAACAGATTGAAGATACGTTGGAGAAAGAAGTATCAAATTTTGCTAAGGAAAAAGAGAAGACAGATTTTAAAATAAGGGATGCAAAGGCAAAATCAATTATAGTGCAATGTGTAAGTGACAAACACCTTGATATAATTAAAGATTCAACTACAGCGAAGCATATGTTAAAAGCATTAGAAGATGTATTTCAAAGGAAAAGTGTATTTTCGAAGTTGACTTTAAAGAAGAAGTTGCTAACAATAAAATGTAAAAGGAACGAAAAATTAGAGGATCATTTTTTGAAATTTGACTCTGTAATACGAGAATTAGAAAGTATTGGGTCAAAAATCGAAGAATCGGATAAGGTATGCCCCTTACTTTTGTCTCTTAATGAGGACTATGATCCTGTAATAACGGCGATTGAAACATTAAACACAGATGTAACAATGGATTTTGTCAAATCGAGATTGTTGGATGAAGAATTAAAAATGAAATAAAAAAATGGGAATAATAGTAGAAATGATAATGAAGTTACATTCAAAGCAAGCCAATATGTGTGTTATAAATGTGGCAAACAAGGTCACAAATTTTTTGAGTGTTTACAGAATAGGCATAGAGATAGAGGTACAGAGGTTCACGTCGAGGTAATCGTAGGTATAGTACGAATGCAAACACAAGTGAGCAGGCAAACGAAGTAAGAGAAAGTGATAAACAAGTTGCATTTATTGCATTAAATAGTGTGAGCTTGAATAACAACATAAACAGTTTTATTTTGGACTCTGGAGCTACTGAAAATTTAGTGACAAGTGAACTGCAAGACTATATGACAGATATACAAGATTTAAAGACAGAAATAAAAATAGGTACGGCCAAGAGTGGGGAGACGTTGGTTGCAGAGAAAAAGGGAACGCTGAGTGGTATTTGCCAAGGTAAAGAAATAAAATTAGAAGCTCTAATAGTTAATGGTATGTCGCATAACTTAATTTCTGTGTCAAAATTATTAACAAAAGGTTTTAAAATAATATTTGAAACTGATAAAACAAGTAGAAAACATGCAAAAATAATACACAACACATTTTATTGTGAAAGTTTTAATAATTGATTTTTGATTGTTATAAATTTAAAAACTGAAAATTGCTATAAAGTAATAAATGATAATGCAGGAAATATTTGGCATAAGAGACTAGGACATTTAAATCGTTATGGTCTAAAACAGTTAAATTTACCTTATAGTGATGAAATTTGTAGTAATTGTGTTGAAGGTAAAAGTACTAGAAAAACTTTTTATCAATGTACTAGAAAAACTACTCGGATTGGTCAACTTATTCACACAGATATTGCGGGGCCAGTGGCAACTCCATCTTTAAAAAGATCATAGGTACTTTCAGGTTTTACTTGATGACTATTCACATTTTTTGGTAGTCAAATTGTTAAAATCTAAAGATGAGACTGCTCAAAACGTTATTGATTTTATTAAGCTAATAAAAACACAACAGGGTCAAAAAACACAAAAAATTAGATGTGATAATGGTGGTGAATTTTCTTCAAATTATTTCAAACAGTATTGCAAAAATAAAGGTATTGAGATTGAGTATACGCTGCCATATAGCCCGCAACAGAACGGTAAGTCTGAGCGTATGAACCAAACTTTGTTAGATAAAGTAAGATCTAAATTTGCTGAAACAAATTTACCCAAAGAGTTATGGGGAGAGGCAATCTTATGTTCAGCATACGAATTAAATCGGTCACCCACAAAAGCAAATGGTGGTGTTCCTCCCTCGACAAGATGGTATCAAAATAACAATTTATCAAAATTAAAAGTTTTTGGGAGTAAGGCATGGTCAGTTGTTTTACCAAAAGCAAATAAATTAGAGAAACGTGCAAAATTGTGTATCATGACTGGATATGGTTTAAATGGATACAGGCTTTGGGATTTTGAGAAGAATGAGATTATATATTCAAGAGATGTTACATTTGATGAAAATCAGACAAATTACAATCAGTTAATAGAAGTCAAAGACAAAAACATAGCGATGAAGAAAATAATAATAAGAGATGAAGAAAATTACAATAAAGAGACAGAAGCAGACGAAAATGAAGTAGGTAGAATAAATGAATCAGAAGATGATAATGATAGAATAGAATCAGAAAGTTTAAATGATAAAGACAGAAATGTAACAAAAACTGAGACATCAAGACATGGAAGAAAGATAAACACACCAAAACATCTTAGTGAGTATGAAATTTACTCAGCATATTGTTTGCTAACATCACAGAATGATCCAAAGAATTACGATGAGGCGATAAAAACAGTTGAATGGAAGGAAGCTATAAAAAAGGAATTACACTCGCATGAAAAAATGCAAACCTGGACTGAAGTGCAATTACCAGAAGGTAAAACACCGATACAGACAAAATGGGTATTTCGAACAAAAGACGATGGCATAAAAAAGGCTAGAATATGGCTAGAGGTTTCGAAATTAAGGAGAAGCATCTTTATGAACCAGCTTACTCTCCTGTAGCACGTATGGCAACAATAAGAGTTTTATTCTCCATAGCATTACAGAAAGATTGGAAAATAAAACAGTTAGATATTCCTACAGCTTTCTTAAATGGAAAATTAGAAACTGAGGTTTATGTATATCCACCTGAAGGTCTTCAAACAAAATCAACAGTTTTAAGATTAAATCGAGCTTTATATGGTCTCAAGAGTCTCCAAAAGTTTGGAATGAAACTTTTAATAATTTTGCTGTTGAAAACAATTTTCAGAGATCAAGACATGATTGCTGCTTGTACTGTGGTAAAAATAACTGGATATTATTATATGTAGACGACATGTTAGTAGTGGGAAAGAATGAAAACATTGAAGAAACAGTATTTTTACTAAAGAAACATTTTCAAGCAAAAGATATGGGAGAAGTCAAGAATTTCTTAGGGATGACAATAAACAGAAAGAAAGATTAAGGTAAACTAGAAATAAAGCAAACAAAATTTATTGAAAAAAAAATTAACATGAAAGAATGTAGTGGAAAATCTACACCTATGGAAAAAGGATTTCAATATAATGAAAATAGTGAGATTGTGAATGTTCCTTACAGGCAATTGATCGGAGGACTGATGTACTTGTCAACAACTACACGACCTGATATAACATTTTCTGTTTCATATTTAAGTGAATGTTCCTGGACAAGCCAACAAATGATACTTGGAACGCAGGAAAAAGAATATTACGTTATTTAAATACTACTAAATTTAAAGGATTAACTTTTGTGAAAAATGAATCAAACAATGACAAAGTAAAATTAAAAGCTTTTTGAGATTCAGATTGGGCATCAGATAAACATGATCGGAAGAGTGTAAGTGGTTGCTTAATTTTACTTGGTAACAACCCTGTATGCTGGTTTTCAAAGAAACAGGGATGCGTTGCTCTTTCTACCGCCGAAGCGGAGTATGTTGCAGCGGCTGCTTGTGCTCAGGACCTAATGAATCTTAAAGGGGTGTTAAATGATTTTAAGCTTAATATTCCCGCACTGCTTTTTTGTGATAACAGAAGTTCAATATTAATGTCAAAAAGTAATGAGAATTCAAAAAGGGCTAAACACATATATATAAAGAATCATTATTTAAAAGATTTAGTATTACACAAGAAAATATCTGTTGAATATGTACCAACTGAGGAAAATTTAGCAGACATGTTAACTAAACCTTTAAGCAAGGATTTATTTGTAAAACTTAGAGATAAGTGTAATATTGTATAAACACTGCAATTGTTTATTCTTGTAATCATGATTTTCATTTATCCAAACATTTATAAAACTTCAAATCGAGGAGGAGTGTTGTGATTACTTGTCATTAATCCACTGCAAGAAGAGACGAGGAAACGGTGCAGAATAGAATCTAACCTAACATGAGAGAGCGAGTGTTAATTTAAGATCAGTGTATTCATTATTAATAAAGTTATTTTAGTTTAATACATCCGTGTGTTCATAAATTCACAACAGTAACAGTATATTTTTTCGTATTTATTAAATAAAACTTGAGTTTTGTCGTGTTTCAGTGATAAATTAATAATTATTTTAAATTACGTGAAAATGTCGTCACAAGTGAAAAATGTGAAAAGAAAAAGACCAAATGAATTATCTTGTTTGCTGCCGATCGAAGAAAAGACAAAGTTAGTAAAAAATTAAAAAATTATCCTGAGTTC